CCATACGCTCACATGTTTGAGAGGTATTCAGTTGACAGGGACTCCCCGATGTTTGGAGGACTAGGAGATAGGACCAAAGCAGGTTCATCGTTTAGTCTGTTCCATGGAGGTGAAGGAGGGCTGCGTCAGCGCTCGGTGGGGGAGCGAGATTTTAGGGAGAGAGACAGGGCAATGATGGGAGGCGGGGGCTGTGGTGGTGGTGGCGGCAGAGGGGCCGGGACTTACTCCTTGTCTAAATCTCTCTACCCAGATAAGGTGAACCAGAACCCTTTCATCCCAACCTTCGGCGACGACCAGTGTCTTTTACACGGTGCCAAACCTTACTACATGAAAAAGCCCCAGACGCAGCAACAGCAGCAGCAGCTTCTCAACAACATCCGAGGAGGAGGGGACTTCAGAGGTTCAATGGGAGCTACTTCCTATTTACCTGCTTCTGCCACTGCAGGGGTAATGTCTAATATGACCCCCAGGTACCCAAAAGAGCTCTGTCTGGGTGGGGTGGGAGGTCCCATGGGCAACCACCACGGGGGCAACAAGCTTCTGCCTGGAGGCAGAGACACGTTAGGGTTGGGGCCAGGACAGAGACCCTTCAACGGTGCCAATGGACATGTATATGAAAAGCTGTCCAGCATTGAGTCAGATGTGTGAACGCCAACACAATGGATGTGAAAATTTGGGAGACCAAGAACATACAGGGTGGCTCAAACCGATGACCTCTCTGTGTGAAGTGAATAAGACACAATACTGTGTATGTTCGCCAATAAATGGATGTATTTGGACAATCTACACTGGCCACAGCATGCTGAGCTGTGGTGACGTCCTTTGCGGTATACATTCGGATGAAAAGGAGATGTGTGTGGTGCTGCTCTGACTTGGGTCATGGCTTGGAGGAAGGGGAAAAGTGCCCCCTCTCTTTTTACGCTCACTGTCTTTCCCTCCCTCTTACAGTCTGACACTAAAATAAACCTTTTGGGGTACGGAAATACAATCACAATTGAGAAATCAGAATTTCTGTTGTATTAACAGGGTAAATGAATAATAACTGTATTGATAATGTTAATATTACTAAATATTATTCCAGTGTTTTATGATTGGTTTGAATTGTTTTAAACATTTGATAGATCATGTTTCATATTTGTATACTGTTATTTTCTTATCTGACCATTTTTGCAGGGGACTAGTAGAATGGATGTCAAAGTGAAGATTCATGTCATTTTGACTATAGGCTTGTGTCATTCATTTCTCAGCGCTGCGATGTGTAAAAGGCATGGCTTCCTGGGTACATTTTATGTACGGTGCAATTACAAGATGACATCATTCTGATTTGCCTTTTTTGGTCAGGCAGTACCAAATGGGTTCTAATCTTGAGCTCTATGTGCCTTAAAGGATTAATTCAGATAATAATTCATATTCAGATAATTTTAAGATGATTCTGAATATTTTCTGTTGGTAGAGTATGCCCTGCTTTCAACGACTAGTCATTCATCAAGACCTTAAAAGCCCAACTCACTGTTTTTATGAGAGTTGAACTCTATAACTACAACTATATCAAAATGCAACAAATATTCTTGCAGACACCAAAGTGGGCTCTCATTTTTATACAGTGCACATTGGCAGGATTACAGGGGCTAAACCTTTGTGCTAATTTTCCTAACACAAAAATATTGTTTTACAAAATACCATGTTGCCATATCTCAGTTTGAGCACATAATGATGCTACGAAATTTATATTATTAATTTAAAAATCTTCTTAAAACTGTTTAAAGTTTTTTCGCCTTGACAGTTGTTCAAAACATGAGCAGCATAATGGACTCTTGTCAGGCAGTCAGGCCTTGGTACAAAAATCAGCACCTGACATCTTAATTATTATGTGATTACAGCTATAAACACTGCCTGTCTTCAAGATAGTCCCTTTGATTGAAGGTGCATGATTATTCAACCTAAGGGCTGCAACAAACCCTAATTTTACATACAACTATATCGTTTTTTTTTGTTAGTTTTTTTTCTACTGAGTTGCATTGGTTTGATCAAAGGGGAATTTTCTCCAGCAAATGAATTTATTTTATGTATGTTTCTTCCCTTTTGGATTATATTTGTTCTCGCCAAAATGTAGAGTCCGTTCACTGAGGAGGCAGAGAACAGTTAACATCAGAAACGCCATTATAAGGTAATACATGGTAAAAAAAACAACAAATTTAATTAGCTCATTGCAAACAAATATTTAGAGCTCACTATCGTGATTATCATGAGCCACAACTATAGAAACTCTAATGCCCAAGCATAATCGGTCTCCATTCACTTGATTAAATAGTTCCTTGTTAATAGAATTGATTTATTCTCTTAGTTGATAAGTCCATATGTATGATAGGGGTTTCTAGGATTTGCATGTGTAGATTTTCTTTCCTTTTCTTGTTTTACATCTTAACTGCCCATATGGGCATTTTTTATGATATGATGATATTTTATGATTTTTATGATATTTGGATTATTTGCAATTTCATTGGTACTGATCCATGTAGTACTGTAGGTGTGTGTGTGTTTGTGCAAGAGAAGACAACAATTAAATGGGTTTCAATTTTGTTTAAAATATGGCTGAACTGATTAAGATCTTTTAGGGATAAGAGTGCTTTTACTGTTATTGTTTTTCAAAACAGAGTTTTCTTGATATAGTTTATGTAAATGGTTTTAATAAGGTTCTTAGTCACTGGAGAAGCCTTTTTTCATTTCATCTACTTTCTATTTTTTCCCTGTTGTTGTATGTGCCTGGATACATACGCTTGATTACCTCTGTGTGCTCATTTGGACGACAGACAGTGCGCAAGACAACTGTTTATTGTAGAAAGTATAGCTATGTACATACCTCACACATAGTTTTGATAAAAATGTTCAAATAACCCGCAATTTGGAGAAAAACTTTGATTAGGTTTAATTGTTACATTTTGTTGAGTTACTTCTAAGGCCAACATATGTGCAATCATTTCTTTACAAATGTAGACATACATGATGAACTGAGGTTCCTGTGATTTATTTATTTGCTTTTGGACCTTGTAAAATTTTCGATTGTTACACAACAAGAAAAGCACAATAGATTATCATTTCTACAATGGCTATCTTCCTCCTCTTTGACTCAATCTGTTTTTCTGTTTTGCCAGAGAAGATTGATTCTTCGTCCCTGAGCTGTACAGATTGTGAAAATGTAAATACGATAAAAACTCTAGTTCACCCTCACATTTTTGTATGAAGAGAAATTAATTGTGTGAAGAGAGTATTTCAAATTTGACTGAATATTTAGTAATATTTAAAAAGAGATTACACACAGTCAATGTGAAAATAAGTGCTGAGAAATATTATTCTTCTGTCTCTTTGGAATAAAAGTGTTAAGTATTAATAAAAAAGATCAAATGTCATCTTGTTTTGCATTTGTCTCGGCAGTGGTTTTGTACTTCATGGTCCCCTCTTTCCTAGTGCGTCATGGATGGAGCATATTATTTGGCCTTATTAAAGATAATGGACACAGGCGAGTGTCTTCATTAGAGCTTTTGTTTGTGCCTTCATAAACAAGATGTGCATGTGAGGTTGATGTTATTCACATTCATGTTGGACAAAGGGTTTTAAGGACAAAAAAAACAAGACAAGAAATGGGGAAAATGTAATGAGAATTGGTCTGGAATGGGAGAAGTGATGCAAACCGAGCAGCAGAGATCAAAGCGCCTCAAAACTCCCCCTCACTCCTCTTTACTCCACCAAACGCGCTGTCCAGCAACAGGAGTTATTTAAAGAAACCTCCAAATGTACTCAACTCTATACATATCCTCACACTTTCAATATTCGTGTTTCATAGACATTTTGTCTACTTATTTAGTCCTCACACCAACCCAACAAGCTCAGGGTGCATTGCAACACATGTAACTACTTCTTGACAATTAATAGTTACCTAGCAACTGGCTCTTTTTTCCATAGACAGAGAGGGGAGGGTGAGCTGAGAGAGACAGAGAAGAAGATTTATACAATATTCCCACAGCATCATAACTGGATTGGATGCAACAATACATTGACAACATAATACTAAAATGGGAACTACAGCCAGAGATTACCGCCCACATGTAGCAGTAAGCAGCAGAGAGGAGGGAGCCATGGGAAGGGGATGTTTGATTGCACAGATTACACTATGGTAAAGGGAGCTTATAGGCTACATTATAAACAGCGCTACACGTAGGAGCTGACAGCGGCACATGCAAAGTGAAGAGGTGTGTGATGTAAAAATAGAGCAGCCCATGTCACCATACGTGGACTGAGCGTGGTACTGGCTCACTTATAGGAGAGAAACCGGTTGCTGTAGAAACACTTGGCAAACTTTTAATGAAGGCATGAACTTCGATATTATTGCCCACACAATGCTGCACATGCGCCGTGACCGTAAGCAAACAAACTGTAATTATGTTTGCAGACAATAGGCACCCCCTGCTGGGCCGCTCCAGCCTTGAGTCAAGCCAAAACTAAAGAGCAAGCCCCAATGAGTTTGTGTAGTAGCCGAATACAACTCATGATATAGAACACAACCTACTGGCACGATTTAGACGGGGGAAAAAAAAAACTTACGGTAAAAAAAATGGGCAGTTGCTCTAGGCTTTGGCTAATTATTAGGGATGTTCAGGAGTGTTAATTAATTACTAAACTATATTAATTGGCCTAGTTCTCTCACTCTGTTCTGTCTGGCCAAGATCCCCCCCGGATGCTATTTTATAGTTAAATCTATAGACTACATATGCCCCCTGAAAATAGGCTAATAATCATAACGGGGCTAGACCACGTGACCAGCCGCTCAACTCTGGCTGCAGTCAGGCCAGGTAAGGAATAATGTTTTTCACATTTTACCTTTAAGTTCTGTATATTGTGTAAGTATAATGATTGTAGCTTTACACGTCATTAACTGAAATGAAAAGAAAACAAATAAGTGTCAACCATTTATTAACCCGTGAAAACAGGCTTTAGGCCTGCGTTTCACTTTGCGTGAGAAGAGTGATGAGAAGTTCACGTGTCCGGCTGAAACAACTGGACTCCGCCGTTGTTAAAGATCTTAACTCGTCTCCTTCTCAGGACCCGCGTGCCCCTGCGTGGACCAGGCCGTGCCAGGCCCGCTGCGTCCCCCCTGACGCTCAGAGGCGTCACCGCCCCCTCCTCCCCCTCGCCGCGGTAACCGTGGTGACGGAGGAACGGATCCAGGGTTGCTAAGCGATGGGTGAGCTCCGTGATGCGCCGATGCAGCAGCGACACTTCCCTGAACAGGTCGTTGACAGACTCGGACAGAGGGCGCACCCTGCAGGAGCAATCGGAGAACTGCAGTTTTCACTATTGCAGTGAGTGCATTTTCAAAACAAAGGCAAAAACATTTTAAGGAAGCCTACATCCATCAATTTTAAAAATACAAAAAACAAATTATACATCATAGTTTATGGGCCTTGTACAATATTACATATTTTGGACGAAAATGATTATGCTGTTATGGATGATTATTTGTTTAATCAGATTTTTAATTTTAAATGCTCTTGAAGTTCTCACTTTGAAAATTTTAACTGAAAAATGTATTTGAATAATTTTTAATCTGAATTTCAGTTGATGAAATTTTCCGTATACAGTTTCACTGTTGAATTTTTTTTTAATCACCTTATACACCACCACATACATGTATATTTTCAAGGGAAGATCCAAGATGCAAAGGCAAAAGCAATCGATCCTAAGTGAGTCAATCTAACTTAGTAACAAGCAGGAAATACCGTAAACTAATCAACTACATTGATTAGTCTGAATTGGCCTCATCAAAACTTCTTCTCTTTGATTTTTTTACAGTAAACACAGATGAGAAAGGCCAAAAGGAAACAGGTACCTCTGTCCTCACAATCGGTGAGGACAGGTTCACTGTGAATTTCACACTCTTGAAAATATTTATGCTGAATATTTAAAAGGTGAATTTAAAAAAAATATATATTTTGAAAATGTATAGTTCAAAATAAAAAATAATTCAAGCATGTATTTTCAGAGCTAGAAAATTCAAAGTGAGAAATTCAGTGGTATTTAAAATTCAAAATCTGATTGAACAAATGATCTTCTATACTTATGTTGTTCATTACAAAGTTCTAATTACAAATTCCACAAAAGGCTAAATGGGAAATGCTCATGTAACAAAATAAATACATTTTTAAAAAGACTGTTTAACTGTAGTAGTACTTTGAATCTGTAAGTAGATCAACAATATTTGTAGATTCGTGGATTTGTATTTGTAAAACTAACTATGAGTCTGGAATAAAGATGAGCTGAACTGAACTAACAATAGGCCTTAATTTAGTCCAGATAGTAAATAAAGGCCTCTTATCCCACATTCTGTGTGTTGACGTGTCATGTACCTGGAGTAGTCAGGTAGCAGCGCGCTCGGCTGAGAGTGCAATAAAGTTTTGATCTCATTGAAGATGCGTTTTCCCCACGCGTCTAACACTCGGGTCACACTGCGCACTGTAGCCACGTTCACATGGTCAGCTGCAAGGACAAACACAACGCCGTCAGGATCTCATTTCAAAACAACATGAAGCCCTGGTCCTCATCATAGACTTGTAAATTAGAAAAGTGTGTCGTAAAAGTGAGAGACCTGATTTGTGTAATTTCTGACGTCAGTGAAGTTCTGCATGCTGTTATCACTACTATAAATAATTCATTTAACGTCAAAACTTCAAACATTTTGTCACCAGCCGATTTACGCGTCTCACATCTCCGCGCAGCTCAGATCAAACACTGACTGGTGCTGATTTACCTCCCTCTCTGTAGTTCCAGTGCCCATAATCCAGTTCATTCTCCTCGCTGCCTGAACGGGCCCCTGTTGCCATGGAAACCAACATCAGCATCAATAACAGTGTGAGTGGGGCCATTGCGAGTTTCAGACACTCCCCCTTTAACAAGAAACACAACAGATTTAGATTAAAAGCCTAATGTCTATTATATGTACACAAAAGGATCTATACATGCATTTATTTATGTACTTTGACAATTTACCTTTACTTAAATTTATTAAACTAGGCTATTTTTTGTGGTAAGTAGCAGGCTAGAGGTGCAGTTGCAGTATCCTTGTACTTTTAACTGCAGCAATAGTTTAGTTACAGGTCAGATTTATGGAGAGGCAACCCCGCTCACAGTCAGAATATCTGTTTTTACAGGTATTTTTGAGCTATAAAACCACCTGAAATTGAATAAACGTAAGGTAGAGCTGTGGAATATTCCAGGCAGAGCAATGAGATATCCATAGAAACAAAAAAACAAACAGGTGATTGAGCCAGAACAAAAAAGTTACATAGTGCACCTTTAAGCAGCTTACATTGAAGTGTCTGAATATCTATCTGTGACTGTTTAACCATTTTACTATGGAAGATTCCTGGATGACTGGGGGGATTACACTGAATGCATTTTACTTACTGTATTTTTTAAACTCAAAAACACATTTCCTGATTTAGACTTTGACAAACTTTATTGATCCACAAGGGAAATTATTTGGACAGACATCACAATATCATATACACTACCGGTCAAAAGTTTTAGAACACCACACTTTTTCTAATTTTTTTTTTTAATGTTTATTGTTCGCTCTTGACCAAAATGTATTCTAAACTTTCGATTCATGAAGGTGTCCACCTTTGGCAGATATAACAGCTGAACAAACTCGTGGCTCGTTCTTTTTACAGTAGAAGTCAAATATTCTTCAGAAAGTTCTTCCCAAGTCTGATGCAGAAGTTCCCATAAACGTGTGGCACTTGTGGGTATCTTGGGTTTCACTCTTCTGTCCCTTTCTTCCCAAAGTCTGAAGACTGTGCTGGACATTCCATGTTTTCAAGCTCATCATCTTGTTTTCTTTTTCCTGAGGTAGTTTTGGCAGAGCTTGGACTTGTGTTTTGTTATTTATTTATCTTTTTTTTAACCTCTGTCTCTTGTTTGTACCATTTCAAGCTCTTCATTGGACTTGCACGACTTGAATTGCAATAAATAACTGGAAAAATCAGGGTGTTTAAAACCTTTGACCAGTAGTGTAAATAACAAAAAGCAAAATATAATTGTTAGTTATAAATTCTAAATAAATACAAAAATATATAGCTAGAGACTGGTGTCAAATGAGTAAATAAGTAAGTGATGTTGGATAAATGGTGTTTAGATGTAAAATCTATTGTAATATTCATTTAAAGTACACGCATGTAAACATTTTTTCAAATATATATCACTAAGTTAGTTAAAGCTGCACTGTGTAATTTGTAACTTGCCTCGAATGTAAACTTAAGAATCTGCATTTAAACTTGCAAACCAAATTACAAGAAAGATTTGTGGAGAGGCGACCCCGTCACAGTAAGAAGTAACGTCTTTTAAGATATTTTTGAGCAGTAAATGACACCTTTATTTGAATAAATGCAAGACAGATTAGTTTAATAATATGCTGTGGACAATTTAAACCAAAACCTCAAAATCTTCATGGAGACCCTCTGCAGAAAAGTTACTCAGTGCACCTTTAACAATTTAATAAACAAGTTAGATTTTCAGGCAAAAAGTGAAAAAATCCTGGGCTGAATCACACTGGATCATAACAACACAGTGAGTCAGAGGTTAAGTATGAGAAATTTGGAGTTTCCTAAAAGGTTCCGCGTAAATTGCAGCTGAACCTTTTGTAGCTGAAGACATGATCTGCATCAAACAGTCGGCATAAACAAGCCTCTCCTGGGAGACACTAACAGCATCATTAGACCCATTTCCTTTTGCGTCTTTGAAAAGATCTGTGTGAAGGAGCAGCCATTACTGAAAAGCGCAAACCAGGCAACACTCACTATCTGAAGGATAAGGCAGCTTCAGGTCTCAGTGGGAAATCCTCTGCTGATGCGGTTTCGAATCCCAAATGCTGGAACTGTCACTGTCCCGCTGTTTGCTCCTTTTTACTTTGTCCTCAGTATTTCCTCGGCTTCCTAACGCTGGTTTGTAACATGTAAAATAATAATAGTTAAAAAAAATAGCTCCACTTGCTCTGTCAGCCAGAGTAGAAGTTAGTGTGCTGAAACTAACTCTCCTTTTCTTCTGCCAGATGTGGGGCACGCCTCTTGAAGATTGATTATGGCTCATCCCCTCATTCCAGGACACAGGTATATGAAGAGGTCAGGAAGTCAGCAAAAATAAATAAATAAACAAACAGAAATATTTCTTACAATTGTATTTATTATTTTTTACATATTCTACTAGGCAAAACATTAAGAATTATTTACAATGCTGGCCTTACACCGAGGCACAGAAAAAACACAACAATAAAACCAACACATGTGTTATTGTGTGAGTTATATGCTTGGTAATAATTCAGCTGGAATATATTCATAAACTTGTTTGTACAAATTTGTTTATATTTTCTTTTGGAGTAAAAAATTTTAAGCAGCAAAAACCAAAAACATGATCTGGCAAAGGCTGTTGTGGAAACATATTCTCAAAATATAAAAAGTGTCATCTGTCCTATGATATGCTGTTCTAGTTTTTCTTTCTTTCTTTCTTTTTTCTTTTTCTTTTTTCTTGCTTGTTGTATTTGCTCCTCGATGAAAACATTGTTGTGCATTTTGTGTTTGACTTGATTTTCCAATAGCAAAAGTTGTTCACAGTTACTCAACACGTTTCCCTGTTGTGTTTGTTGTTATGGTATTATATAATATAATGATTAGAGTTTGAGACTGGAATGGATTATTATATAGTCTCTGGCATGCAGATGTTTTTCCAGCTGTGCTTTTTTTCTGGAGTTGAGGTCAGTGTTGGCCATCAATGAACAAATTGGAGAAAGTCATGCAAAGATTGGAAAGAGAGAGGAGGACGTGGAGGAAAACTGGAAAGACAAATGTGGTTTAACATCTGCTTTTCAAGGGAAAGAGAGAGACAGACAGATAAAGAGAGAGAGAGAAAGATAGGAGGATAAAGATAAAGGGAGAAAGAGACCGAGAAAGAGAGGACGTTCCTGGACTTCAGACCGTCCACAGCTGGATTGTATTAACATCAGGCAGTTTGTCACCTTCACAAGGATTCCTCACTTTCTCTCACATCAGGAGTTCTTTAGTTTTGCTTTGAACTGAAACTTTACGCGCACCCAACTGTGCGCGACCATGACTATTTTGTCTCTATACTGCCCCACTGTGGAGAAAACTGGACTGCATCTAGATTTATAGAAAGATAAAAGTTGAAAGGTAATTTTCTCATAGAGGTAGAACCTAACAATCTTTGACTTGAGGTAGAATTCGCACTTAACTGTATATTATTTAATCAAAACAAATGATGATGATGATTTGATTTCATATTATTATGACGATTTAACCAATAAAGCTGTTTATACCTTTAACATCTTATTAGTATTTTTATTTTTTTTAAGCTTTGCATCTCCTTTCCATATTGCATGTGCTTAATACTAACCCTAAACCCATGTCATGCTTACCCAAGACATGGGCCAGGCTTTAGTTAAACAAAAGTAACTTTTGAGGAAGTTTCATTGCCTTAAAGAGGAAACACTACTTTACTGATAAACTCTTTATTTGCTGTAAAGGAAAAGCTATGGCTCATGTCACCAATAGCTTTATGTTTGGTTATTTTGTATTCGGCTTAACATGGATATTATTTTTATTTCCTTCTACAAGTGGACAGGAAATAGGTAAGGTTGCAATGATAGTGGGTGGAGTAAAGATTTTAGAGACATTTTAAGTCTTAAATTTGTGATGTCTTTACAGAACTAAAGATTCAAAACCGTGTTAGTGTGGCTCTTAAAGGAGAAAATCTCACCATTTCATTTCAGTTGACGAAACCATCCAATCTAACAGACACCCTGATTTGTTTTGATCCTCTTAAAAAATCCATCAATCCATTATTTATAACAGAAAACAAAGAGAAGAATAAATTTGTTCTTCAAAACGTGACAATCTCTGGGAAATATTATTGTCGGTATGAAATGACCAATGCCTCTTGGTTTCTGAGGGTAAGAGGTGAGTACCTTGATATTTATTTATACAATTTATTAGCTCACCTGTTCCACCTTTTATCTTGTGTCTGTGTTTGTGTGTGAGATGAATAATATGTATAAACAATGGCTTACATATTAACATTTCAAATGACAAGGTAGACATGCTAGAATATATTGTCATATTTTCAGTTGGAGGGCAGGGGTGGTTCAGTTTTTGAAAGAAATATCCAAATCCTTTATTTGTCCAGGAGTGGTTCAGTGTAGAGAAGATTTCGATGGTGATCAACTACAGTGGTCTTTTTTTTAAACAAGACTCCCACCCAGAAGCTATTTTTAGTCAGCCAGACTAAAGTAAATGAAAATGGCTTCTGGATAGCAGAAGAAAATTGTAAAAAAAGAAAAAAAATTACAATGATTTAAATGACAATTATTTTTTAGTCATATATACTGTTATTAATCTTGTGGCTTAAAGTTCTTTCAACAATCAGACCATTTTGTGAATGAATAATCCCTCCACTTATTCCTCTAAAAATAAATAAAAAATTCACCTTGGTTCTTTTGTGCTGATAGAGAGAGCACATTTTGTTGTATTATTTCACCTTATCCCACCTTTTTATTTTCAAATTATACATAATGAAAACAAAACAAAACAAAAACAGACAAAAAAATTCCACCAACCCACCCCTCTCCCCACACTCGTCATACACACAAAACTACACAAAAAATACTTGGCAAACATTAAACATTAACAGTCAGTCAAGTCCAGTCCTGTCAAACCTCCAGTCAGCGGCTGCTCCAGACATGTTTGGTTGGAGGAGCTTTGGGGTGCTAAGTTCTTCTATGGGGTGCTCACTGAACATGTTAATTTAGAGCCTTTTATGGATGTGAGCACACGCCAAGCTCTTACCATGTTTGCTTTGCTGTTTTAAATGAGTTTAAATGAAGTGACTTATAAAACCTATTATAGACTTATTGCTTTATTGTAATCTCATTTTGAACATTCTGTGGTTGCCTTTTGAACATTTCTAGGAGAGACTCGTGCCCCCTCAAGCCTCCAGTTCATTTTTATAACTTAGAATGTTGCCAATATGTCACATCAAACCAACCCAATAAATGTATCTTTTTTATCTTGAAATATTTTTGCTCCTAGTCTCTGATCCTAAGCTGATATAAAATGTAATCTAAATATGGAAGGTGGTGTTCAGATAAGCAGCAGGTGTAAGAAGCCATGATGTCTCTTAATACATGACCTCTCATTTGTTTTACAGACAGTTATTATAAGAAAGTGGAGGACTACACAGTGGTTATCACAGTGTCTATTATCACTGCACTGCTGCTAGTGTTCAGTGTCGTAGGATCTGTCTATGTCTTTAGGGGAAATTGGGTAAGATTGGCGTAACCACTGGATGGAGAAATCTGACATTTCACATATTTTCCCCTATGTTACTTTTGATTAACTTAGAGAATACATGTGTCTAAAGTAAATATTATGCTTATATCTGTTTTTAAAGGGATGTTGTAAACCCCAAAATAATGAAAGTAAAAATGAAAGACAAAAGGAGAAGGAGGACACTGCAAATGTTGAAGCAGCTCAGACTACATCTTTCTACGCTGTAAGTATCTTAAAGAGCTTAAAATGACTTAAACTTATAGTATTCATAACCTGGAAACAAATCCTTTCAGAGTCTAGAATCTCGCCCAAGGTCTGTTTATGATGTGCTGGACCACTCTACTGCTGCTTCTCCTGGTAGACACAAAGACCAAACAAAAGTCAAAGCACCTAAGAAAAAGGACGTTCAAAAGACAGTAAGTAACAATGTCATGGAGCTTGTAGACACAGCTTCATATTCTTAAGGACATGGTTTTACTGTAGTGTTTTATTTACAGGTGAGAGATCAAAACCCAGATGACGGATGTGTTTATGAAAACTTCTAATGTCATTGCACACACTGAAAACTTTTAAAAATTCATTATAATACGTTTTTGTTATATTAATTTGTTGTTTTAAATTTGCTTTATTTATAAAAATGCATGCGCAAACCTGCAAATAAACATGTACAAGAACAGTTAAGTGTGTTGTTAATGTGTGCTGCCTACTATGTGTACTTTGCTAAACTAATAAACTCAAACTGTGCTATGCTTTTTTTAAAATCCAAAATTATACTACTTATAAATAGTGTGGACGTTGACCAATGAGAGCGCACGCTGTCACGCTTTCTGTTCGATTGACCAATGACAGCGCGTTTATCAAAACTACTTCCTAGTTTGGTTTATTTACCCTCAATAATGGCTGCTGAAGGCGATTTTTTGGCAAGATACCGAGCTGTATCGAATAAACTGAAAAAGTAAGACCTCTATTTTTGTACATAATGTTTGTAGCAACTGTAGCGGTATTAGTTTTCGGTTAGATTATATTTAGGGCTTCATCGCGGCTGTTTAGCTGTAGATGCTATGCTAAGCCCACTGCCCTTTTTGCAGCGACAGGCGCCAATTTGTTTTTCAATCAGTAGATCTAAAGATTAAATATGTAATCCGTAATAAAAACAAAACAAAAAACTTAACCTCAATACCCCCTTTTCAATGCACTTGCTTGTAAACAATTTATCAGATCATTTTTGACTAATTATGTTTCTCTAATGGAGCCCAGACTCTCTGTGTGTCATTCCTCTTTCCTCGTCTTTTTTCTCCTTGATTACACTTCTCGACTCTGCAGAAAATGGATGAGAAAGTCCCGGCCACAGAGGAGACACAGGGATGAGAGAGGCAGTTGACAGGAGCTGACAGGAGCTGAGTGTGACAGGGCCAGACTTTCCTCAGGCCCTGGATCTTACCAAAATGACCCTGTAGTAAAGACTATACTAAGGCTTACTATATATTATTATTACAGAACTTTAAAATCAATCAGACCTGCGTATTTGTTTTCAGTCTTTGATAAACGACTGTGTTTTTATTTTAATGTTTCTTTATGATTCTTAAACCTCCTTTGCTGCTGTCGGTCCCTGTTGCACCAATACAAACTCACTGTAAGACACGTACAGTTTTATTATTGTATCTGAAGTCTGCTTCCTGAAACCTCGCTCATGTTTCCTCTGTGGTTTCCTATCCTTGTCTCCTCCGAGCTTTGGGACACCTCTTGATGTGGCGCATTTGATTTACAGCTGAAAAATGCATCGAGGAACGAAATCAAGGAGAAGGAAGCAAGGAAATAGAATTGAGAAACGTCTCAGAAATCACCCCTTTGTTTTAACCTCTCATAAGGATCAATAAAGCAGTAACAGTATCTGCTGTATTTGTACTACTTAAATAATAGTAAAGCCATATTAGGAAAAGGACAAAAACTGTTTCTGATTTGTCATCTGAGAATTGTAGTACAACTTTAAATGAGATTTGAATTGGCTCATGATAAATTGGTAGGCTATTCACTGTGATTTGCTAGACTCACAGCTTTTTTAAAATTAAATCCTGATCTTTTCTCCCGTATAAGGAACAAATTGAGTTTCTTCTTATTTCATTAAGGAACATGGATTTTTCTGTCCAAATAAGAAACAACATGGTTAGCAATTCTAACTGTGTCCATTTGTTAACTGTATCTAATCAGCTGTACATTTGCATTTGCAGACGTTTTCTTCGTAAACCCAATGTTGCTGAAGCAAGTGAGCAGTTTGGTAAGAATAGTTTATTCCCAGTAACAGCTATTTTTCACCAATGTTTAAGAGTCATTTAGTTCTTTTAACTTGTTCATCATGTTACTCTGTGTATCTTGTGTTATAGGTCAGTTGGCTAAGGAGCTGAAGCAGCAGGACTGCTTACAGTATGCTGCCTTTTGCAACCTGGCCATGGCTCGGTAGGAGATTTAGGATTATACGTAAATAAATCATATTGTGCACAATGCAGATGGCAAAGTAGTAAAAGGGGTGCAACAGCCTTTAAATCAAATGTGTTCAGAACAAGAAAGAGTTCTTTTTATACTGTATAACACCGTGAATTTGTGCTATTGGTAGAATGTGATCATGTCATACTCCCAGATGGGCAAGAGACAGTTTTTCCTATTTATTACACTGTACATGAAATACTGGAAAGGTACATTTCCAGATGTTGAACATGATCATTTATATTATTGACTAGACCCAACAACATGCTGTATTACTTTAAAGATCTGCAGTTGAACAATATTAATTTTAGCGGTCTGCCATCTGTATTAAATAATATTGGCCTATAGAACGTTGTGATCATCTGAAAGGGAGCAACAGAAGATGTTTTGGAGCTACTGTTACGTGGTAGTATCTGCAAGAAATCAAATTTCTATGTTCGAAAGTGGTTAAAATGATTTAGCAACTTTGAGGTTTACAAATAATATATTTCATTATGATGCAACATGTTCTATTCAATATTGTCAGCCTGAACCTGAACAATTTTTAAATGTGCCCATATGTTACGGTTAGACAGATGTTGGGTGACACAGCGCATCAGTTTGTTGCACACACAGGGGCTTAATGGGCACATGTTCCTGAACTATTCATTTGTCATTATGATTTTTGTTTAGTGTAGCCTATAATCCTGTCACATATTAGTGCAGCATTTGGACCTGCTGCTCCATTTGTGAATGTGTTGCCTGCAGGTGTGAGCAGACTCTGTTTAATGCACCCGGAGAGGCTCTAGCGCTAACAGATGCCGCCCGCCTCTTCCTCACTTCAGAGAAGGAGAACAGGGCTCTGCAGGCACCAGGTTTTGATGAACACCTCCAGGCTGCACTCAATTGCTACAGCTTTGCTATTAAGGTGCGCTTCCCTTCATCCAGATGTTTGATTCATGAAAAACAGTAGTGATTCTATGAACGATCATCTGTGTTCAAGCAAATATTAAAACAAAATGTGGTTTGGCAGGTAAGCTTGTATACTGCAATATGTGAGCAAGTCGTATATTCAGGACTTGAAACATGGTTTGTGTGTGGAATGACCTCATTCGTGTGAGAATATGAAATGATGCAGCTGTACATATGTTCTGCAGGTGTACATAGAAATGAACCAGCCTGTGATGGCTGCCAGTCTGTGTCTCGAACTGGGAAATGCATTGAAGGTAAACTCTAAAGTGTGTTATTGGTTTGCTATTTAACAAAGTTTATTGATATCAACTGTTGATTCTTTAGGAAATGAACAGACCGGGGGAGGCTGTTGTTCACTACCAGAGGGCGGCAGAGTTGCAGTCTCAAACGCCCATTGAGGCCCTGTTGTCAATGGGAGAAATGGCCACTTGTAAAATACTCACACGTGGGTTCTGTACTCTGTCTCTTATATTTATGAATATACTTAACAATATTTTCATATATTTATGTTTTTTTTATTTTCACAGGCGACTATGACGGTGCATTATCAGTGTTCACAGAAATGCAGCTCATCTGTCAAGAGAGAGGACTCCAGCTTCCAGGCAGCAGCACTCCTGTTGGTGAGGCAAACATTCCTTTTCATTTTTTATGCTTTTCCATTTTTTTTTCTTTCTTTTATGAAAAATTATTTTTAATGTTATAGGGGCTTTTCTGGACATTGTGGCCAAATGTGAGATTTCAAGGGTTTTACTGCTTATGTTGCTTGAGGTAATTCATTTTTTTTTTGCCTTTAAAAATACTTAATAATTATTATGTATTTGTCTCTTTTAATGCACTTTTAAACATAAACAACCACTTAAAATGCATAACTCAAACTGGAGTGCAGTGCAGTCATTATTAATGGTTGTCCTTGACTATTTCCTATGTAGCCTCCGCCTCAGAAACTGCTCCCTGAACACGCACAAACCCTGGAGCGATATGCATGGGAGTCCTTCGACCCACACAGCCAAGGTGCCTAAAACATGAGTCAAATACATATACAGTATGCCATATCTATGAAATGAAAGTTGAAAGACAAAATTAAATATGAACCTTCTTTGCTTCACAGTGACCTTCCTGCCTGAAAATGTTTTCCTGCTCCTCCAATCAGTGGTGGTAAGTGTCATTCTTAAACACTGTACAGGATTTCCTGATGCTCCTGCCTCATACAGGATGAAGAATGACAATAAAATGAATGCTTGTCTTTGACTTTCACAAAACTCTATTCTCTTGAAATCTGATGCATTTGTCATTTTTATTATTTGTCATAAGTACACATGATTAATATTTATACATGGCACCCATTTCATTTTAGCAAATTTCTTTCAATAGGTGAACAGTGATAGGGCCTCAACTCAGAGATTGTGCTGTTGTATCTCTTTATTTTGGTTTGCATAATGGTAAATGTTTTGCAGATGGCTTGTCAGGAAAAAGACACAGAGTCTCTTAAGTCTCTTCAAACAGACCTCTGGTGAGTAAGCCACATGTAATGTCATTCGCCAACTGTGCTTACTTTTCTTTGATTCTCAGTGCAACGTTTTAATGAGTTTCATTTCCTTCAAAGGCCATTTTTAACAGCTGAGCAGAATCACCTCCTCCATCTAGTGGTACAAGAGCGCATTGCACCGTCTGGACAAGGCATTTAGGCTCCTCTGATTTTACCGACTTCCTCTGGGAACCATTCTTTATATAATGGAACATTCCTGTTTCTGGCTGGGTCTGTTGTAAGGCCTGATGTTTTTGTCGTCTTATTGTTGAAGAAGGAGAAATGGCGTACTTTGAGTAGTTGAGGACAAACTTAAAAATATTTGATTTAACAGAAGCTTAATTGCACAAATAGCCAAGCATTTTGTAAAAAGTATTTATTTATTTGCATTTGTTAATTAGAACAAATAAGAGCTTTGTTCATGGCATGTTTTGTTCATAACTGATATGGCTTAAACTCCATTGTAACACACAAAACTGTCTATAGCTGTAAATTGGCACACCACCTCCCTGGTTTACTGTTAGTTCACTGTATGTACTATTGCTCATATATTTTGTATAGCAGCCAATACAGACATAAAAAGACATGGTTAAATCACTCAGTACAAAAACAAATACTATGGTTACATTGTACATAGACAAGTGAATACACTATACTTCAGTAAAATAAGGAATAAGAATAAAACAAAAAATAAAACTTACTACATACTAAAAGTAACGGCTTTTCTCCTGGTTGTTCAAGTACTGCATGAATGTAGTTGTGCCAACACACTGCTCACTGTTTACTGGAAGCACAAGGGGCACCTTTGGGGCCCACTACATGATTACAGTCAACATCACATATTTAATGTGTTTTGATGACTTCATGCTATCTCTTAGGCCTATATTCAGCCACAAATGCTTTTTTTTTTCAATCACAGCAGTTTTCTTATTTTCTCCTATTTAAAAACACATCATGTTGGCCCTTCATGTTAGGTTGCAGCTCAATTTGCTTCTAAATAACTGTTACTTTATAGCTGCAAATGGCAATTCATATACTTGACAACATTACATTACCATACTTTTTGAATAAAAAACAAAATTAGAATTTTCCCAAAGTATACAATTTGAGCAACTCCTTTTATTCACTCACTCTTTTTCCTTAAGACGAAGTAGGTGATTGCTAAAAGAATGGTGAAAACAAAGGAGATCCAGGCCAGCACGTAGGAGTGGCCGTAGCTTCCCTCTGTCTCGGTGGTGTGAAACTCAGCCGTGTAGATCGAGGCTGCTATCATTATGCAAAGGCCTGAGGAGACAAGAGAATACTGTTACACACACCCAGGCATCTAAGGAGTCATTATTGTTTTAACTCAAGGCTATGGCTCACCACACAACGGAATATAGAGCAGAGACGCTTGGGCTATTATTATGACAAATGACAGCTTCATCGCACTCATTTTCAACTGATATCCACTTATGACAATGAGGCTCTCTGTAACTGCACATGTGCGATCTAAGCACCATACATAATCTTTTTACTCTGCACCATGGCAACTTACTTCCATCACAATGCATGTCTTAAATGCTTTACATAATGTCCAGTATCCTTAGCAACCATTTAATAGTTTTAAAGTTTATATTATGTTTATAACTGATGAGTATGTTTGTTGGCATCTAAAAGACGAGTGGATTCGATCATATCTCACTCCCTTGTTAAAGTGGTTCTATAAAGACAAGTAAAACTACATTTCATTGCCCCAGATTACTTACAGGAGATTGCCTGCAGAATACCAGTGAAGGTGAACCTCTGGCCTTTGGGAAGAGTGAAAAGCTGAGCAACAAACACAAACAAAGCCAGAATGGCGAAGATGCAGGCAAGCACCGAAGTGGCCTGGATGGTCTGAAGATACTCTGAAAAAGTAAATTTAACATAACATAAGCTCTTTACAAATCAGAAGCTAAACCAGTCGTGATTACATCTGACATACTTCTGCACCAGGTGCCAAAACAAAAAGGAAACCTCTCATCGAGTAACAACATTGAAATAGTTAGAATAACTTACCTTCTGGGTAGTTCTTCAGGTTGGTGTAATGCCAGTCAGAGTTTGTCATCTCCCACTGGCCCCAAAGGTCAGTGGTGACCTTATCAGTGACCCACCAGGCCTGCACACAAGGACATATTGCAGACTTAATAGAGCTGCTGTACATGGGACGTGAACATACTAGACACATTTACAGTACTTTTACTATGCCATAAATAAACTATTACTGTGTACAGCTGAAACAGAGTGGTGTTTGATGGTGTATAAGGCTTAGGACTGACCAATAATATGACGTTATTATTGTATGCGTTTACTGGTTGAGCGTCTGAAGGTGAAATTGAGACTCACATTATCAATGGTGGCCACCAGCAGCAGGATGATGGTGGTTATGTGCAAGGCGACGATTCCAGCCAGCATCAACATTGTGAAACTGTGATAAGGAAGAGGAAGGATGCAAAACATTTATTTTCCACATAGGCTCCTATGCACAAGGCTTCATCCGTGCAACACACACAGCTGCCCGCCCCAAATAATACTGTCTCAAAAACGGGGGGAATGCGAAGAGGGGCCGTGCAAGCCCCTACTCGCCCACGAGCCTCACAGGCATTTAGGAATAGATGCATAGGCCATTCTGAGACGGAGACGAGCGCTTTTCTGGCTTCACACCTAGAGGTCTTGAACAAGTTAGGCACCATACTAGCATGCCTATAACTCCTGTCGTAAGTGAAAGCAAATGGGTTTTAAAGAGCTCACAAAACGTTTCCGTGACTTTTCTTTTATGGCACTAGACTATTTCCGTCGACAAGAAAGACGCGTTTGTTTGGAAGGTGTTAGGGGCTCTTACCCAGGCCATACTCCAAATAACAACTTTGAAAAGAGCGGGAGAACACAACTACATATGTGAATCCTTATATAAAAATTATAGCCGATCCTTTTACGCTAAAAACATAACCAAAAGTCCACGCTTACACTACCCCAGCGACCGAACTGCGCGTCTTTTTAAAATTTCTTGCGCACCGAGGCATAGCCCGGGCGCTGCTTAAACGATGCTGTAATTTGACACTACTTTCACAACTTTACACCGCAAAACTCGAGAATAACACACAATGCTGACGTCTGGCCACCACCTATAGGAAAGCTTAATTAACTAGTAAACAACTAAAGAGATAAAACTTTACCTGAAGGCGATTTAACGCACGGGCCGTGAGTTCTCTGGAAATGTGAAACACCAAACACGGTAGACCCACCCAACTTTGAATTCACAGCACACACATCATTCTGTTTTCCCTCTCCATTCCCTCTTTACCCCTGACCAGGCCCCACCCATAAAGTTTCAAATTTTTTCTCTCTTCAATGAAATGCCAAAAGTAAACAGCTTCAGGTTTAGGTCGCCCCCTGCGATTACGCACCGTTTGTCAGGACAATTAAAGCTTTCAAAGATGTAAACGGACGCGCCGAAGTCTTAGTTCACCCAGATGTTTTTTTCCTCATCACTAAAGTTTTGTGATCAGTCTTCCCTGAAGCGACACAGCAGATTCTCTCAGCCCGTTTGTGCGCGGACACAATGGCTTCTCACTGAGTAACCTATTATTAATACTTACATGAATCATCACAATTACAGCACAGGTTAATGATTTTTCTGTCTTTTGGAATTAAGAGGCTGCATTTATATATTTTGGAATAATTTGTAATAAGTTATTAAAGGGCCTACATTATGCAATTTTTTTATCCATGTTATGATGTTATTTCCTAATCACAAACATACTTGGAGTTGGGTTTTGTTTCATTCACAAACTTTTAACACACAAACCCTGCAAGTTTAGGCTGAGTTCTTCTCTCAAACTGAAAACACTCTTTGTGACCTTGAGATGTAACGTGGAAATAAACTTAATGCTCCACTGTGTTTTTAAATGCCATAGTCCTTCACTAGAATTATTTGGATAATTTCAGCCCTGGATGAGCTAATATCTACTGAACTGAAGGTAAAAGGTTAACTGTTAACTTGAAAACTACAACTATATGACATCACAAGGTGGAACAGAGCTGTTTGAGCTGTTGGAGATGTAAACACTAGACAGACTAATAAAGGTTTACATGTGTGAATGAAACAAAACACAACTCCAGGTATGCTTTTGAGGAGGTAACAGCAATATAATATGGCTACAACCTCACAAGAGACAATTTTGCATAATATAGGATCTTTAAATTAAAACTAAAAATAAGCGCTGGCTTAATTGGCTGCATTAAAAGCCGCACAGTAACACTATCTGATGATAAAATAAAAATATCTCTACTATGGCTAATGCCTTGCTAACTAATAATTAGAAACTGTTGTGAGACAGTGACCAACATTTTGTCCAGACAAACTGCTGAAGAAAAATGAAGTGTTAGTGTTATTATAGATGAGATTGCCATTATTGAACATCTTGCAGTTTAGTGAATTTACCCTGATTTTGTTTATGTCCATTGGCCTTTCATTTTTTAAATAAAACCTGACCAATTTGAGCCAATAAGTCAAGTGGGGGAGGTGTTAAGAGATACCATAATTGCTTCCTGTCCCTTAGCTTGGTAAAAGAAACTAAACATTTCACAATTGTCATGTGAACAGTGAAAATATAATAATTCTTATGCCACCTAAAATAGCATCCACACTCTAGTTTATACAGGAAGCTGAGTGTATTTTTGTGTGGTTGGCAGCAGGGATATACTAGATAAACTGCTTATGGCCAGTCAGCTCGCCTCCTTGAGCTCTTTGTCAATGGGTCGAACAGTTATTAGAGATGACAGTGCCAAGGTCCGCTGCTGAAACCCAATATTTCCTTTTGTGTGAATAAATTGCAACCAAAGTTCACTCGGCAGAGCAGTAATAGAGCTATTAGAGAAAGCACAGCAGTAATTCAGATATGGAATCCATTGTGAAGACATATTTATGCCGGGGGGAGAGAGGGAGCAGGCTGTACATGTGAATAGTGGATTGATTTCTTTACAGATGACCCTGGCTGGTTGGTTGGTCATGTCTCACAGTGAATGGTGAGTGGGTGAGCTCTCCTTCCTCTCACAGCTCTGCAGGACACACAACATCCTCTCTGCACAGCTCTGAAGTCACCCCTGCCAATTCAGACAGCAAGACTCAAATGGGAGCAGTTTGATTAATCAATCCTATTTACTTTCAAATGAATGTAGAGAGACCAATAGCCTGTTGGAAAGTAGGTCTGTCTTAATATTTGCATTCATGGGAGCATGGATTAAGTGATTGTCACTCTTAGTTGTTCTGATCTCTATAAGTGCTTTCATTTATTTTTTTCTCTCAGAGACTCTTATTTTTCCAGTGGATACAATGGTGACCCCAGCACCATTGTACTACCCAACAAGTGACTGTCAAATACAGTTGTTTTAGTCTTACAGGTGAAATGTACTGAGAGTTCAGTGCACGGAGCACGTACACAAAATCTAATGTGCATTTTTCAAGTAGAGAACATGAAGTCTGAGCAAAAATGGTTTGTACCTATTTACCCAGACATTTTCTGCTGTATCACCAAAAATAAGTATTAAAATACTTAAAATAGTAACATGCAATCCCTTTGGAGACCCCTCGTGAAGCTCAATGCCTGGGTTGGAAGTCACTGTAATCTGCAATATTGTGATACTCAAACTGCATGCCATAATTTAGTTTTAGTATTGTCAGTGGGTAATCTCCAGAATATCTAGATATATTACTTTTTGTCTATATCACCCATCCCTACTATAAGACATCCAGTAGGACAGTGACCCAATAGACCTTTAAAGTTAGTGAGTTCATCCTACACTGAAGTCAAACAACCATCAGAGACATGCTGTGTATCCATGATATTCTCTTCTGCCCAAAGTGAGGCTAGGATACTTCTTTTGAACTATGAAATATCTCTCAGGAAAATCCCAGCTGATTTCTCTGCAGGGTGGGGTTTGAGCTGCACCAGTCAGTTAATTTTAATTTATTCAAGAGAATCTCAAGTTGATTCCAAAATCTGCAGGAAGTTGTCCTCTGTGCATGAGGTTGGGCTGCAGCTGTTGGAACAAGGGACTGTGTAATTCATGTTCTCATAGCCAGAAGGCTGGGGGAGTAATATAGTTAGTTTAATTTAAGTAAGCATTGCTAGATTAGGCTATTTACCTACATTGTTTATTGTCGGCTAAAAGTTGTGCCAAATCCAATAAAATGAATCATTACGCCTAATCGTATTTTTTTGTTGGCAATGTTTATAAATAGTCTGCATTTAGCATTAGGCCTATGTTTTATCTTACATTCATTTACTTTAATCGTCACTTTCTATTGTACCTTACGTTTGTGCGTGCGTTTTAATTGGTCCAGTAGCTGCGTCTTAATTGAACGTCTCGTCGCAGGTGGCGCCTTTCGAGCGCACATGAGGGAAGTCTCATCCGGCATGTCTGGCAAAAAGAAACTAGAAATCATTTGGTTTGTTGCCGCTATTTACATTTTGACACATGACCCTTGTGGCTCGGTGAGTTTGGAGAAGTTGGACGATGATTCTGGCACAAGAAAAGTTCAGGAATCGACCGCGCCTAAGTGGATTCCACTTGACTCCCGTGGGTATAAACGGTTGCCAGATAATAAAATAACAAGTGAGCACAAACTGCACAAAAGTGAGAAGGCAAATTTAAACTTACACCACGCGCGTCAATTATCTACTCTCGATGAAGAAGCGCTATTGCGTCATTTTCAGGAAAATGGCATCCAATTAAAAAGCTTGTCGTGGACTAATGGGAACGTGAGCAGGCACCAGGGGTCTCCTACGTACAAGTCTGAAAAAGGATTTCAGTCCGACTACACGGGTATACCAGAGGCCATTATGCCTACGCCTCTGACAGCTCCCCTAATTTACATGTTCTAATTTATATCCTTAAGGTTTTCGCCCTGTCCAAGGGGAAATCTTGGGCCTTCCTGCTGACACCACTCATTTGTTAGAGTGGCTGGCTATGAGACCTTTGGTACATTGTGATCAAAATGTCATGACCTTCACTGCCTCTGGAGGAGGATTCACAAACCTGTTTGTGGGAAGAGGTAAGATGTTACTATTTACAATACTATCTTATTTTTTTATTCAGCTAGGGGTGGGCTATGGGCAAAAATAGATATATAAATATTTTGGGAGTTTTTAGTTGTATCATTTATTTACTAATGCTTTTTTTGTAAGACTTTAATATACAGTATGCCCAATATTCAAATTTAGCTTTTCTTCAAAACAACATCCACGGTGTTATCAATAATTATTTTCTGCATATTAATGTATGTCACAGATGGAGGTGCACCTATCTCACTCTTTGATCTACCCTCCCTCTGTGGTTTCTCTGTGAAGACTTCATGGAGTGAATTGGAGATGACAGTGCCATATGATGCATGTTACATTATACAGGAGGTAACTGCAGCTCTACCTGCACACAGCGTTTTAATATTGGCATGAGCCTGCTTAAAACTCTAATTCTTTACAGGTCTGTGATGCCACAATATTAATCTAATGATATTTTTAGTTTAAAAACTTCCTGCAATAGAGCATGTCCTGTTTGTTTTTAATACTGTTGTAAAACCTGGGCTTCTGGGCTTCTGCATGTTTCTATTTCACATTGACCTACATTATGTTGTGTCTCCAATTATTATTTTTTACCCTTTTAAACAGAATTAAGGTGCACTATGTTGTCACCTGCTTGTCTCCATGTAGATTGATATGTTTAATGCCATACTGTGGGTTTTTAGGCAAAGCAGTAAGATCTCCATAGAGGCAAGCATGCATTGCCAATACCTTTCAGAAAAGTAAATTACACCTAAATGTTTCACTATGGGTTAATAAGACAAGCACCCACCTTTTCTGTTTATAGTTATTTATGTATGTATTTCAATATACCTTAAATGATGCACTAATCTCAGGATGGTAAGATCGTCCTACCTCTGGAGTGGAGGGGTAGCCCTCTGAAGCTCTCTTGTCCCATGTGGAGACCCTTACCTGCTCCCACAGTGTACTGTTCCCCCTATGGCATGGTAGTGCACATAGTCGGTCAGACGGAAGATTTGCCTACATTGGGTTTTAAAGGTAAGGTGTTGATCGTCTTAAAACATTTCTTAATTTTTAATATATAAAATATATCTGTATACATTTATTTAAGTGAACGGGCGTTGGGGACCATTGTTGGCTGATGAGTGTGCCAGTCTTGTTCACTCCCACCTTGGGGAGTTTCTATTCTTTATATCCACCACAGCCTCCTGTATAGTTGTTGAAGTAAGTATACACATTATAAACATGCTACAAAGGAATGTTTTTAATATATTTGTTACAAATTTTCAGCATGGAGTGCACCTCTGGCTAATCATTGATGAGCTGGAATACACTCTCTCTTGTCCCGAGTTCCTGCCTGTTCCTCCCCCCTCTGCCAGTGAACCTCAGTTTCCATTTTTTCCTGAACCCATCACTCCTCCTCCCCCATCTTCCCCTCCCCTGACTCCATCATTTTTGGATCCAATCTACCTGCACCCTGAGTTCCCCCAGATTCACCCCCCTGCACCACAACTGCCCCAAGCTCCTATACCCACTGCAGACAGCCCCCCAGGACCCCAGCCACAGCAGCCTCTTCATACCTTTACCTTTAACTATGAAGGGAATTACATCAAACCAATTATACCTGAGTCACCTCCAGTGAAGATGCCACCTCCAAAAGATCCAAACTTGAATGTAGAACACAATGTTTTTACTTTTCACCCAAATTTCCCAGTTCCCCATGATCTCTCGAGCACTTATGAATCATACTTCTTGTCAGAGTCTACAAAACCCACAGTTTCTCCTGCTACAACACAGACACCAAGCCTTCAACATCTTTATCTCAATGCTCATTATTTTCAAATGCCTTTCCAGCCTACACCTCAACAAACCCCAACACCCTCTCCTCCCCCTCTTTATGTTCCCCCCCAAATGCCCGAGATGCCCCCGGGTAAGTTCTATTTTCCATCTTACACAGATGTTTCTTACAATCCATATCAGTTTTACCATCAAACATCAGTTAATGTGGAAAACCAATCACCCGCTGTTACACCTCCTGAACTCTATCTTAAGCACTGTTCTCCTTATGGGGGCTCAGTGTGTTCCTATTACCCCAATCCATACTACCCATACTATGATCCACAGTCTCCCATGTTTCCTCAACTACCCACTGTACCCTCAAGTACCCCCCCTGTGCCAGCCCACCCCCCTCCACAGGAAGTGCAACACTATTGTCTGAAGGACAGGATTCTTGTCCATTTACCATTCGCACATCCAGACTCCATACAGGTTCGAGGTATGTGGCATTAAGTTTGTATGGCTAATTAGCATGCTTATGGTTTAATGTGAACTATATTTGTTTAATTGGTAGATCAAACAAACTTGTGGCAATTCATTTCTAAAACATTTCCATTTTGTTGGTACAACCTGCATTCGTCTGACAGTGGAGGTATAATTCTTCACAGTCCCCTGCATGGTTGTCACACACATCTAAAGGTAACTCACAATTCAACTTCACAATGTCTTATTATATTGCTGGTTTTCAGATTACATCACAGCTAGTCCTGTCACAAAAACATTTTGAAGCATGATATATTGTGATAAATGACCATATTCAAACTAGTTTATGCCACTGACACAATAACGCTAATGCAAGATAATTCCAGTAAACCATATTTAAATGCAGTCACTAAAAGGCATGAGCTGCAACAAATAACATAATGAAGCAACAGCTCAAATGGTATTACCACAAATATTACCCAAAATCTCCTCACTTTCACAAAGAAAATGTACACACGATAAATATTGAACCCCAAAGCACATTGTTCCAGCTTTCATATATTGAGTAAGTCCATATATAGTGATTATCGTGACAGGCCTAATCACAACATACTGTTAAAATGTTTAAAAATGTGTGTTATGTAGTAAGTTCTTAGTCTTGTCACTCTAGAAATGATCCGGTTAAATATGAATGAATTTACTTTTTAAATATTTCTCATGAAATGTAATCAATAAGGGAAACTGGCTCTTTTCCCCATCTGGTATTATAACATAATAATCACTGAAAACCACGAGCTGTCTTATCTAGTTTAGCATAACAGCAAGATTCTATTGATCTCACACACACTTTTTATCGAAAATTTGGTATTTTAATAACATAATGACAGTCTGATATTGTTGAAATTGCTTTTTCACTTGAGTCCGAAGTGATTTATGACTGCAGTCAGAAATATACATTTACTTATGGAACACAGATGAGTGTGTCTCTCCTAGTCAGCAACTATTCAGTATGATTGACTCCATATGTGCATTTTATATAGTGTTGACTCTGCATTTTTTTTTTTTTTTAACTGCAAATGCCAGTTACATTGTTAGAAAGCAACATGTATAACATGAGGCTTTGCCACGATAAATACTTTAAGTACTTGTCTCTAATGGGAATACTTTAGTAAATAACTATAACATTTGAGCTGTAGAGGGTTGAATTGTGAACTTCTGTGACTAATTATAGACACTAACTACATAAGTGTTGTATTCTGCTATTTATTTATAACAATATCATACATTTGGAACAATTTTAGAGGATAGTTCTACTTCATAGTTTGGCTTCAACATTATTGTCCATATTTACTTCAGCAATATATCGCACTTCAAAATGTGTTATGAGAGGCCTTGCAACATAAAATACCAATATCTATCAACTTATTATGGTATTGTAACATTTTCTTTTTAGCCTGACACTTCCACATCGTTGTGTCTGCGTTTTTGGGACATGTCTCTTGCACACTTCAGGACAGTGGATGTGCTCTGTCCTGCACAAACTATAACTCCACCGTCATTGACTCCAGCTCCTCCGGCTCCTCCAGCTCCACCCTTCACCCCAGGGCCTCATAAGCCTGAAGTGGTCTGCTCTCTCGATCAAATGACTGTGGTATTTCCCTATGGGACCAGTTTGGAGCTCATTGTTGAGGGTACAGTACATGGATGTAGCGTAGGACGGGGAGATATGACAGTATTATTAATCATGATTTTTTTTTTTGCTTGTTTTGAACGATCACAATTTTTCTTATTAAAAAAAAAAAAAAAAAGTGCTTTAAAAGGATTATCCTCAATGCAGACCTTAAATTGCCGTTTCAAATTTGTTCCTCGTGTTTTCCCTGACAAAGGATTGACTGTTGACCTTCCAATTATAAAGATAACAGATCATTGAAGATTAGAAATGACTGACTGATTAAAATTCCATTATCGTTCCTATTGAATTATAACATAATGTGAAATTGCAATCATTGTTTTTTATAATTTGAAATATGTCTTAAGTGTCCTCTGTTTAATAGATTTGAATGGGAACATGATAAATCTTCAGGATGTTGCAAAGGACTGTGGGTATTCTGCAAGCCTAGCCAAAGATGGAAAGATCGTTTTGAGCCTCCCCTTACATTTGCGTTGTCACATGACTTTGCAGGCAAGTACTGACTCTGGCTTCACACTGAGACATAACCTTTTGTTATATTGTACCTAACACCACATGTATAAACGTTGTCTACTGAAGGGTTCTATGTACGTCATCAACATGGTGTACAAAACATATGCAGGGGCAAAGGAGGCACAGTTTTCCTGCCCGAGAGGTGTTGCCCCAGTCACTAGTCATCAAGGTGCTTTATTTTACGCTCCTGCAAAGCTTCACTGAGATCTTTTGAGGGACTTGAACTGTGTGCTTGACCTTTGCTGTGCGGTCCTCAGAGTGCAACCTTCCCCATGAACAACGCCTCCCCTGTGGACCAGGCTCTATGTCCCAGCCACACTGCCTCTCTATGGGCTGCTGCTTTGGCGAATACCCGCCTACCTGTTACTACCCCATGGATGGTGAGCTGCATTTTGTATTCTCATTGGTGCATTTAAAGATGCACTGTGTAACTTTTCTGGTGGAGGATCAGTCACCTGCTTGTTTCTATGGATAGGTCATTGCTCCGCCTGGAATTTTACACAGTATGACATTAAACAGCTCTACCTTACATTTATTCAATTACAGGTGGTTTTATTATTCAAGAATACTTACAAAAACAGGCATTCTGACTGTGAGCGGGGATGCCTTTCCACAAATCTGACCTGTAACTTGGTCTGGTTTGATTTCCATGAACTTAGATACCATACCGTGAAACATTCCAGAAAAAGCAATAACATTTGAGGGACTCTCCACCAGAAAAGTTACACAGCGCGCCTTTGAAGATGAAGTAGATGCGGAACAATTGAAAATCTGTGAAGTTAGTTGCAGATTTGTTGACCTTTGTGGTTAATATCTCTGTAATTATTACTGCACTTATCCACATGGAACAAAAATGACCCAATGTCTTCTGACAGCATACAGCATTCAATTCAAACAACATTTCTTACAGTAGATTTTTAAAAAGTATTGCATTATTTAACCCCAAAGACGTGATTGTTTGTAGGCTCTGTCCCTAACAAATAACATTGAACATTTTATGGATCATAAGTTTATTAAAGATGCACTGTTTGCGTAACATTTATAGTACAGTAGAGGGTCTGCCACTTGCTTGTTTTCATGAAAATGCTATTGCTATGTCTAGAATGTTCCACAATATAGATTTAAACCTATCACAAGGGAGACAAGCAGTTTCTCAACACTACACTACTATTCAGATCTGTGGAGAGTTGCTCCTATTCACAGAAGGAATTATTTTATTTTGTGCAGTGGAAACGCCAGTGATAAATAAATACTAGATGGATATGTTTAATGTTTTACCATGGAATATTCCAGGCAAAGCAATAACATCTCCATGGAGACCAGCAGGCAGCAGACCCTCCACCAAAAAGTTGCGCAATGCACCTTTAAGTTAAATAGTCCCCTGCTCTCCATCTGAAATTGACCTGAATGTGAACGCACTCCATTAGCATGCAGTGTGTGTGTACTGTATTAGAAGTCTTGAGTGGTTTGTTTATGCATTTGTATTTCTGCAGAGTGCACTGCTGACAGACACTTCGTCTTCTCTGTGCCTGCTTCTCTCATGGAGCCACCTTTGTCTCTGGCTTCTCTCGTTGCCGGTGGTAACGCGTCCTGCACCCCCCAGAAAGTGACATCTAACTATGCTTTGTTTAAGATTCCTATGGATGCCTGTGGAGCGCGCAGGATGGTAACTATATTTGTAGCTTTAGCTGAAGATGCTGCTTCTATTTTGACTGTTTTGTGTCTGTGTCTTTTCATAGCAAGTGGGAAAAACTATGATCTACATGTTAGAAGTCAACAACATTGTTAACAGCATCAGCCTCAACTATGGCACAATCACAAGAGACTCGCCTGTCAGGTCAGTGCACAGAAATAAATGAAGAGTTAGTTTGCAAAAACAGATGAGTGCCATTTGAAAAAGTCATTAGAAGCTTGTACTTTACGCTTTGTATAGTAATATTTTCAAAAGCCAAATCCAAATGTATATAATCCACCCCTTCTTGATAAATTCCAATATAGATTGTCATTGCTAATATGTGTAGACCATTGTTTCCCAAAGACTGGGTCGCGACCCTCAGGTGGGTCACAAGAGATTTATTTTGGGTCGATTTGTCACGATCTGCATGTAGGTCTGTAATATACAGTTCTGACACATGTTGAAATGTTAAGACATGTTTTGTATAATTTTTAATCTTTTTGTAATTTTATTGACTTTTGTTCCAATATTGCTGGTTCAAGGGCATGTTGAAAAGAAAAAGAAATGGGCAACATTTAATGTCCAAATAGGCGACTTATGGATTCTTTTATTGCTGGTTCAGTTACTGCTTTTCATTGTTTAAAACTTGAGTAAATGATCACTCAGTCAACAATAAAATATCCTCTTTAATGTTCAATAATGGCCAAATCCACCTTCATTTTGTGATTTATGAATAATGTCTGTTGACTTGGGCTGCAAAGGTTTGGGACTTTTGAAATATGGGTCCCCAGATAAAAAAGTTTAAGAAACACTGGTCTTAGACGATGGCAACAAAAGGAAGAAATTTTTAAGGCATTTTTTCAAACCAGAGAGGTGTTTTTGCTATTCAGCTCTTCGGATTTTAAGAACACTGCAAAATAAAAATAGAATGTATTATGATTTCTGTCATTTCTATGCATTAGATTATTGGTGGAGTGCAGATTTTTGCCAGGTAGTGCCCTCACTGTCAGCTATATGGTGAAAACGCCATCTTTGGGCCCTGCCGTTCAAACTGAAGGAGTTTTTGGAGTACAGCTGAGGATCGCCAAAGGTAACTCAGAATCCTCCTACATACATTTACATTTGTATAAAAAGCTAAACGAATACACTCTTTATGTTAGACCCACAGTATAAGAGCTACTACCCACAGTATCACCAGCCCCTGCAGATGTTGTTGGGTAAACCACTCTACCTGGAGGTGCGGCTGCTCAACTCCCCTGACCCCAGTTTCGTGCTGCTCGTGCATTACTGCGTGGCCTATCCTCGCTCTGGGAAAGCCATCTGGGTGTTGCTTTATAACGGGTAACCTATAATTATATATAATAACAGCAAACCAACTCTATCAGCAGTATAAACTTTGTTTAGATCATTAAAGGGCACAGATTAAGCCATTTTCTGATGTTATGTTTTCTCATCAAAAACATACCTGGAGTTGTTTTTCATTCACACGTTTAAACAAACAAACCTGCATGTTTAGGCTTGTCTTTAACAGAAAACACTCGGTTCCACCTTGTGATGTCATGTGGTAATACAGTGAGTGCAAAACTGAGCTTTTAAACGTGATTCCAAATTATTCTAGTGAAGGTGTATGATTTCAGCCCTGGAATTTCCAAGCTCTTCTATACAAAAGGTAAAAGGAGCTGTTAATTTAAACTACTGCTTCATGATATCACAAGGTGGAACAGAGCATTTTGAGCTTTTGGAGATGTAGACAGACTAATAATAAAGTTAGGTATGTTTTTGAGGTGGTAATGACATTCTAACATGGCTTAAAGCTCCCAAGAATCCATAATATCTTTAATCAACTAAACTACTCTCTCTAGATGTCCAAATCCACTGGATCCTGATCCCAACCAGATTGTTCTGTCAGATCCTAAAGTTCCAGCTCGTGCCCAGACTCGTCGCTTCACCATCAGCACATTCCAGTTTCTTCCCGATGGAGAGTTTAAGGATTCAAATGAAGAGGTAAAAATCATAGATAGTAGGGATGTAACAATAACCGAAATATTGTGATATCATATCGTCAAAGCTCTCACAAAAATATCATGGACCATCACAATATACTTGAATTACAAGTCTCTTTGCTTAAATTAAGAGTTATGGTGCAGCAATAGCTAAAAAAAAAGACAGGGAGCTACATAGACCATGATCCTTTGCTCCATTTCAGTGTAGACTACAAGAAGAAATAACAGTTTTAAGCACTTTTAAATCTTAGTTCTTTAGTTTAAGTCTTGTCAAGGCATTTTAAGAGGAAAGAGTATCATTAACAGTTTTGTTTTTGCCTCCACAAAATATTGCAATAAATATCGTATCGTGAAAATATCGTACCAGGAGATTTGGATATTGTTACATCCCTAATAGACACTTTTGGATGGGTGCTTTATTAAAGGTGCACTATGTAACTTTTTGGTTGAGGGTCCATCAACTGCTTGTCTTTTTGAGCTGTAAAACCACTTATAATTGAAATTCCAGGCAGAGCAATCTCCGTAGAAACAAAAAAAACAGGCACTCTGACTGAATAGGGTTGCCTTTCCACAGATCTGATCTGTAACTTGGTCTGGTCTGGTTTGGTTTCCATGAAGACAGAAAGGTTTAATGCCATACTGTGAAACTTTCCAGACAAAGAAATAACATCTCCATGGAGAAAGGCATTTGACAGGGTCTCAGAAAAGTTACACAATGCACCTTTAAACAGAACAGATGAAGTTTCATGAAATTATGAGAATAAACATTTGTTTTAATTACATTTAAACAAACATGTAGCGAGAGTTCAGTACTTGCCAACAGACGTCATTGATTTTAGCAATTATATTGACTACTAAATTGTATCTTTAAATCTATAAATAAGGTTAATCACACATAACCTTAGAGAACCTTGATTTATTTTTCTTTTAAATAAAATTCAGATCTACTTCATGTGTTCAACTGAGATTTGCTCGCCGCGGGATGGTCCATGTGTAGAAGGATGTTTTGGTCCATGACGGTAAGCAGTGACCTCACTTCACCCACCACACCCAAAAATCACACTGGCTTCATTTGACAGAAGGAGGATAATTTAATCATGAGTTAAGCTGTGCATTATTGATTAAGATTGATGCATTTCCTGTTTGTCAGCTGCGTGGAAGATGTTTCTTGTTGGTTTAAATCATAATGAGCTGGTAAGTTCTCACACTGCGCATCTGGCACTGCTCAAGTGTCATAAACTAATTGTAAGAATGTTGTTGTTGTTTTTTCTTTTAGGCCTCACCATTTTACCAACAATAAAAATGTCATAATACTTGATGGGAGTGTATTCATAAGTACATTTGCAATTTACAATTACAAGTGGCAGGCAGAAAGAAGAATGAGTTTTATAGGGTCTTAACCAGTGCTGGTAAGTAACTGAATATATGAATACTGAATACCAAAAATATGTATTCTGAATACTTATTTTGAGTAATTGTATTCCAGTACAGTTACTCTTTCTTTTAGTGATATTCAGATTACAGTTACTTTCTGAAATTTAAAAGGAATACATGATGGTACTTCATTTTGTAATTTTGTCTTTGAACAGCATGGTAGTTTAAAAAAACTAAATGTAGCTCTTGCAGTGTGTGCATATGCATGTTTTGTCTCTATAACAAAAATAAAAAAAAAATGAGTTTGACATGTTTTCTTGCTGTAATATAATGCAACTTGACATAAAAGTATTCAGAATACAGTACTCTGGCCCAAGTAACGGAATACTTTACAAAATACATGTTAATGCATGTATTTAGTATTCTGTAAATACTTTTAGTAAGTATTCTTCCCATCACTGGTCTTAACAGTGAGTGGAATCAAGGATGGCTCCAATCCAGCATCAGTTTTATTTCACAACTCTAGACCTACTGCAGGAATAAATTGCTTCAATTTTACTAGTCCCATTTGCTTTTAAGAACTGAAACTCAAACAACTCTTTGACCTCTGTGGTGCCTGTACGGGCCTCTTAAAACAAATCAAATTGAAACAAGTGTGGAATAGATCAAAGGAGACCAGACTGTAACTGCTTATAACCTACCAGAGTATTCTAATGCAGCGAACTAATTTACGCATATCTTCCCTCCCAGTTGTAGCCTTTGGCCACTGGGTGTCATCCAAGCAATAAAAATACAGGAACACCGGATACCCCGTTCCGCATGACACATCTGGGCTCTAAGGCACGGCTTGTTTAATACTTGGTCGTGAAATTGTATCGCACTGGTTTGACAAAGCAGCGTTTGGCCGGTTTGTAGCCTACTTTGGTCGAGTGTGGTCGGCCGAGGCAGATCCTATAGGAACTGCACGCTATAGGCCGATTGCATGGTATTCTGCGACAAAATGTCAGTTTAAGCTTTGGGGGTGCACTCCGGGAGCATGACCGTCTTATCAACAAGACCCCTGTTGTACACGCGCACACCTCCCTCCAATGAAATGTATGGAAGCACTGCGGCACACTGCGTTTGTTTGCAGGCTGCGTGGCTGCATGGCTCAGCGTTCAAAGGGAGAGCGGAAGATAGGAGGAGGGGAATGACTACACCAAGAGGGTAGGAGGAGGCAGTGAGGACAATTTCCTTTCTGAAACACGCTACGAGAACACACCGGGAAAACGCACAGAGGAAAAATAATAGACTTTAGGCACAAGGAAACGGCAGCTTGAGGCGAGATCGGCGTCCTTTCTTTAACGGAAAGTAGCGGACTAACATGGGGGCAAACGCCAGCTCTTGACGAGGATCTACTCTTTAGTGAACCTCTTCTCTGTGGCACAAGTCTGGCTGATACACAGAGGAAAGGCAAAGGGAAGACATGTTGAGGGGCTTTTCATCTTAAGGCTGCGGTAGGATGTTCATATTGTGCTCTTATAAAGACGCCCCTTAAGAAAAAAAAACAGGGCAGATGGAAATAAGGCGGTAGATTATGCTCAGGAGCCAATGGTTTGATCGATGTCTGAATAATTAGTTTGTTATGAGCTGGAATAACGTAGGCCTCTGAAGCAACCCGCAGTAAATAAACACGGTCAGCAAATGCTTTGTAGCTTCACATTGACACTAAATGTTGTAGATGGCCTCTTAGAAGCTGCTGTTTTACAGAATCGCACACCTCTTTTATTAGACTGGTAACTCGTCTTGCTGCCAATCGGAATTGCGTTTTATGATAGTCAAGGCTATTGCTCGGGTTGAGCTAAATAACATTTGAACTCTTTGTGGGCTGATACAAAGGCCCAAACCGAAGACTGCGTCTCTAGAAGTGTTGCAAGAACATTTCATCCCGGGCAGAAAGCTCACATCTGCTTCAGCTTGGCTACCTTTGTTGGCCTGTTTTCCGTGTAGATAGAAACCACACAAACGATTTCTAAATGTTAATGTCGACCGACGTTGCCTCTATCATGCTGCCTGTGTCCCGGGCTCTCTTGGATCGAGATAGAGAGCTGGACTCCATGGCAGGTGTGCACCCCAACGCAGGCGGTCCTCCCTCGGCTGTTCGGGGCATGAAGCGCGGAGACCCGGAGCCTGACGGACAGACGGCCGCTGCTCTGCTGGACACCTCTGGAGCTGAGTGCAAGCGCCCCCGGATGGATGGCACCGGGGGTCTCGGGGATGTTGGCCAGGTGAGTGCTCTTCAGTGCTGAATTCAAACACAAGTACAATGTACAGCGATCCAAATCTTGGCCATGGTGTTACAAAGTGGCACATATTTTTCTCACATGGTTTGTGACACTGTAATAAATCTTTGTGAGGGTGTAAAGCTGAATTTCAGACCCTTAGCTGAACCTTCACGTATTAAAATTGGTCTAATTATGCTACAGAAATGTTTTTGCATATCTATATTGTAGACTCTACAAAATAAAGTTCATAGAGGGACATGAAGACACTCCTCAAAGCGTCGCTCTCTCACCTCAGGTGAGACCACAGAGAGGAGGAAAACCATTCATGAGGCTTTTGCATGCAAAAATGTACTAACCCCAATCCACACCACAGCCCAATGTTGGGTTCCACACATGTTTTAAAAGTAAATTTATGGCCTTCCCAGTTGTTTCTCTGCAAAGGAACCCAATAGGTGGCATTTGGTATAAACAAAGATTTGTTTCCAGTTTGCAGCAAGTCATCAATCTCCAACCCACTCATGGTGATTATATTGATTTGCTGGGCTGTTTTAATTAACACTATTGCATTTGTTTTTACTCTGTGCTTGCCTCAGCAATGCAGTGGTTCATTAAACTTCACTAGACTCTCCCAGGCAGCCGAGACATTATTATGGTATATTGTGGAGGATGAGAGGCTCCACTGAAGTACTGAAAGCTATTTCTTTGCTGTTGAAAGTGCCCGTAATGGAGGTGGAGTGGCCCATTTGCTCCTGTTTGGAAAACTAAACGAGTGGGGTTTACGTGGCCGAGCTGCTGGTGTGTGCTGACAGGCAGGCCTGGGAGCGTAATGCACTTTTAAACACACGCACTGGATGAGTGTGTTTGTGTGTCACACTGAAATGCGGATCAATAGCTCAGCCTCTAAAATGTATTGAACGTGAGCTGGCTGGACAGTCCGGAAATGAGAGTGGGAGAGAGCCCCCCTCGCTCCCCTCACTCACTGGGTTTGCTGCAGGAACAGATTTGCCCTATCACTAGCAGTAAAGAGGCTTTGTTTCCAGCTAATGGGATCACATCTCAAACTGGAGGGGGCATGCTATCCACACGGATCTGAGATTCTTATCTAAGGCAGAAGATTTATACAACACACATGACTGCAACAAAGATTAGTGTGAAATCCCCCCAACACTTGTCTGTTACGACTTCAAACGTCCACAAGCTGTTTTAGTAATACTGCTGTTCCTGTAAGTTAATACTGTGTCAAAGATCAAAGTGCGTTGGTCTCATGTTAAAAATAACTGTAATCATGTCACAAATTAAGATAAAACTGTGTTCAGTTCAAGTTATTCTGTACCTTCAATTTCTCTTTATATACTATTTTAAGATTTGTAAAATGTCAGCCAGCTCCTGTTCTGAAAAGACTGACATATTTTATTTTATTAATAAAAGTGTTGTTCTGTGTCTTTTTTTGCCTTTGGAGCACTTGAGTTCCAGGAAAAAGCAATAAAACACACATTTGGCTCCTCTAAATCCCGTTAGAGGGATTTTAAGAATGGAAAATATTACCACAGAGCAAACCTTGCATTTTAAAACTGGGGTCCTGATTATTTCCTTCTCCTCATTACTTCTCAAATGTGGTTTCTGCTGACACGACAGGAGGATCTGATCTCTGACCTGTAAATGTATCAATACAGTGGGGTGTGGCAGTAGCGCAGAGTAATCCATTTGAAGCACTCAGTTCAATAATAGGATCTTTCCCACTTGGCCATTGACACTGCTGTTTTTCTCATTAGTTCCTGGGCCCCGTGATGTCATCGCAGTGCGGGGGTAGAACGTCTCTGTCAAGGCACATCAGCAAACTTGAGGCAGAGCAGTAAAGCATGTAGGAGCACTGCAGTGGGGCTGTGTATGACTGAAGGCTCCACTAACACACACAAATAAACTAAGGGAGGAGGCATCCAACAGTGAAAGAGCTGCTCCTTCAAATCAGATTTTCAGACTATTCCATAATATAGTCCACTGCAGATCTTAAGTACAGTGCTGTAAAACGGAGATTACGGTAAATTATCAGATTATCACATGGGGTGTCCTGTGATTTATGACAAAGCACCAGTTTTCAGGCTGACTTTAGATGTTAAGAGGAGGCTGTCTGCTTCAGTATCTCTCTGGTATGTCGTTGAGCGGGCCATGTTTTGTTGTCACTCTACGTAAGAACCGGGGCACTCTCTAACCTAATAAGGTCTTGCCTGGGGTGACAGTGTGAGGACAAATGACTGGACTGGGACATTAATGTAGGTGGATCACCACCCTGTATTTTCATCTCAGTTGTGCTGAAATAGAATGAAAACGTCAGCAAGAAAAATGTAGTCCTGCTGTATGCGGAGAATATTTATGTAGGTTTTGGATGCCTGTTTTTGTGATAAATGGCCAGCATTGCTCTGTAGACTGAATTATGTTCAACAGAGCAGGCTCAGGGCGCATGGTTCTGCTTTGAAGCATGCTTAATGCACTGCTATTCTCCAGATCAATTTCACTTAAGTCGTTTGTCTCTCAGGCAGTAGATTTTCTGTCACTATAGCGCACATTAGGATATTAATAATTTAAAAGAGTTTTTACTAATTGTGCTGTCAGAATCTCAAAGAAAAGACTCCTAGAGCTCAGATGTCAGTTTCATAGTAAATGCATACTTAGTAACACATCCTGATGGCTGATCACATCCTTAGTAACACATTCTGATGGCTCAGGCTTATTTGTAATAAGTGTACATTTTTAATTCAGTCACATGTGAAGAATGATCCATGATAATGTTATGTCATCAGTTGCCTTGACCCACAGCCCTGTGTAGAGCATGTGTAGGTTTACTGTAGAAAGTGAAAAGGAAGTGAAGGATGAAGAGGGAAAATAAAGGCGAGCGGCCGCCTGTCTGTTTTGAGGCTTAACACGTAAGTGCTCTGTGGATGAAATGGCTTCACATCCTCCTGAGTGGCGGGGCCTCTGCAGTTTGGACTGTCAGAGCAGCCCATGTTCTTCCTAATCTCCTCCTTAGATGAAAGGCTGTCCCAAGGCATGATAGGAATAGATGTGAGTCTTGTGACCAAATTAGACACAACTCACAGACTACAAACAATCTAATTTAAGCCATACCTGCAGTTTTTGGAGCGCACAGACAGGATCGTGCCAGTACACTGTCTGAAAGTGGCTCTGTGTTGAACAATTTCTTCTTATTAGAGCTGAACAATTGAACAGTTGCTGCCACCATGATGTGACTCATTTATCTTTTTGGTCATATCTGAAAGTATTTTGCAAGTCTTTAATACAACTGACTGTTGGCAGTTTACTCAGTAACACTCCCCAGCAGATGAATCAACAATGTAAATGCTTGTTGTTCTCAGCCATACATCTTTTGATTGTGTTTTTCCACCCCCTCCTGCTCATCTGCCCCCCTTCTCCTCCACCATCTGTTGACTTCAAGTCATTTTGATAATTTCTCCTGATTGCTCACCCTCTCTTCCTTTGCACTTTCTTCCTCTCTTCATCTTTTTGAACCACTCCCTTTACGAAACACCATCTCCAGCTCCAATAACAATCCCATGTGCTCCGTTTGTCACCGCTCACAAGGAGAAGCGTAAAAGGTTAAGTCATGATTAAGTTATCAGTGCAAGATGCTGAGTGTTTGGGATCTTACTGGTGCTGTTAGATAACTGCAGTGAGCAGGCTGTTACACTCCTCATTCCTGCAGTTCCTTAAGGAAATTAAACACATGACTCTGCTCATGCATGAGTCATTGTGTTCAGTGCCATTGCTTCTCTTTCTGTGCAGACATTTTACTGTTACATTTCCAGCTTAACCTCACACAAGGCTCTGTGCTCCAGATGTTGTCGCTCTGTACCTCCTTTTTTCCACACGGCCCCATTAATCTCGCGTCTGGTTCCTTTTTGTCTTTTCAATTTATTTTTTCTCCTATGCTTTTCACCGTGTGGCTTTATACTTTATGTGAAGTACATTTAGTTTGGCCTAGCTGTAAAATCAGGTTTATACTTTATTCATGTTATTCAACCCTCTAAGAGGTGATTCATTATTTAGTGCTTCTACCTCTCAAAGCCAGCTCACTAAGTACATTTTTGGCTCAGAGATACACTGCACAAACTGCATTTTTTCAATCAAGATGGCACTTCCTTTTCCTATGATCAAACTGCTCACATTTTGGGACCTTGTGCTTAGTTTTTAGTGAAATGGCCCCATGGGGTTCCCAGTGAGATGGCTACAGTATTAATCATGCGAAGTCAAGCTGTGAAGCGCACAGAGCAAAGTGTTCCCCCCGGGGACAGAGCAGACGTGGGACATTGGTTCCAGATGAAAAGAATATGGGAAGGGGGGCGTAGAGAAGGGGGAGGAGCCCAGTTGTTTTCTAATCTAGTGATATGAAGCTAGGGACAGGCAAATCTGTATCCCTCATATCAAAGCACATTGTAATTGCTGTGAAGAGTGCCTTTTTTTTATGAAACACATTAGCAAAAATCTCAAGCGTGGTGTTATAAGAAATGTAAAGTTGACTACGTTTTGGAAATGATTTTTTTTTTTTTTTGGATCCATTTCTGGATCCAAACAAAATGAAAAAATGTTCATCCTGCTCAGCGTTCTCCTAATTACTCGCCAGATGCTTGATCTATTGGTCGTAGCTTCACAGAGCAGTGAAAGGAGTGTGTGGAGATTTCATCAAGGCTCATGATGCCATTTCATACCATAGACTTGACATCCCCCTGACCCATTTGTGATTTAGGAGCGCCGGTGACACCCACAATTCCTCCGCATCTTTTTATCTCCTGCTTGCATAATTCCCGCCCGCCATCACGTCTTCACCATCTTAGAAAGGGGCTGCTGGCTACAAAACTCAAAGATAACAGGAGAGTGTCAGAGTTAATTTGATTATTACTGCAGAAGTGTTAAGTCAAAGGCCAAAATGTTTCAACAAGGCAAAGAATGATTGCGTGTGTGTGAGTCTCAACACCTTAAATGGCATTTGTGTAAAAATGTACTTTTTCTTTTACAGAACAATGACCCTTTGACCCTTGGTTACCATGGATATCCTACTCACAGTCAGGTAAGGTCATTATTTTTGTCACACTTCCATTTTTAAATCTTGGATACACTTATACTTGATACACTATATCTTTAATGGCTCAGTGGAGCTCAACAGACCACGAGGTGGGGGTGTAAGATAATAATTCTTCTTGAAGAAAACCTCCATCTATGTTATTTAGATGCCTCTACCACAAAAAGCACCAATACAATTACAAATCTTTCCATTTCTTAATTTTAATCCCTACAATCTGTTTTCCTTAGTTTGTATTAGCTCGATTGTGCTAATCGGCTGCTCTTTTTTGTGTGGGTAATCCTTAGATCATCCCCCCGTTCATCCACTCATCCTCTCCTGCTCTACCCATAATCCCTTCTTTCCCGACTCCGTGTCAGCGATGCCCAACCACCCCTGGCTGTTTATCAGCGCACTATCGTATACCCCCACCCCCTCCATTTTTTTCCCTTTGCACTTATTGCCTTTGAGCCAATTAGCCACTGTTCATTTCACTGTGAAGAGAATGGTGCTCTCAACCACTTCCTTCCTAATGATAATGTTGGTGGAATAATCATAAAGGCTGGGCATATTATTTATGTAAAAATGTAAGCCAAGGTCTGCCGCATCACACCATTTGAGAGAGAAAAGGGAAAAAAAAAAAAAAAAAAAAAAACATGGGAAGACAATACTGGGCAGTGGAGGCTCCCATAGCACAGAGGCGCTAAACTGTCAACAACCGTGTGAGAATGATGTGATCAAAGGCAGAGCCCAGAGAGCAGCATGGAGCGGATGTGTGAACACGGTACAGACACTTTTCAAACTGAGAAACACTAATAAGTATCTATCTGTCAAATCTCCGCCAAGTGGTCTCTTAATGTTTCCTAATGGTTTTATGCTAGGCCACAGAGGAAATGGATTTGAGGTAGGTTTAATTGGAGACTGCTGTGCGCGCAAAGTACCTGTGACAGCATTTTACTGGCTAATTACAGAAAATCACAATCAATAAAAATAAATGTATTGATGGTGCTGCTTAAAAATGTATGTTGATTATGCAAGGAAACAAAGCCTACTGAGATTTCATGAAGTATGCTTTTAACAAGGGTTTAAAAATGCTATTTAAAAAAAAATGTTTATCCGTATTCTTTAAAATCAAAGTGAGACTGCAGTGAACTAAAGCTACTTAATTCCGCAATGTGTAGCTCTAATCCTTACATTTTTGATGATATCACATCTTGTTTTATTTTTTCTCCTTCTGGCTCAAGTTTTTTTTTTTTTTCAGAAATGGCTTTTCAACACATTTGCATTCAGTAATTACCTCTCTGAGTTGCTATTCATGTAATTGTATATATTACAAGTCATTTTCCCCCATTCCTGCACAGAATGCAAATTGCGTAGCCACAAGCCAAATAGATTTGTGGGATTCTGAATATGAATGATAACAGTGGAGCATGGTGAGGGCGCTGGACCCGATGTTGGACATGAATAAAGAAAAATGCTTTAGATACATTTTGTTCTGCAGCTGTTAAGACTGTGTTGCTGCCCCCATTAGGCTGTTGTGAGCGAAGGCACATTAAGCTGGTGCATGTTGCTCTTTTGGATCTCCTTGTTGTGGATTGTGCTCTTATGAGACTGTTTTCTTTGTGTAAAGTGGTTGATCATTTGTTCAGAAATAATCTGATTGATTACATAACGGATGTTTTTCTTAAATGAGCAGCAGCGTGTTTATGTAACACAGTAAAATGGTGACTTTTCACACAGTCTCCCAGTGGCGCGGAGCCCCAGTTAACTCACCTACATGAAGAAGGAGCTCCAGGAGGTAGAGAGAGGGACTGCGACACGAGCAAGGCTGAGGGGAGGGGACAGTCTGCAGGTGTGACAGAGCAGTGGGAGGAGTGGAGCTCAGGCAGCAGAGATGAGCAAGCAGCAAGGGCACAGCCGCACCGGAGCAGTGCAGGAGAAGCCAGAGCTATTGAGTGGGAGACACCGTAAAGAGAGCGAGTGACAGAGGCTGGAGGAGGAGGAGGAGGGTAGACCAAGTGAGCGAGCAAGCGAGTGAGCGGGGGCAGAGAGAGGGAGATTTTGAATCTGGGAGACAGACAGAAGAGAGCGGAGCTGGTGAGGTGACACAGACTCGACGGGAGAGAGGGAGAGAGAGAGGAGGAGAGCGGAGAGCCCACACTTCGAGTTGTTGCACAGAATACGATGATGGGACTGTACTATCCTTCCGTGTTGTCGGTGAGTGTTGGCTCCTCTCTTTCTTATTGTCCGTTGTGTGTGCCTGTGTGCGTCACAACTCTCACTGTAAATGAAGAGGCATCAGAGTGCCCAGCGCTGTCACTAAGCATGAAATGTTAATTAACTACTAACAGATGAGGACTCTACTTGACCCCTTTAGTGGAGTGGTCCACTCAGGGCATTTTTGACTACTGTTAGTGGCTGTGAGATACACATCAAGAGAAACTCGTGTAGCAACTGGAGATGACAAGACGATACAGGTTAAGAGAACGTTTCTGAAATTTAGCCACTGCATTTTGGACGTGTTGTTGTTGTAGCATCTGCTCTCCTGCTCTGAGCTACTAGTGCATGCAATGTGAACATTGGGGCTAGCGCTGCCAGAAAGAGCTGTGCCATGTATTATGTATGCTCAGAAGAATCTATGTGAACATACAGGGTGTTTATGTAGCTACTTGGTGTGCCTGCTTTAAACTCATTTGAGGCAAAAGTGGAAGCCCAGGCAGAGAGGGGGAGGAGGGCTAAGTCAAAAGTCTTTATTGCCCCAGCAGCTGTCTCCGTACATTGCTGAAAGCCTGTGAGCGAAAGAGACAGGTGTCCATGGAACAGTTGTCTTTTCTTTTTGTTTTTTCTTCTTAGTCCCTATCTCTTCCTGCCTTCTGCATCTCCTCTTTTCAGCTCACACCTCCTCACTGTAATTTCTGTGTCACACATTTCACAAACACACACTGCTCGAGAGCACAGTGGGCTGCAAAGTTAGTGCATGAAGTGTCATGTTTGTATCATTAGATTTCATTTGGAGTGAGTCAGGCTCTTTCTGTTGCACCTTGGATTCCGGCTCTTTACTGTTTGACCTCTTTTCTCCCTCCTCACACTCTCCCTGGGGCCCTGGCAGCTGTTATCTCAATGTTTTCCTTTAAGAGCCCCTGGAAGAAAGGGTGGGGGGTTGTTCGGCACAGATTGGGAGCAGGAGATTGGAAATTGATTTTAAAGGTGATGGGACACCCTCAGTCAGCTGCCAGGAAAGCCCAGGAAACCCAAATTGTGTGGATGAAAGTGAGATAAGCAGAGATCAACACAGTGGAGCTGTGTGCGACCAGGCAATATCACAGGTCAGCTGCCGAGAGCTACTTCAGTGTGACGCAATTTCTCAGCGTTCAGCTGACTGTGCACTTACATATGGGCACGGAGCAGCCCACTGCGTCTTCATTATCCCAACAGCGATGAAGCCAGCGCTGCCCTGCTTATTCTGCCTTCACTTCTGTTCGGTGCAGAATATGGTGCAAAAGACTTGAAAATATTTTCTCAAGCCCCACCTAAGCATGTGCCCCCAGGCAAGGGAGAGCCGCCTACCTGCTGCGAAACTTTACACACCGGCACACTTTCATAACGATATCCAGGCCGTGAGGAGCTACCCCCCTCACACTGCTCCTCCCTGCTTCTACCTTACAGTCTGTCCTCCCCCTCTGATCATCTTATTGATTCGTTGCAGGGTTAACAATAATGGTTGTTAGATGATCCCAATGAGCTGTGTTGCCGTAGCAACATGCATGAGTCATTCATTTGTGCAGATTGTTAGACAGTTTGAGGGAAACATTGATGGGAGAGCCCTGTAGGGTAAGCACCTTGCCAGTGCTGCTCCGGTTAGAAGCATGGTTATGAAATGGAGCAGACCCCCGCCTGCTGAGAGATTTCAAAGCATTTGTATTCATAATGAGTCTGACGGCAGCATCATATACCAGCTTTGTGTACATTTCCAAGTCACAATGGACGTCCAAATAATGACAGCCGCAAAACTAGACTAACTCGATTCGTGTCTGTGGGTAAAAGGTGTGCTGAATGTTGGGTAAACACATTGTTTTGTATCTGTGTGTTCAGCTGCACGTGTTTGCATACATCCTTTAATGAGCAATAATGTGGACAAGTCTTCTCGTCGGCTTTTGTCTAGAGTTTGTCTTTAGTTAATTTGGCAGTGAAGCTGATGAGGAACTTTAATCCAGTCAGTTGATGGATAGTAGAGGTGACAGTGATGTCGCGTGTGCTGCTGGCCTGTACATGTATGCACGTCTCTTGTAAACATGCAGCAGGAAAAGGAGTCACCGGGGGTAGCATGCACGGAAAGGGGGGTGGCAGGGGTCATACGTGATTGAAGCCCTACATGGCGAACTGCTGTGGGCGGACTGGGTTTGACAAGCACTCGTGTTACCCTATAAGGAAACAGAGCTGTATGTGGGAGGGAGGAGCCTGACATACACTATCATACTGTTGCTATGATGCCCATAAGATGATTGGCGTTTATGGGGGCGGGACATATGCAAGGGTCCCGTCTGGATTTTATGAAGCGTAAAGAAGCAGAGCAGAGAAGGGGAGAGTGGGAGGAAAAGGGAGAGAGAGAGGAAAGACGGGGAGAAGAGCCGCATGAGGGGGAGGAGGATGGTGAGGCAGGGCTTGATGTAGGATGGAATAATTTAACAAGAGGGTGTCTCCTGCCTCATCACTATGCCACACACGCTGCAAATGCTTCTCCAGCTGTTTCTAGCTTAGATAACACAATACACGGGCACCAAAAACTGAACTAATTAAACTAAACTAATGTTTGTAGAGCCTGAATATGTGAGGATGCTAGCGGTGCAATTCACGTTGTCCATCATCAACTTGCTGAATGAGGGTATAGTCTAATGGCTCTGGGCCTGCCGAAGTAAGATCCTGAAATGTCATTATTCATGTGAAATGACCCAGAGTTGCCCTAGTTAGCTCTTAGCCACTCTCTTCTCCTCCTCCTTGTCTCCTGTATGCTATAGTGAGACTGCTGCAGATGAGCACATTTTATAACATGCCTCCTCAGACGCACTTGCTGCTGTTAAGTGACCCGAAAGTAAGCTAGCTACAGCTACCACTCTGAGTCACTGGCTTTTGCCTAGCCAACACATAAGAATAACGCCTTAACACCAGAAGTATGCGCGCACAAACATACACACATAATGACACCACGTTGGCAAGCTAAATGTACACAAATCTGAGTGCTGCTTACAATTTCTCTACAGGGTTTTCAATTGACAGAGACCCTCCTCCCAGCTACATCTTTGTGCATCCCTCTTTTCATCTCCGCCAGCCCTATCATCTATGTCCATTTATTCACTACATGCTTTTATCTCCATCACATCGCCAAGGCCGCTAGCAGTCAGGAAACTAGACAGTGAAAACTAGCAAAGGGGGGCAAACATACACTATTCCTGTAACTACAAGAGCGGCGATCGCGTTTCAGGTAGAGAGCTGCCCGTCGTGTCACAGCAATAACGGATCTGCGCTGAAAAGGCCAATCGCCGAACACAAATAAAAGGTTGTTTTTGGCCTGCGTTCCCGCTTCTATTTCAGGCTGGCAGTAGGAACAGCAACAGCCGGATTTGTCCATTCTCCTGCTATTCTCTAGTCTGTTCCTCAGTGTAAACAACAACTGACATAGACATGATTTAATCTGCCGCGCACATGGACAAAGTGTACATCGCTGCTTTTGAAGACATCCCAGCAAACTCTATAATAAGGACTGCTTTGTCTGAGTTGGATGGAGAAGTTGTAAAGTCCACTGAGTCATCTGTTGTGACTCATTAAGACGGTGAATTTTTGATGCATAGTAGGAGAGCTTTTCTAGATATTTTACCCCTACTCAAACGCATGATACTTTAATTTAATGGTGCTCTGTAACATTTCTAGTGGAGGGTCCGCCACCTGATGTCTCCATGGAAATGTTATTGCTTTGTCTAGAATGTTCCACAGTGTAGATTAAAACTACATATCACAAGGGAGACCAGCGTTTACAGAACTACACTACAGGACAATTCAGATCTGTGGAGAGCCTCTTCTACACAGAGAGAATTATTGGATTTTTGAGCAGTAGAAACACCCCTAATGAATACATTCCAGGCAAAGCAATAACATCTCCATGGAGACAAACCCTCCATTAGAAAAGCTGCGCATTGCACCTTTAAATAATGTTAATATATTAAAGCTGTACATGGACAACAAAGCTACGTCTCACTTTAGATGTAGCCTCTGTCTTTCTAATAACATTGTGCTTTTCTCATTTCCCAAGTTGCTCCAGCAGAGAGATCAGTTTCCTCTTTCTAGACACTCACTCTGTGGCTGTTGTCATCTGGGTTAGCGATTACCTACATTGACTCCCTCCACCCACTATCCATTTCACCTCCACAGCAGAGAAAGTGGGAGACTATTTGGCTCTTGTCATTTTAAAGGCACGTTTAGCATAATCGTTGTTCCATTAGAAGCGCAACAGACTGGGTTAACGAAGGGCTGTGGACGATATAAAACTGTGGTAGCCTTAAGTTACGGCATGCCAAGTGAACAGTTAATCTACTAAAAGGGACTGTGGTGTTGCACTTACAAAACTTCATACATAATTAGAATCTCATGCAAAATATACTATGTACAGAGAAGTACTATAATAAACAGCATCTTCATAAGTGAAAAGACAGATTAAGCTCCAGTCACTCAAATTCCTGCAAACTCCAACAATAAATCCTTATAAATCTTATAACATCATCAACCAATGTAGTTTACCAAGACGCCACCAGTGAACTAAATGACTAAAGGCTCACAGCCCTAGTAAACAGACCTGCAGGAAATTGATTGCATGCGATGGTGGAGTATCTATCTATTCTACATCTGCTATTCCCACAGCACAATCTTGTTTGGTGGGCTACAGGTGAGATTGGAAGTGGTTCTTACAGCTGTAGGGCTTTGAAGAGTTGACAGAGGCGTCTGCTCATAACACGAAGTTCATCTTGAAGTCTGTGGTCAGTAATGTTGTGAGCGACTGGCGGCGGTACCGGTGATGAGGGCCACAGAAGATGGAGAATGCAGTGGTTTTGGAGTACGAGGGTTTTCGGAGTGTTTTACCTGGTGAGAGAGCAGTGTGAAATTCTGCAGTAGACTACAGTGAAGAGGGGACTCAGTGTGGTGCCGGGCAACAGCGACTCAAAATGCTCTACTCTGTTGGATATTGCAACAACCAAGCAAACTGAAAACCACAAGAGTCCTGGCAAAGAGTCGTTCTTTATGTATATTAGATAAATGTAGGAGGGTTTTTGTTATGGCCAGCATATGCTGTGTTCTCATTTAGTTAGTCTGTATTTAATTAACAGACCCAACATATTGGTTTATAACATTTGTGTTATGTAATCATTTGTAGTGGTTTTTAACTCTGAAGTATGCTCAAAATTGTTGATATATTGATTACTTTGAAGTTTTTTCACTTAATTACCACCATAAGATTGATTTCCTACTATGATTAATTACCCCCTTTCCCCTTCCAACCCTCTGTATGGGGGCACATGGGAACGTTTGTACAAGCATTTGGTTTGCAGCTGTATAGCTGTTCTCAAATGTCCTGTACATGTAGTAGGACAGGACAAAGTTCCCCTTGTGTTATCTGTATATGCTCCTGTGTCATAATATGAGCGTGATCCATGTCAGCTGCACGCCTCTTGTTGTTGGACGAGTGAAGGGGCCGGTTTCAGTGTCACAGGTGTGACGTTGACAAAGGTCAAAAGCTGGGACAGATGGCACACTCGCATATACTCGCATATACTCTGGAGCTCTCCTCCCACACTTTTAGCACTCCCAAAGGGACAGAGATCCATTGTGATCTGCGATGGGCATCGCTGCGGCCTGTCACTCACACACATAACGTCAGTGCAGCTCAGCAGATGTCTAGTAAGCGCCAGTCTTTAGAGGTTACAGCATTCAGGTGGAAAAAGACAACAAGTATTACTTTCCCTAATGAAACATTAGTACTGAGTGCATGTAGTGCCAGCGCGTCATTATGCCTTTCTCCATTATTACTAATAACAATTACATAGAAAGTGATAATGATGGTAATAATTATAATTAGAAGAGGAAGACCATAACTGTTTGCAAAATGCTTCAATATTAATTGATTGTCCCTCCACAGTACTTGTATAAAGATTCTGCTTTGGTCAGTTATCTGTTAGTTATGGCCATGTCTCTTGCATCAGTCAGCACCTTTTATCGTCCGTCCCCTTTTCCTCTCCATCCCTGCTGTCTCCTGCTGCTCTCTATTACCATTTAGGGTAGCCATGCCCTGCTGCCAACAACGAGGAATGTACGCGTGCGTGCCTTTGCTTGAGTCGTGCTCCACCATGTGTTTGTGGGAGCTCAAATTGTATTGTTTCTCCTACGCTCCATTTATAAATCATTTCTGGGGGTAATAATGATGCTAGAATACTTGAGCATGCTGTCTTAGTAACAGTCGGTCCTTGCAAGCGTTTAGATGTGTGGGTGTTTGTGTGTCAAAGGTGGTTGGTGAGTGTATGTGGGCGTTAGAGACTTAACTGTTATAGAAAACATAGTAAAGGGCTGCATCTGACCCTCAATAATAGATATGACTGCAGTGAATATTTAATGGTGGGGGGTGGGCCTGTCGATACCATCACATTGACTTATATACATGTACGCTGCAATGAGGAAATCCTATATCAGTGATGGTATGACTTTCAACTCTGGGGAAAATGGTCTCAAATCGGTCAGGTGATGCTCCCTGTAAAAGATATGGCAGACCTTAGCCAGTTGATGACTTCTTCTTCTCTTGTTTTTCCTCCAACAGGGCTCTCAGGATAGTGCTGGTGGTCAGGAGGGACTGGTGCCTCCTCCCTTCTCTGCGTTTCCTCCACCCCCGCCTCCACCCCCCCAGAACGGCCTGACTCTGGATTACGGGGGCAGCCTGTACACAGCGGGGGGCGTGCAGGGTCCTGTGGAGGCAGGCGGAGCAGCCAACAGCGCCAACGCCAACAGCCTCTGTGCCCAAGTGAGTATCTGCCTCTCCCTCAGTGCAGTACAGCCCACAGCAAGGCCCGCCGCAGTCTCCCTGAACTGTGAAAGCACACGAATTATCCAGTAAATAAAGACACATGGAGGCGCTGGTCTCAAGATACTTCTACTGTAACACAAATAGAAGAAAATAGTCAGTAAAGGCTAGAGTTAATAGCTGTGTGCTGGGAAGCAAAATACCGTTTGGTAATACGGGTCAGTCCTCAAATTAAGATGGTGATTAACTAACAAAATGACTTAAAAGAATGGCATTTTCCTTGTGAAAGATACTTCTACTATACCTCAAATAGAAGAAAATAGTTTGAAAAGACTAGAGTTAATAGCTGTGTGCTGAGAAGCAGAATACTTTTTGTAATACAGGTCAATCTTGAAATTAAAAGAATACCATTTTCCTTGTGAATCACTATATTAAGTCATTTTGTTAGTCAAAGATACTTCTACTATAACACAAATAGAAGAAAATAGTCAGAAAAGGCTAGAGTTAATAGTGGTGTCTTGGGAAGCAGAATACTGTTTTGTAATACAGGCCAATCTCGAAATTAAAATAGTGGGATTTGCCTTGTGAATCACCATCTTAAGTCATTCTGTTAAAGATACTTCTACTATAATACAAATATAAGGAAACAGCTATTAACTCTAGGCACTTTGGACTGTGTGCTGGGAAGCAGAAAGCAGTTTTGTAACACAGGTCACTCTTGACATTAAGATTTTTACAAGGAAAATCGCATTCTAATTAATTTTGTTAGTTAAAAATACGTAATATAAGAAAATTGTTTGAAAAGGCTAGAATTAATAGCTGTGTATTTGGAGGCAGAAAGCGGTTTTGTAATACAGGTCAATCTCGAAATTAAAAGTATGGCATTTTCCTTGTGAATCACCATCTTAATTCATTTTGTTAGTCAAAGATACTTCTGCTATAACACAAATAGAAGAAAATCATTCCGAAAATGCTACAGTTAATAGCTTTGCGCTGGGAAGCAGAAAGCAGTTTTGTAATACAGGTCAATTTCAAAATTAAAAGAATGGCATTTTCCTTGTGAATCACCATCTTAAGTCATTCTGTTATTCAAAGCAGATCTCAGCAAATGAGATAATGCTCTTGGCTTGGATGTGTTTTTCATAAAGTAAACGTAGATTTTGACATTTTCAGAAAAGGTTAGCAATGACTGAGCCAATGAAGGACACCAGAATGTCTTTTTAAAATTAATTTATTTATTTCTATGGTTGATTAATGATTCATGATAATAATAATGATAATTTTTTTGTCCTTTGTGTCCATTATGCGCTAAGTTTTTTCTAGGCAGGTACTACATATTTATCATTGTATTATCTGGATAGATTAAAGGTGCATTGCGCAATTTTTCTTGTGTTCCATGTTATGACATTAAATATATGTGTCACCCGAGATGAATAATGCAATAATCCTTTCTGTGAATAAGGACGTATCTCCACAGATCTGAACTGTAATGTAGCGTAGTGCTGTAACCTGCTCGTCGTCCTCATGATAGATCAGTTTAATCCATATTGTGCAACATTCTCTATAAAGCAATAATATTTCCATGGGGAAAAGGAGGCGGCGGACCCTCCACTAGAAATGTTATGCAGTGCACCTTTAATAAAATGCAATTTAATAATAATAACCAAATGACAGAATTCCTGCATGCTAATATTTACCACACACTCGTGACTTACTCCGCTTGTTTCCCCTCTCCTTTGCCTTTCTGCTGTCTCTGTCCCAACAGCCAGATGGGTCTTCCCAGATTGACGGTCAGTCAGGGGTCGGCTCAGGCGGTGGAGGAGGAGGAAGCGTTGGAGATGAGTCAGATGCTAAAGGGGCCCCCAAACGCCTCCATGTCTCTAATATCCCCTTCCGCTTCCGGGACCCCGACCTGCGGCAGATGTTCGGGGTCTGTATGGGCTTCACGCTCTTGTCTTTCTCTTATGGATTTGACTTTGAAATGATTGAGTTACGAAGGATTTATCTTTAACAGGCAACGTCAAAGTTTACGGTTTTAATTACTTTAATACAGACTTAGACTTTATTGATCCACAAGGGAAATTATTTGGACGCTGTACTATAATATAATAAATATACTATAATAACAATAGCAATAATATTACAATTTGCAACTGTCATTCTCAAAAAATAGTGAAATATTTCATTTACTGTCACTAGACTTGTCACAGTAACACATTTTGAAACACAGTATATTACTACAGATATACTGAGACAAACGGTAATCTTGAGACATTTCATGACCCTGACACAATAACAATAAAGCAGGGTAATCCAAGTAAACATATTTTTAAATGTATAGTATAATGAAACTTAATTGCTCAAGCAGGGAAATTATTTGGACACAATAATTTTGCTCTGTTTTATATTTGTTGTTGTGTGTGAAATACTAACAGTAATAATACATTGAAAATAAGTAAGGAAAAACGGCAAGAGACTGATGTCAAGTAAAGCATAATTATACAAATGTATATGTACAGGTAAAAATTAAAGAAATATAGTAATACTAAATTTATCTCCTATATATATATATATATATATATATATATATATATATATATATATATATATATATATATATATATATATATATATATATATATATATATATACAAGAGGTCGTAACGGTGCAAAGATGAACTAGTGACTGACACGACAGGGTTGTCTATTACATAAGGGCAGTTGTTGTACAGTTGCATGGCGTATGGAATGAATGTAGTCGTGTATCTTTCACGTTAAAAGACATGTGCTGCAACAAATGAATACCTGGAAAAAATAAAAAATAAAAAAGCACCAAGTGATTTATTTTATCCTCTAATGCTCTAATCTTTCCTTATTACAGTAAAATGACAAAAATCTCCACACTTGTGCAAATAAACACACGATAAATATTGAGCTCCAAAATATTTAGTTCCAGCTTTCATATACAGAAGTTAATATAGTAATTATCATGACAGGCCCACACGTCTAATACCCTATAGTCTATGACAAGCTGATTTTGTTTAATGTGTATATGTGTGTGATTTGTGGTTTAGATAAATTGATGCTATTAATAATGATAATATATTTTGTTACAATATTGTTACACATGTAGTCACTATTAATTGTGTCTGTAATTCAATCTTAATTATTAACAAGAGCTCATTACTCAAGAATCTAACCTGACCTGCAATGTTAATAGAAACTAGACATGCTTTTCGCTATTTGTTTATTATTGTGTGATGTGAATTATAGGTTATTAGCGCTTTATAAATAATTACCTCAAAGTGGTGTTATTCTGAGCACAATAATATAATGCTGATTAGTCTAAATATAGGAAGACAACTGTTGTGGCTGTTCTGGTCTTCTCTAAAAACGGGAGCCTGACAATCTGAGGTAGTAAGGTGTGAGGATTTGGTGTAATGCGGGACTGTTACATAAGCCATGTTTTTTAAGTGTGGTGCAGAGAAAAGAACAGAGGCAAGCAAGATATGGTGGAAGAAAAGACTAGCAGTGTTGGCCGTATGCCAGCTGCTCATGCTTGAACAGTGCTGACACCCCGTGGCAAAAGGCACCACATGACTCCTCCTCCTGCAGATTCTCATTTTCCTCTCTTGTTTTTCAGCAATTTGGAAAAATCCTTGACGTTGAGATTATTTTCAATGAGAGGGGATCCAAGGTAGGACGGAGCAACCACACACATCACCGATGACAGAATTGAGCTCAGCAGAAGCTTTTCAAACCTTTTCTCTTTTTTATTTTCTCCTCTCCTTTCTAGGGTTTCGGGTTTGTGACGTTTGAGACGAGTGCCGAAGCAGAAAGAGCCAGAGAGAAGCTCCACGGCACGCTGGTGGAGGGAAGGAAAATTGAGGTAATTCACAACCCTTGGCCCCCTTTTTGTAATAAAATATACTCCCGTGTTTCCCCTCATGTTCGACAATAAAAGAGTTTGTCACGGTGGGTTCGATGCTTGTAGTTTTTTCTGTTTGTTTTTTTTACCCGGGTGGCTGTAACTGTATGCTGATCTATCCCACTTTGACTTCAGTCTGGCATGGTGCAATGGTGTCTCGCACACAGACGTCTTTACAGATTGGCACTTTATGTCGATGTTCATGCCAGTGTTGTTCCGATGTGGTTGTCCTGGGCTGTTTGTTGCACTTTGATCTTGTAGCAATGTGGTTTGCAAAGCATGCTGGGTAGAGGGGGCTACACAAATGGCATGGCCAGTGGGACCTTGCTGCTGACTCTTGAACTGCTTCTGTCTCAGCATGTCGGACATTTTCAGTTTGTTTTGCTCTCTTGCTCCTCCCCCTCTCCCCATCACCTTTACCGTCATAACTTCTACCATTGCAGTGAGTGGCATTTTTGTTTACGGTTGTGTGGACAGCCAGCCTCTTTTCGCTAGCTCTAGATAGCGACGGTAAGAGGCTACTGTATGTTGCATGGACAGAGCTTGAGATCGGATGTTGACTTCCTTAAATCTAACACAGTACCTCTGGGTTGTGACTCTCGGTGTGTGATGTTTTTTACGAGACTGATGCATGATGGGAGGTAATTTGTCAGGCGCAGTTTTAAGGAATGAGACTGCCGTGAGAAGTGTGGTGTTTATGAAGATGCTCAAGTGGGATTCTGTTAACTTCACAAATGCAGATATGGATGACAAAGTTTTACACACATGCTTGCATCTTTCACTCCTCTAAAGACACCAAATCTCATGGAAGTGCATTTTGTTGTGATCTTTTCATTTTGTCAGCATGAGCTACAGGATTACTTGCAAATGGCTATTGGAGTAAAAAATTACTATTTGCTTTTGCCATTTGCTCTGGTCTGCTTTTTAAATTATTTTTTTTAAATATTTTTACTTGCTACTGAAGCTTCTTTTGCATGGTATGGAATGTCCTGCACTCTTCTTTCTGTGTGTGGGTGTGCTGGAATAAAAATACGGAGGGCCAAGAGAGAATGAGGTGAAGAGAATGCACTAGAAACTATAGCTCTCAAAACGTTTTCTGTTTTTTTCCATCTCTCTCCATTATTATTCACCCGGCCAGTCTGTCTGTCTGTCCTCCTGTCCTGGTTTGTCCCATGTGCACCTGCATATGTCCTGTGATGTCCATCCCTGCCCCATATCTCTGTACACTCTAGTTTCATGACAGGTAGCTAGCATAAACATTGTAGAATGTGAATGTTTAGAGGCAATTTTATGGCTAATTAATTTGGACATAATGGTTGCATCGCTCTAAATCCAATTTTGTGATTTTCTGTTTATATCTTTGCTCCTTCACACATGACTGACTGTAGTTGGGTTAATAGCCCAGATATTAGTCATAATATTGAAACTTCTAGTGGACATGTGACTATTAAATCTATAGCTCTTCACCCTAGGGTGGGGTTGCTTATCATACCTCGTTTTTCTCTGTTAAGTTATCTTGTGGTTTTATTTTATTTTCATTTATTTATTTATTTTTTTTAGTTAATTTCTTTCTCGCATATATTTTCTCTATTACCCTGATGATTTTTGTATGTTGTTGTTGTCAGTCTCCACGGTAACTGCTCGCGTGTCCTCACGCCGTTTTCCGGGCAACGGTAAGTTGTGTACACATGGTATCATCTTTGAATGACCCCTCCCCCACCCCATCCGTCCAAATGAAATAAAATGCACCCGACACCCAAATAAAGGCCTCCTGCTGCAGGGAGCTCGATTGGTTGATTGATAGTCCCTGATTGGCGTATTCTGTGATTTGATTGATTGACTGGGGAGGAGGTGAATGAAATGATTACTAGATTAGCCGTTGACCGCATGGCATTATAAGGCCACGTAAATAACTGAATGTACTGCATCTATCTGCAAATGCAACAACTATAACTACCACTTCTTATGCATTCATTCCAATCACCTCTCTAACTTACTGCATTCAGCATTTAATTCAGAGCTGTATATCCTGCATGGTTTACTCTTTCTCGTCATCTGTATGACGTCATGTAGTTCTGTCATTTCTGTCATGTCTCAAACAATAGTTGCATTTTTGCACCTTAGTGGGACAGCATGCTTGAGCATGAGAGCTGTGTTAGCTTGACTGGTCAGAAGAGCGTAGTTGTCGAGCTGTCTGGGATTGTAGCATATCTGTAACTGCAGACAGTGGTGGTCTTAATATTAAAACACTTATTAAACAATTATCGCCAAGGGTCCATGAAACCTACCCTGTGTGAAATGTCACAAAGCTTGATGCAAACTGTTACTTGTGCAAAGAGCATTGAGACAGATTTGTTACCAGATTTTTTTGTTTTACCTTTTCTGAATGGTGTGCCGGTGTTCTGAGCTCTGCGGTGTCACACTGAAACTGAAATGCCCGACTATTTTACAACCATGGATTAAGTTAAATATTTTTTATGTTATTCACTTTTTGAGGAATGATTATTGCATCCCCACCCCCCTGCATCTTAGGCTCTTATCTTCCTCATATATTCATTTCTGTCTCCATCGTTGCTGTTCAGTTAAATCTGAAGTAGTCAGATGTACCTGGAGGAGAGTCGCATCTTGTTTGTAGAAGTTGCACATTTGGATGGATTGTTCACTGTCCGTCGCTCCTCTCTCCATCATGTGTGTTTTTGTGTTTTTCATGTGGACTGGCTCCTCCTGCATCCTTGTCTCTTCTGTCGTTCTCTCCTGCCCTTCCTCCTCTGACTTCGTATGATGTGTAGTGGTCTTGACTGGGAAGGCTGCCTCTTTTTGACTGGTCTCTTGCTGCTTGCTGATTGGCTACTTTCGCTCACTTCTGGTGATGTGATGCGCTCTTGATTGGCTGTGTGTAATTTGTGAATGAACTCTAATTGATTTTTTTGCATTGTGTTGGAATTGATGATTCTGCTGCTTAGTTCACCTTTTCCCTCCTTTTTTGCAGGTAGCAATATAATGGCCTTGGATATCGTTTCTGAATGCATTTTTGTTTTTGTTTTTTCTGTGTGCTATTGGTTTCATTGTTTGTGTGCAAATTGCCTGATTACTCACTGGGATTCTTGTCTTTCTCCTTCTTGAAAAGAAGCATGCATTAAATACCATTGCTGTTCATCAACAGAATTAACATTTGTCAATATATAATGTAAACACATGCAAAATGAAAATGTAAAATCTAATTATATGTTTGCACTCCAGTTTCCCTCATTACAACGGACACAGCAGCAAATAAATGCTCACTCTCTTTGACACTCAGGTCAACAATGCCACTGCCCGAGTGATGACCAACAAGAAGATGACGACACCGTATGCAAATGGAGAAGGTCTTGCAGCTCTTCCATATGGTAAAATAAGTCGTCCCTTTAAATATATGAATAAATGAATATTGAAATATGACATTGAACTATTAGATCAGATTTTATTCCCTCATCTTTTTGGTCTCTTAAATGCTAAATTTATACTTCTGTATTTCTGGACCCAGAAGCATAATAATTTGTCCCACCAGGGCTTTCAGTGGAATGGTTTAATTAAATTTTTGCTTAATGTTTAATTACTGATTAACATTTGTGTGACAATATAATCCCAATAATGCCTTTAACTAAAGTAAAAATGTCTTTTTAGCAGGGTGGAAGTTGAGCCCGATGGTTGGAGCCATGTACAGTCCTGAACTATACACAGGTTAGACACCTCACACTTAACATGCTCTGACAGCCTGTACGGCATGCTGACCTCAAGTCACTCTGAAAATCATTTCTGCTCTTTTGCCTCCAGTCCCGGGCTTCCCGTACCCAGCAGCCGCCGCCGCCGCCTCCACTGCTGCGACCTTTCGAGGGGCATTGCGAGGTCGTGCCCGGCCCGTGTACAGTGCAGTCAGAGCAGCTGTGCCTCAGCCTGCCATCCCAACCTACCCAGGGTAAACAACACCAGCCACTAACCATATATTTACACAGACTAAATGCATGTGGGCTTAAATAGTGCACTAAGTGCCTGCATGTTTGAATTGGTGTTTTCAATTGCAGTTTTTGATATTAATTGATCAAGAAGAATACCATTTCCTTGTAACTTTCAGTTCTATGGTTTTGATAAGCAATTATTTGAATGAAGAAGTTTCTAGTTAAGAATCCAAATGTTGTTTTATACAAAGACGTGGTATTTTGGCTTGCATGTTGCACGGTGTGTAATAATCTCACCTTTTTTCTCTCCTCTTTCACAATCTCTCTGACACCATTGACACCTGTCCAATCATCACCTGTTTGCCCACATATTTGGTCATTCCACACATTTCTCTGGACTCTTTCCCATCTCTCATCGCTCTCAGTGTGATGGCTTATCAGGATGGTTTTTACGGTGCAGCTGACCTCTATGTAAGTATGAGCGTCTCGATCCCTCAGTCACTTGTTTCTACGTTTCTCCTCCATGTCTCTTGGTTTTCAAGTGTGAGATGGCACAGGGCAAACCCAAAGCAGCGTAGCAATGAATGGCCAAATTTATAAGATTTTACAGATGTTTTAATGAAATGCCAGAAACACAAAGCGGCATTTGGAGGGTCCCCATTCATGATTTGACTCCTGATGGGTTTGCCCCTGTGCTCTTTGTGCGTTTGTACCAATGTGATTATCAGTATGTGTGTGTGATGGTGTGTGTGTGTGGGGGTGACCAGGTTGACAATAGCTTTTTCTGTTCTCTCTGTAGACTAGTGTTTCAGGACATTAGTGGCAGATTGCCTCAGGTAGGGTTTACACACTTTGTGTGAGAGCCAGTGTGCATCCTACTCGTCTCCAATGACTGCGTGCTGCTAGACATTATTGACCATCTGAGATCGAAATGCCTTCTGTCTTCTTTTACTAACTCACTGGATTCTGACATGGGTGGAGTTGCGGAAGGGGTAGAAAACACTACAGTTATACTTCTTTAGAAAATATCATCAGGAAAGGTGACTGTCAGGGCAATTGGAGATATTATAAACAGAGCTAGTGTTTTTAATGATCTTTTTATATGACTGGCACACCTGAAAAACACAGGTTATAAAATATACTTATACAACTTTACAAGACAGGATGAAAGTAAAGTTAAATTTGATCCAGAGGAGCGATGTAGGGCAAGGATAGTCCACCATACAGGATTTATTTCAAACCCCTTCCAGGAATCTCCCTGATCTGTTTCACCTGTGGCATGCTAACTGAATCAGTGTGGGCATGCAGACATACTTACAAGGCTGACTCCTCCCAAGTCTCCCCATCTTTACTCTCTCCTCAAGTCTTTATTTTAGCTTTCACTGAGTTTCTATTTTCCCCTCTTTATTCTGTCTTCTTTCTTAAAGTCCAGCCTCCTCCCCATAGCAGCAAAGTGTGGTCCTGAATGTGGGGACTTGGTCATGACTTATCCTGTAGGCTAGAATGCAGTGGTGTGTTTTGTTTATATCGAGATGTTTGGCCTAATACACTGTATGTTTCTGATCTGGGAAAGCATGCTGTGTCCGTGATTGGTCGCTGGCCTGCGACTGTGTGTGTGCGTGCTCTTAATCTGACTGGCTGTCGTCTTACACCTGTACTTGTAATTGTTTGTCCATCAGCTGTTCATAAAATGACACAATCATCCTCACCAGCCCTTCCCCTTTCTTTAACTGTGTGTGTTTTGGTAGGGGAACTGGGCACAGTTATGGGGTAAAGACTCTCTCCCTCCATGGCAAACACGTTAAAGGCACAAAAGATGTTTTGGAGCAAACAGGATTGTGTTAGTTCTGGAGGGAAAGACCACAAGAGCCTGACCTACATCCTGTGAATGCTGTTCTGCACCAGTTTAGACAGATTTGCCGACTGTCTGCTTGTTTAATATTTCACTCTCTTCGGCAGTTTCCCCACACTGTAACCCCGTAGATACACTAACTTCTGCTCATTTGAATGTGGGATTAATGGTCTTCTCTTGTGCCCCTTCATGTTCCCTTTGAATGCCTTGGTCCGGCCTCATCACAGGGTGGATATGCAGCGTATCGCTACGCCCAGCCAGCTGCTGTAGCAGCGACTCCAGCTGCTGCTGCTGCCGCGGCCGCCGCCTACAGTGACAGGTGAGTTCATTTGTGTCAGATCAGAGGAGAGCTTCTGCTTAAACATTTACTCATCTACTTTGTTTATTCACCAGTTACGGACGTGTTTATACAGCAGACCCCTATCATGCTGCACTAGCCCCCGCTGCCTATGGTGTTGGAGCCATGGTAAGACATCTACCTCACAAACATGAAACTACTTTTCTACTACTATTATTGTTTTTCTAAATATTGCATCATTTTTTGTGTTCACAGGCAACGCTCTACAGAGGAGGATACAGTAGATTTGCCCCTTATTAAGACAATTCAGTTATCAGGAGCTCCTCTCTTCCATAAAAATCCCATGAAAGAGCTCCATCTGTTGTTGTGGAGGTGAACTGCACATAGTTTTGATGCAAAGTTGGCCATGGCTAAAAAATTTTCTGACCCCTCCCCTACTTTTTCATATATATATATGCTACTAAAGAAATAGAGGAATGCTGTATTACAAACTGACCTGGCCTTTGCATTAAAAAGAAGAAAAAAGACCTGAAGTTGCACGGCTGTATTATAGTCCCCCTTCTCCTCGGCACTCTGCAGCACAAATCATGGGATGGAGCCCAAACGTTCTTCCAAAGGCTGTCTGACAAAAGTGACTTTCAAACAGCTGTTAATTATTTATGAAAGAGCTGGAGCTGTGTGGCCTGCACACACTCAACATATAAGGAAATGCGTCCACACTCCATGGGCGCGATGGAAGCAGCAGGTTTGGAGTGCAACACAAGACCAGAATGAGAGCTTTTCCAGATCCCACCCTCTCACTGGTGGACACAAACCAGAGGCTGCTGTCTGCCCTGGTGTGGAGCCTGAACCTGCTGGGACGGTTTATTACACTACAAACATCGTCTGAAAGTGGAATGGCTCGAGGTGTTTCTTACCTCACGTTTTCTTAGTATGTGGAAATGGTAAACCTTTAACTTTAAAGTGTCATATGCAAAGAAATTAGTGTAGAGAAAAGTTACCAAATTATTATTATTATTAATTATTATTAACATTATTAAAGCGTTATTTTGTTTGACTTGCACAGCAGCTACTGCTGTTATGAGGCATATAGTGAACCATGGGGTTCAAACCAGAAAATGGTGACTGAAGAACCCCCTTCTTACATGTTCCCACACACATGCACAGAGATAACTACATACAAAACACTACAAAAATGTACTACGCTGTAAAAAAAATTTCTTTTGATAAAGACCTATCCCTAATCTACAGTCACAAATGCAACCACAGTATTTGTTTATCCTTCTATGTAGAGATTTATTATTTGGATTTTCCCCTCATGCTCCACTTTTTATAGAGCAAGTCCAACATTAAAGAAGTCTTCCTTGAATTAGTTAGCTGCATTATAGATGCTGCCTGGACAGCAAACACTGAGCAAGAGATAAAGTCAGTGGATATAAAATATTACATGCAAAACACCTTACTGTTGTGCATTTCTATACTGTTCTATACCGTTGTATTCTATATTTCCAGATGTGGCTTTTGATTTCTGTTTGGTTCCAAAGATTTGTAAGACAGCACATGCTTATGTGTAATTATCTTTTTGTTAGTGTTATGTCATAATCTATGGTAATTCTAATAGTAATTTTATTTACTGTTCATCAGTCTTTTTAAATGACCCGTTTTGTTACAGACTTGAGCGCACACATGGACCATCCAAAGGTATGCATGCAACACTAATGAGCCTGCCCTGGACTTTTCCCTCCTTTTGATTGAAGATGCGATATTTAGCATTACAATTTAACTGAAAAAGTGACAGGATTTTTCCATTTAACAAATGTCTCAGGCATTTGAATTAAATGAAAAGGCATGTAGCACTTTGGTTATAACTTAACGTTTTTGTGAAAGGATCCATCCATTTCAAACAATGCTGTGATTCTGGATTAGGTTAGTTATCCAGTCCTCATCACTAACACACATTACAGATTATAAAGTGTCGCATAAGGAAATCCAAATGTAAAATGGGAATGTTTTACAAGATTATTTTATGGCTGTATTTGTATTTCAGATTTCTTGTGAGAAATCTACAGGACATGTTTTGTGCTGCTGTTTTGATTTTTGTTGTGAACTAGACATTTGTTTGGAACAATCTTCATTTTGTGAATGTGTTTTTGGACACAACAGTAAAAAAAAAAAAAACAGCCAAAGATGCTACTAGTCCCACAAAACTCTCACAAACAACATTTAGAGCCACTGAAGGCATGGATTAACCAGCATGAGCGATATTGTCAAGTTAAACTAGTTTTGCATGATCCTGTGTCTTTCATATTTGACTTCAAGCAGCAAAGCCCAAGTCCTCCTTTACCACTAACCCGTTGAACTCTATAGGCAGCTGGTGTTGGCAGTTAGCTGACGAAGACGAGCACAGTACCGCTTGGCAAAAAGACCCGCTGACAAACTAAAGCTGAACGTGTGGTGGCTTCGTTTTCCCATCATGGTTTTCTTGCCACTGTATTATAGAAAACTGTGTGGCCATCTATCATAGTGGCAATGGTTTCTCAATGACTGGTCCTCTTCCTCTGTCATGTAAAACCCACATTTGACTGCCGTTTTGTTTTGTTTTTTGTTATTGAATGTCCATATAAATTGTTTTATATAAAATGTTTTGTTGTGATTATGGCTTCATCCTGTCTTTACTTCAGTTAGAATTCAGGTTGGAGTAATATTCAGTTTGTGGGTTTGTGTGGTAAACGTGCGTGAATGAAACAAAACAACTTGAGGTATGTTTTTGAAGAGGTCACATAAGATCAGATAATAGAAAATAGCGTAAATAGCACTTTAAAGTTTTTATAGAATCACCTGTATCAGTTTTTTTCCCTTAGGGTTAGTATTTTGACACTAAATGAAATAAATTTTAAAAACAATCATATTCCACTGTTAGTGCATATGCAATGAAATATTTAAAATATTGTGTTTATTTTATGTATTTACTAGATTTATAATAAGATGTAAACAGCTGATATTAGACTATAGGTCAACATGAAGTACTGTCTGGCTTATGGCGTCTTTACTCTGTCCAGTTTGTCTTCTGATTGGTACAATATTCAATTTGACCACTAGATGTCAGTAGAAACCTTTAATTTAAATCCACTCAGATTTGGATCCAATTTTAAATCAAAGTAAAAACTGAAAATTTCAGGTTCATTTGACCTCACTTCATACACACTTGCACCAAGCAAAACAGCACAAATTAAAAACTCTGTGGGAACTATTTATTGACAGTTCTGCCATTCTTGAGCTAAATGTAAAGTTGTGATTCACAACAAAATAAAAATAAATCTCTGTACATTAAGGAGGAAAGGCTTCAGTGAGGTAGGACCAAGAAAATGGAAAAGGCAGGTGGCAGGTGAGAAGGGCAAATAGGCCAAATTCAGGAGCAAATTAACACAATGTACTGCAAACAGCAATTCTTCGTAATTCACAAACGTGGATCCAAAAGCTGACACATAGAGAATTCAGACTTTCACCGGACATCCTTTAATTTTCTACAATATCCGAATTTGTTAAATTTGGGTGAGGATAGGTAAGGCATCTGGGGAGACAAGGGAGGAACAGCGGGACGGGGCAGAGGGGCAAAGGTTCTAGACGATTCCGTATTTGGCCAGGTCACTCAGCTCCATGTCTCCGAAAGCCTCCCATGGGCAGACCACTGTGATGTCAGTGCCCAGGCCCTCCATGCCGGGGATGTCGTCTCCGAATCTAGAGAAGGTAAATTAAACTTACCATTAGGTTACCAATGAAACATGAAAATAACTTACTTTCAGAATTTAATGGTGGTTCTTTCTTACCCCTTCTGGCCTGGTTTGGGGGCCTTGCTCTTGAATGTGCGCATGGCCCTCTGCTTGAACTTGGGGGGAGCCTTCTTGTCAGCGGGAACTGCGACCCCGGAGTCTGCCATTGTGCTTGTTACTGTAAGTAAAATGCGACAGAAATGAGAGCGCTCTGTTATAAAGACTTCCCACACACACCAACAGATTAGGCTAATATAGGCCTTAGTCTATACCTGTCGCTTAGATCCTTTTAAGCGTTGTTACACAAACAGCTCTGTTTTATTTTTATCCCCTCACTTTACAGATTACACTAGAATAGTGCCACGTTCACCTAATTCCATAATTAGACTTCAGTCAACACAGTGACTGTCGAGCATTTGCGTTTGTCCTGGATAAGTTATTATCAAAAAGTTAATGTTTATCATAAAACACTTGCTTTGGTTACATCCAAAAAACTTTGACACTTTTGGGCCTACTTAGCTTGGATTATGTTTCAACCAGGGTGAGCTCTATCAACCTTTGATTATTTTCCACTAAATGCTAAATAATCCACATCTGCCATTATTCTTCCTTAACATTTCCAGTCTACTTAACCAGGGCTGAAGACCAGCATCCTCTTCAGTACACATATCACAATCAAGACTAGCAGAGACAAACACAAGAAAAGTATCCTTTTTTGGCATTATTTATATCATATAGGCCTAGATAGTAGAGAACAATGCTGTCAGTGACAATGCTATCATTTCAAAGATATACATTTGTTCTCTAAATCTATAAAAAGCATTTAAAATTGCCCCCATCCCCTCGGGCAGGTGCCCTTTACACTCACCTGTCTGAGCAGCAGCCGTCTGTCGTGTTGTACGTTTGATAGAACTAACAGTGCTGACCTGTGGACCTCTTATATGCTCCTGTCTAATCCTCCTGACAGGTGCACATAGGCTCACAACATGCAGATCTAAAGTTGGGATGGAAAACCACCAGGCTTACATAAGGAACCATCTTGGAGAAAACACTAAGTGGATTTAGTGGGTGTTTCCCAGAAACTTCTACATGGTCAAGCATTTTATTATGGTGTCATGATTTATATTATGGTTATTATGAATTGATCAGTTGAATGTGCCTATTTGCATTTAACTTAAAGGTCCTATATTACACAAAATTCAAGATTCTTGTGAGTTTTTTTGTTGCTACCTCAACACAAACAGACCTGGAGTTGTGTTTTATTTCATTCACACTTGTTTGAGTAATTAGTTTGTCCACCTTGTGATGTTATGAACTGGTAGTTTTCAGGTTAACAGCTCCTTTTACCTTTTCTTCAGAAGAGATTGGCAATTTCAAGTCTGAAATCTTTCAAATGATTCTAGTGAATGTGTGTTTAAAAATACAGTGAAGCATTTCCTGCATTAGCTCATGAATGTTTTCAGTTTTAGGGAAGAACTCAGCCTAAATACGAATGATCTGTGTGTTAAACATGTGCGAGTGAAACAAACCACAACTCCTCGCATGTTTGTGACGAGGAAACATTATAACAGAAAAAAGTGTAATATGGATCCTTTAAAGGCGTATGGAGGCACCTGTGTCAACTTTTATTGATATGTTTTTTCTTTTGGTCTCAAAATATTTAACCTATGAATGCATTTTTTTGATTTGTTTAATAGATTTATAATAAGATGTAAACAGTTATTATTAGGCTGTGGATCAATATAAAGTACTATCTGCTGAGTCCGTCTGCTAACTCAGTGCTCTTTGTTGTTTTAAGAGCTCCAGTCTCCAGCGCATCTCTTCACAACAAGTTGATGTCTGTCCATTAAAGTCTGCTGTCTGTAAGTTCACTCTTTGGCACTAAGAAAAGGTCTGCTCTTTATTTGTCTCGCATGATGCAGCTTGAGCGCAGGTCCTTACATCACATATCCCAGATCTGCAGAGGGCTACTTCAGGACATCACAGTCACATGACAGCTTGACAGAGACATCAGAACATCCCCTTTACGCACAAACTGGCCCTAATTTCTGTGTTAGCTGACGTGAGTGCTTGGGGAATTCAGCTTGACAAAAACAAAATGAAGGTTCCCTCAAAAAAACAAAAACAAAACTGTCAGGTGTATGGATTAATGCTAAAGAGAAGGTTATTATATGCTTATTTAATGCATATTTGTGAGTTTTACCTTCCTGTAATGTGCAAATATTTTTACAGATAATATAATAATATGTTTTAAATTGGTAATTGCCAGGGTACAAGAATAAGAGCAACTTATTTTTCCTTATTTTTATTTATTTATTTTAGCAGTAACTATTTTGGTGGGCAACATATTGATGGAGGTCTGAGTTCTTGATTTCATACTAGCTTAAGATGTTATTGGAATTGTGTTTATTAATCAAATAATTTCAATGTTTGCAAAAAGAGCACCACCAAATATTGTCTCACCTCAACGCAGTATCTGTTAATTAGATGTACTTTTTCATTCTTAATTTTCCTTTTTTTTCTTTTTACTATTTCTGGAAATCACTTTTGTACAGAAGTCTTTATTGTCTCAGACCTGAACTTTGTAAAACAGATTAACAAAAAAGATCTTGTGCGACAACATTGCCATAATATTGTGCACACCTCTGGGACCTGAATTTATCTAGTGAGATTTTTTTAAAGTGCCACAATGAAAGAAAATGTGTAATAGCATGAATAAAAATTGCAAACCGAACCACTAAATTTTATGTTTTGAATTGTTTGGAATGTGATTTTAATGCCTTTCTTATTCTTTGAATTACTTTGTGGACAAATTGTGCTATACAAGTGAACTTACCTTGTCTTGGATCATGTTTAAGTATCACATCTTCAAATGCAAACCTGATCCTTACAGACTTGGACATGTTTTATATGTATTTAATTCACCCATGGGCTTGGTTTCTTGGCACACATAGGCCATCTCGTGCCAACAGCTGCTATTACCTTCAATTCTGACATATCCTTTATAAAGCTCCTGTGCCAATATTGTCTTGTACACCCTGATCTTGTTTATTTGTGACTAAGCTTAGGCCCATTCTGTGATACCAGAGTGAACCTTTGATGAGATTACACAGATTAGACGACTTTAAAAGGCAGCAGCCAGACTGAGCAAAGTATACCTCAATCGAGACTACAACAGTGCACAGCAGCAGCAGCAAGCAAACTAAACCGGTAAGAAAACAACTATTTATCTTTTTGAGTCTTTTGGCAATGCAATATCAGTGTTCTAATTTACTAGATAAACCCCTGGCAATCGCTTCTACCAGTGTTATATATTATAAGTAGTTTGAATTCACAGTTGGATATTTATCGCTTGTGAAGAGTTCATTTTGCAAAACAAACTGACGATTTTTTTGTCTATTTTTTTTGCAGTAAACAGTCGCAATGGCAGACGTCGCAGCTCCAGCCAACACAAAGGCTCCCCCCAAGTTCAAGCAGAGGGCCATGCGCACATTCAAGAGCAAGGCCCCCAAACCAGGCCAGAAGGGGTAAGAAAAAAAACACCTCCTGATTTTTTACCAAGTCATGGAGAATTATTTCAACCACTCTTAATATTGTTTTATTTATCCACCAGATTCGGAGACGACATCCCCGGCATGGAGGGTCTGGGCACTGACATCACAGTGGTCTGCCCATGGGAGGCTTTCGGAGATATGGAGCTGAGTGATCTGGCCAAATACGGAATCGTCTAGTCCCCATCACCTTTTGTCCCTGTTCCTTCCCTTGCAACCGAGCAGAGACACTAGCAAGGAGGCAGCTCATAGACTTTGATAGAGGAACAGATCTGAAGAGCACGCTGTCAAAAATGCACTTTAACCATAAATGAAGATCGCCAAAATACCAAGTGATTCTGTTCAGGAGCTGAGATTTTTCTCACTCTGATGGAATGTATTTTTGTAAATATTGTAATTTAAAATGGTGTTGTGTCCAGTAAGGATTTCATCTGCCATTTGCCCCATCACCTCACTGCTGCCAATCCTCAAGATGTTGTCAAATTAGATTTTATTTTTATGGAAGTCCACCCTGTACATAAATAAATCTATTTTCACTAGCAAACATGTTCTGGTCATATTTTTTTAACAGGTATATAGTGTTTGACGGCATAAGGCCCATGTTTTACTCAAAAGATAAGTGGTTTTTAAATTGCTCTATTTGATTTTGAGATATTTATATTTTGAAGGCAACAGTTAGGGCCAATTTAAGTTTGAGGTTAATCCACTTAACAACTTTATTTTTTTATAATGATGATTTAATTTGGGACAGGGATATACAGTGTACTTTGAGGTAAATAATGTTACAGTGGCTCACAAAATTTATAGATTTAAATAAAATGAGTGTTTTAGTTGAAGTAGTTGACATCCAAGAACCTAGAATAAGAAGTAAAAGTGTTAAGTTGAGACTCCTTTATAGGCAAATCCAATTGGAGCTTTACTTAATCTCCTGCTGAAACAGGCTGTCCTGTCTTAATTGTGTCGGAGGCCTCATTACAAAGTCAGATTAAGGTGAGCTTTAGTCTGTAAGGCTTTAGAAGTTTTAAGAAAGTGTCATTTGAATAGAAGAGGATACTGTGATACTGGAATCATTATAAAACAAACAAACATTTATTTGTTCCATTTGTCATTGAGAAAAATTTTCGTGAAACAAATGAACAGTAGCGGTAAACCATAAAGCGTCAACAAGGATTCAAAAGCAGACCACTAAATTAACTACATGACCCACCTATACAACATGAATGTAAAGAAATAAAAATTGACTGACAAAACCTTATTCTCTAAATTGTAGACTACCAGCTGCTAACTGAGAAATGTTAATAATCACAAAAGTCAAAGCAATTACCTACAGCCTACAATTACACAACTACTGTACTCACTGTTCAGACAACACCACAAAAATGTTAAGTGGTGTTGTCTGAACTGGCTACTAAAGAGACCATAATGGGTTTGAATATTTGTGTTTGTGTATTCATGTATTCATGCATACATATTCTGTGTGTGTGTGTTTTTACAGTTTATTTTTACTCACTACATCATTATTAATTCACTGCACAGTATCCACAAGTCTGATCAGGTCAACCATTAAAAAACAAACAGGTGACAATAAATCTAAAGTAAACATTTTGATGAAGGTCTTTAATTAATGACTGTAACTGTAAATATTTGCTTACATAATAGGAATGCAACAATTCTCAATATTATGATAAATTGCTCAGCATGACCCTGATACTACAGTACACATGTATACAGACATGACATTACTACAACATGTAAAGAGTTGCATCTTTAGGGAGATAAAAACTTTATTGGTAGAGTAAATTTAGCTTTGTTTGTCTGAGGCTTAAAATGTCTGTATGTAATATGACACAGCTTACATGGTTTTTGAAAGTGGCATTGGACACTATACCTCTGTGTAGTAGACCCACTACCAAAACTTAATTCTCTAAAATGTAAAATGACTTTATTTTTTCTGTGAATTGACGCCCTGAGTGAGAAGAGTCAGTCAAGGATCAGTGACACCTGAACACAGCTTTAAGAGGAGTTGCATAAGTGTGAAAACTGGAAGCTCTTACTTAAACTAAACGTAACATGTAATCCAGCAGCTCAAGGCTTACCTGGTCCTGCATCACTCTAAACTCTGCCCCATGTGTCCTCATCACACACTCTAAAGCTACATGGTGGAACATTTTCAGACAAACTCAATACATGCTACATAAAACCAGCATGTTGCATTTAAAACATAATAATAATATCTATAATAAACCAATATTTTGTCACAGAAATCTGTAAATCTCAAGAAGGTTTACTATGTCCAATAGAGATGTTATTGCTTTGCCTGGAATGTTCCACCGTGCATCATTAAACGTGTGTTCATGACGCCAAGATGTTATGTCTATGATCTATGGACTATTTTCCAGGCAAAGCAATAGTAACATTTACATTAGTAAATCCACTTGCACAGAGAACGTTCAACTTTATTTTGTATTTGTATGATTTAAACCTTTTTTAAACAATTGGCTAAAATGCTCACTCTCACCAGAAAAGTTACATAGTGTACCTTTAAGAAATGCTCAAAGCCACATCATGATCTCTCTCTGCTGTGACACTTCTCTCCACCATTTTTCAAGGGCAAAAAATATTGAAAAAGCATTCAATAATTTAACAAATGTTGAATATTTCATTCACAAACATGTAATAGTAAAAGGTCACAGCACCACTTTAAGATTTTAATATGGTCAAAAATGTTAATGTTAATAAAGTTAAAGTAACAGGGCTGTTGAAAATATGCTCTTAAAGGGCCTTGAAACTATAATGCCTTACTGACGTGAGAATCTTCCCCTGCCTCTGACATTCAACTTTGTGGTATTAGCAATGACCTTAATCCACACAATGTAAACACTTAGAGTACTTAGTTCAGATAGAGTAAAACTAAATAGAAAACTGGTTGTGGTCTCATAAAAAAAAAAAAATTGAAATCTTTCCCTAAAGCTACTAATAAAAAGTATGTTTCTCTTTGACTCATTTTACTTCTCATTTTGGATGACAAAATGTGCAATTTTTTAAATGTATTTGTTAATTGATGAGAGTAATATATGTATTTACCGTATATCATTAAAACATCAAATTCTCCCCCTGGTTTTGTAGTGTAGTGGTTCCTATAGACATCACGTTATTTTTAGCTGCAGTTTATTCTGGGCTTTGGTTGGCCAAAGTGTAACTAGCCTGGTCTGTTTTTAGACGAGAAAGAGGGTTAAAATCACGGAGAGCCAGGATAGAGGCATACTTCTGGGTTCATTTTGTGTGAGATGTTTGTTGGTTGTTCTGCTCTGTCAGCAAGAATTTAAGTAAATCTAAATAAATCTTTGTTTTCTCTCTAAAGTTGTAAAAATGGTTTCTCTTTCTCAAGCCCCCACTGGAGGCAGTTATTTGTCCCACAATCTGAAAATGCCTCCATGTTGTTGAACATTGGGTGACTGGGTAAAACCACTTACAACACAACGTAACAATTTATGTATTTATTTTAAAGTCTTTTTTCATAAAAAAAACAAAAAACTGTTTTGATTGTAAGATACCTATTTCTTGTAAATGAATATTCAAGGTCATACACTGTCCCATCCCTCCATTTATGAAAAATGTTCTACTATTTGTTTCTAGGACCAGGATGTGCAGACCAAGCACATTTGTCCACACCTCATTCCATGCAGACTTTAATTTAAGTTAATGTATTTGGTTTATTTAGCTGGGACAGTGTACATTAATCAGGATTTCTGTAAATGGACCAGAATTAACCAGAGGTTATTTTTCATCTGCTGTCCCTGGACAGATGGTAAACATGATCGCGCTAAAAACACAACAATAAGAATTATACAAAAAAGTGCAATTGTGCATGTACACAATGAGAAATAACTAACACACACACTAGAGCACACAGATAGGAGACACACTTCACACTTCACTCCACATAGACTTCCTCCTGTGCCAGCACTACCAGCTCATCCTGGGGATTCTGGCTGTCCCTGGGCCTTGTCTGGTTTGGACGTGCCCAGAACACTTCCCTGAAAAACCTCCAAAACAGATGCTTGAGCCGCCTTAGTCTGCTCCTCTCTGTGGAAGAGTAGCAGCTCTATTCTGAGCTCCTCATTTCAGCTGCTTGTATCTGAGATCCTTTCAGCCCAAGTATGACCCAGAGCTAATGAGCATAGGTGAGTCCAGCTCCCTCTTCACTATACAGACAGATACAACTATTTCCCCTACTGAAAAAGTGTAGTCATACCTTTTTTTAATTGACATCTTAAAAATACAGTTAAAAGCACCAAGATCATTATGAACTCCCTATTTTTCTTTTCTTGTATGGTTGAGTTAATTTCCCACTGTGAAGCTGACTCCCCCCTGTGGTGAGCTCTCATAGTGCAGCCCATTTACTCAGAGCTGGTGGATTGTGACAGGTCTCTTCATTGGCTATTTCTAGAACTCAAGTCCTAAGCTTCCTCCCACCCACAGCAGCAGATTTATGTAACCCTCTGCAGCACTAGACATTTTGGGAGCAACATATCAAGAGGAAGTCCAGGATGCTGCTAACAAGACACAAGGGACTGAGCAGCCATCTGTAAAGCCTTCATTGAATCCCTGAGCACTTTAACCTCACTTTACTAGTGTATACACATTTTACTGCATATCCACGCACTCCATTCATGTTTAGGTGACACGTAATCCAAAAATTCAGCTCCAGCACTTATCAGTAGCACCTGGTTGTTCCCACGAATCTAAAGGTGTGTGGAGCCTGCACATTGGATAGGCACACAGTTAGACTTGTACAAAAGCCTATTGGGGATAGCTAACCTTTCTTTTCTGTCTCTTCCCCTTTGTTTAAAATGCTGGGGACACTGTTTTTCTCCTTACTGCTGACATGTGCATGCGCCGAAGGTGAGCTCTGTTCTCAGTGTGTTACTTGTGAGGAGCCTGATGTATTTACTAGTATGCTCATGTTGTCCACAGATCTGGTGGTCCCTCGCCTCAATGACACTAAAGCAGTTGAGGCCTTTGCGGACTCGGCTGAAGTGGTGCTTGTTGGTTTTTTTGAGGTGAGAAAAAACTATATTGTATATAGTTATATTACTTTTATACACAGCAAATTCAAGAGTGTTAATTCAACTCGTATATTGTTCATTTTAACTCTTTTACCATGTCATATGGGGTCCACAGTAAAATGAGTTAAAAACTACACTTTCCAAAGTGTAGAAGGCTCAACATTGGTAAAGTGATGTAACCATACTCCTTATAGTTAAATTTGACACTGATTAAGATTTGATTTTTTACACTAGTGTATAGTGAAAAACTAATAACTCTGTATTGCTATGTTTTAACACATTATGAAGCAGAAATAGCGTAGAGTGTTCTTCATGTTACACTATTCACTAGTAACTCTTTCTTCACCAAATACAGTGTACATGCTGTGGTCATTCAAGTTCATAATCCCTTTTACAAATGTAAAATAATGAAAACCACCATAAAATTCCATTTCAACTTGATTTGTAGTAAAACAATGCACATCATACAATCAACACAATTTAAATAAGTCATATGACACAATACTATTTTTGCAAAATCCAGCTGACAGCAGTAATTCTCTGTGCCCTCAACAGTTTGTCACAATGATTGTCATTTATTTTTTTTAAGTTGATTTTTCAATGCAAGCAGTCCATGGATGAATCAAGATCTTGTTTTGAATGGAATTCAGGCAAGCTCATCTCCAAAAATGAGAGGAGCATGTCTGACTGTTTGAAACAAGATCTTCTCTCGATTGTATAAACATAACAATGTTCACAATAGAGGCAGTCCTGCTAATTATGAAACAGTTACATTGCAGAAAATGTTTACCTCAATAGTCAGTCTGTCACTCTTGGGGTTTCTTTTGACACATCCAACGTCCATGTTGTAGACAGTTCTTTGAATACAGATGTAAAGTTTGTGAGAGTCTGAGGACCAAATGCCTTGAAGCGTTCACCAAATTCAGCCAGGTCAACGATGACATAAAAACTTTCATCCTTCCCACTTCAATCACAGGTAGAAAGGCCGTCCAGGCTCAACCAGCAAGAAATGTGTCCATACTGATCTGTAAAATAAAATAAAATATAGAATAGAATAAATATAACATATTCAGGTAAACACCCGGCAAAACAGGCTATGCAATATTTAATGAGCCTTGAATAAAAGTTAAAACGTAAATATATAGTAAATATATTATGGTGCATATATCCTTATTTGTTTGTTCCTATTAAGCAAGTTATTCTGTTGCATGAGCTGTATGTTTTTGTACACAGGAACCATTAAAATAAATAACTTGAAGGGTAATATGAAAAAATGTAGCCCCTTAGAAAAGATTATTTTTAAATGCAAGACCCACAAGAAACAAAACACCTAAATGCCATTAATCATGAAAATAGAATGTAATTAAGGCAAAAATTACAACTACTTAGCACATATATAAAATTCAGTTAGTCAGTTACGAAATTATTGGTGAGGTTACATTTCAGTTCTACATATAACCATTTCATGACATACCTGTAAATCTCTGAGATGCTTTGAGCCTTCATCTTTCCACTGTAGCCATTAGGAAACCCTAAAGAAAATACAAAAAAAGAATGTATCATTACTCTTTTTGACTAAAGGTCAATAGCATATTGTTAGCGACCTACAAACTGTCGCAATGCTTTATGGGTTTGTTTTTATTTGGTGCTAGTTATTGACAGGCAGTCATTTTCGGGGGGGAGCGTTCAGACCATGAGTTAGGCAGGAGTGTTTGAAAGATAACCCTGCACTGTTGCTATTTTGCTGGTTCATTTAAAGCTGAAATACAAGCCAACCTGTTCTCAAGGTTTTCATTTCGTAACTGCCGTTACAATATTAAGACATTGTATTGGGTAAGACTTCATACTTTAAGATATTTTATTTTTACAGAACTACTACTATTAACCTTTTGATTCAAATACTTTTAATAATTCTCCACATGGTACAATATCCTACCTCAACACACCACACAAAAGTGTGCACGTTTATAAGCTATTATTAAAAGAAAAGCGAATACAACGAATGAATGCAGCCCTTAAGTGTGAAAAACACGGTGAAAACACGGAGGAGCTAAGCTTGCAATGCTAACCTGCCGTTCACTTCAGTATAGACCGGGGGTCCGTGTCGCGGCCATTACATGTTCGTTGGTAAATGGGTCGCTGAGAGCCGCTCCAGTCCCGCTAAAGACAGTGAGCCGCTGCGCCGTAACTCGGTCCGGAAAGTGAAGAGCATCACGGACACTTGTCACGGGGCTTTGAGGGCTACTCTACGACAAAAACATGGACAAAAAAATATTTTTGGCTTATAGTTTTCCGCGAATACTTTTACTCTTAGCTACTTAACACATTTTTTGGACTTCTCCTTTTTACTTAGACTTGAGAAATATCTTTTTGAAGTAAAGTTACTCTTAAAATACCCAATTTTCATGGACATCAGTGACGGCAACATTGACTGTCACGGCTAGGTTAGTTAGCTCACTACTAGCATTAGACCAAATATATTTAGTATTTTTATGAATTAAATTAACTGCAGAGTGTCCTAAATAGGTAAAGGAATCTGACCCAGGGCATGTGAGGGCTCAGGTGGTTGGACTTGAGGTTCGTTGGGTTCAGTTCTGCTGAAAAACAAACGCTATTAGCTCTTAGCTTAGCTTAGCTTAGCTTCGGACGGTAAAATGTGGCTCTTCTCAGACTGTAGCTCTCCCGCTGGAAACGTTACGAAAGTCCAACACTAATGTAGTGTAATATTCAAAATAGACACTTTCTAAGTGTTTGATGTTAACACTGTGCATCAACAACTACTTAGTTTACTCTACAGCACTGTCATAGCTGAAATAACTCTTGACTATATTGAAACATATCTGGATTTTCTTCACTTTACTCACACCAATACCGTGAATTTAACACTTTTGAATTTGCTGTTTATAGCAAGGGTGAAGAGTGATGCACAAAAAATACTCTTCTTTTTCCACTAAAATGGAAATTTTAGTATAAATTTTTATTTTTTTTTAAAGAAGAAAAAACTTTTCAAATGTACAGTTTCAGGTATGATGACCAAAAGTGCATATTTGTGGTTTTCATATAAATAATACAATTACTTTTTAAACCACCTTTATTTACCAGTTGGTAGCTGTTTAGCATCATACCCAGGTATGTGTTACAATAATATAAAATTGCATTTTTGGTGGGTAAATGAGTATGCTGTGATGCAATTAAAGGTGCACTGTGGGGTATCAAAGGTAATTTTTCAACTGCTTGTCTCCATGGAGCTTGCTTTTTTTTTGTTATTGCTGTTGTCTGGCATGTCCCATAGTAAAGCATAAAACTCAACCTTGTCCCTGAAGACAATCAGAAACAAAAGTAGGTCAGGATACAGGTCAGATCTATGGAGAGGCGTCTCAGTGTGTCATGAAAACAATCACATCTCCATGGAGACAAGCAAGTGGTGGACCAGAAAAGTTACACAGTGCACCTTTAAGATACATTTGATCATATGTGAGAAATTATTACTTCAGTTATAGTCATACAGATATAGATACAAATGGCATGTGAAAGAAAACAGACACATCACTTATTCTGTCAAAGTGTCTAACTCTTCACACAGATGACAGATCCCATCATAACAAGAAAAACTAATTATTTTTAAGCACCATTGGGAAAACCCCTGGAAAAACACAGTTCAGTTTCCTGCCTTTACAATGTAATGTTTTTCAAGGAAAGATGTATTTGGAGCAGCCACACCTTTGGCAGCATGAGGCGGGTGGAGCCAGGCTGTCCCACAGAGAGGCTTCTTTGGCCAGACTCTGGAGCAAAGGAAGGAGACAGGCCTTCGTCACAAACAAACTATCTATGTATCTGCCAGTGTGGCAATGGCTCTACTGACCCATTGACAGGGCAATGCCAGCCAGGGCTCAGTCGAGGAAAAAGAGAGTGGAGCATCTGAGGATAGAAAACAGCAGGACGGCGGGACAGACCGAATATCAGGTCTGTGAGTCATTCAGGAGGACCCACACAGAGTCACAAATTAATCTAATGGATCGTCAGGACACATGCAGCCCTGTCACAGAAATAGGCATGATTCACCTTCTTTGAGTCATCCACTCTCCCTACATGTGGTTTTCTCTCTGTCTCTGTGCCACATGCATAGTCTTCTTTGTTTTGAAGTACTTTGCTCTCACGAAGAACTGCAGAACTACAAAAATACAGCCCTGCCCTTTCAGTGCTCTATACACAATCATTTAACAAAAATCAAAAACATAACTAAAACACACAAGACAGATTTATTGTGAGCTTTGAATCATGTTGCAATGTTGTTACCCCCCAAAAACTTACCTGGAGTTGTGTTTTGTTTCATTCACACATGTTTGAGTAACCTTTTATTATTAGTCTGTCATCATCTCCAAACCTCAAAGTGCTGTGTACCTTGTGATGTCATGAAGCAGTAGTTTTCAAATTAACAGCTATGTTTTCCCTTTGTTCAGTAGAAAGTGGCACTTTCAGGTCTATGATTCTAGTGAAGGTGTACTGAGTTTAAAACACAGTGAAACACTTCCTGTATTACAAAATGACATCACAAGGTAGAACAGAGTGTTTTCTGTTTGAGAAAAGGACTCCTGGGTAAATATGCTTAAATGTGCAGAGTTTGCATGTTAAACATGTGTGAATGAAACAAAACACAATTCAAGGTTTGTTTTTGATGGGGAAATAACATTATAAGATAAATCAGAAAATAGCATAATGTGGACCCTTTAAATTATAAAAATGCCTTTTTGTCTTGAATGCCTCTCAGGGAGAAAACAGTCGAGGATATAAGGAACTGCTCGCTGCTGCAAAGAAGGTTGACTCCGTCCCTGTGGCTATTTGCAGTGTGAAAGAAGTTTGGGCTGACTACAGCCTCTCCACAGACACCATCACTCTCTTCAGAAAGGTAATCCATGCACTCTCACCCAAGGACTGTGCATTGTTGAATTTAGGAAACAGTATTAATGATGTGAGCTGGTTCTGCTATTTGATGTAAGTTGTTAAAAGTTGGTGTAGCACTGTCTCTCAGGAATCCTGTTGTTGTGCCCTTAAAGGAGCACTGTGTAACTTTTCAGATGGAGGGTCCACTCACTGGTTGTTTCCACAGAGATGTCTTCTCTTTGCCTGGAAATTTCTACAGCAACATATTTATTTCAAAGAAACAAGCAAGTGACACCAGAAGGTCAAATTACAGGTCAGATCTGTGGAGAGATGACTATGCTGACAATGAGAATGCAGATATTTTTGAACAATAAAATACCTGTAATTTACTTCATGTAAGACAGATATGTTGTCTGGTATACGGAGGAACACTGAAGGCAAAGCAGTAACATCTCCATGGAGACAATTAGTTGGTGAACCCTCTCCCTCTCTCCCTCCCTCCCTCCTTCCCTCCCAAGCAGGTCACTTCACCCACCGTGCATAATGTGAAAGTAGAGTGTGTGTGTGTGTTTGTGTGTTTGTGTGCATACCTATGTGTGTGAATGAGTGATTGGGGGTGGTTGAAGGGCTGATTGGTGTAGACTGACAAATTAAACATAGTGATTTCTTTCAGATTGTAGCTGTCTTAAGTGTGAAATGGTAAATGAGTATGACTGAGATGTGTGTCCGTGGTTCACCTATTCAATAGTCCAATTAAAGAAGAGACAAAAGTATTTTTAAAAGTAAACAAATATTATTAAATGTCCTATATTATGCTAAATTAACTCTCGTGAGCTTTAAGCTATGCTATAATCTTGTTTCCTCCTCAAAACTAACTACAACTTGTGTTTTGTTTCATTCACACATTTGAATAACTTTTTTCAAAATTATTATGTCTACATCTCCAAAGGTCAGAATGCTCTGTTCCACCTTGTGATGTCATGAAGTGGTAGTTTTCAAGTTAATAACTAACTTTTACCTTTCGTTCAGTAAAGGTTGGAAATTTCATGGCTGAAATTATTCAAATGACACTAATAAATTTGTTTGGAGTTTAAAAACACAGTGGAGTACTTCCTGTAGTATCACATGACATTACAAGGTGGAACAGAGTGTTTTCTGTTTGAGAGAAGAACTCATCCTAAATATGCACGGTTTGTGTGTTAAACATGAATGAAAACACAACACCAGCAACTTGATCATTTCTATTAGTGACTAGACCCAAGAACTCACAGTTTTATAAAGAAAATTTGCAGTTGAATAATATTAATTTTATCTGCATCCCATCTGTATTAAATAATATTGGCCTGTAGAATTTTGTTTTGTCATCTGAAACCCAGCAATACTGGTTTTCTACTTTTGTGCCTAGTTTAATGTGTGAATCACATTGCCACAGTGTTGTACCTCTGCTCTTAAAACACTAGCTGTTTTAATGTGTGACTGTTGTGATGACCATTTTATTTTTCTTCAGGCAGATAACCGTCAAGAAAACCTAGTGGTTTCGGAGCTCAAAAAGCTGGACACTGATGGACTTGTGAACTTTATTATGATCAACGAAGTTCGCTATGTCACAGAGTACAACCAAGTAGTAAGTTCTCACTGCATCAGCTGTCATCATTATTTTTGGCCAATGCATGGATCTATATTGTGCCACACTTTTTTTGTTTTCAGACAGCAGTGGGTCTGTTCGAATCTCAGGTAAAAACACACCTGGTCATCTTCGCCAACAGAACCAGTAAAGACTTCTATGAGCTGAAGGAGAAACTAGCAGCTTTGGCCCCAGAGTTCACAGGCAAGGTTAGGGCTATTATGCAACAAAGCACCAGACATAACAGAACACTCCTAGCAGCTACACCCGCCGTCCTAACCATCACTCTGTTTTTCCAGTTCTTGTTTGTTCTGATCAACGGAGCGCTAAAGTCCAACTCCCGCTCACTTGGCTACTTTGGTCTCAAGTCCAAAGACCTCCCGCGAGTTGGCATCTATGACGGCAACTCAGACATGAAATGGCTGCTTCCAGAGGGAGACATCACAGTGGAGAGAGTGCGTGACTTCTGCCAGTCCTTCCTAAGAGGAGAGCTAAAGGTAAACACATATATGTAAATAGGCTTCTGATGTTCTGATAAATCATTCAACCTTTATAGTAATAATGATACGATAATAAATATACTGAAAATACTGCATAAAGAAGACACTATATAACTCTACTAGTGTCTCCATAAGAGTTTGAGTTGGGGTTTTGTAGCACAGTAGGGGTCAGACTGCTTCCTGATAAAAGTAATAATACAATAATAAATATTTGACCCAATGACCTTGATATTTTTAGGCCAATATTTAGAGCCAATTCAAGTAATTTTCCCCAAATTATGAAACTCAAATTTAGTATAAACTCAGTCATAACCTTTTTTTACTATAGAGTGTGTGGTGAGCAGTGTAGATACATTTTCCCAGTACGTTCTTTGGACGAACGTATTCAGACAAAGCTTAATGCATATATTTTTCATGCATATTTAGGCAGCTGGTTTGGCCAAACAAAATATCGGCCTCTGCTGGAGATTTATGGCTGATAACCTATACACTAAAAGGGAAAAGATTGGTCTATCGCTAATAAATATACTGATAGTCCTGTAGAAAAAAGACACAATATAACTCTCCTTGTGTCTCTGATGATATGAGATGGGGTCTTGCAGTACAGCAGGGGTCCGAGTGCTTCCTGTTGTCATTGTGAAGTCCCTGTGCCACATAAAAGTCAGAAAACCTCATAATAATTTGCCCTGTCACTCCACACAGCGCTCCAGCTGAGAGCTAAAGGCTGACAGACAGGCAGTCAGTGGAGCATGCCAACGCAATGTCTCAACAAAACTCAAAACACATTAATCAAATGGCAATAGGTGGTATTACAAGCTGAACGCTCAAAACCTGTTAAGCATATGGAAATAACTAATGATTAATGCTTCTGACATTCCCAAGGTGTTCAAATGTTAACTGATGAGAGTGTGTCTATAGTTTGTTGGTCAGATGTTAACATTTCACTGTATATATTTAATTTAAGTAAAACAGCCACTTGTTATTGGTGTCCTTTTTGCTTTTTTTAACTTATATATATATATATATATATATATATATATATATATATATATATATATATATATATATATATATATATATATATATATATATATATATATATATATATATATAGTCTTGCTTCTCCATAGATCTGACAATTAATCTGTCTCCATTGTTATTGCTAAATCAATTTCCATACTGTAGAATAAGCAAAGCAAAACAGTAATATCTCCACGGATAAGCAGGTGGCAGACCCTTCGCCAAAAACAGTGCACTTTTAAAGAGATTAGACAGAACGGGGTGTCTAACGTTCCTCTTTGTTCCTCTTTTGTTTCAGGATGTAGCGCAGGCTGGAGACAAAAGCAAAGACTGAACTGTAAAACTTCACAGTATGTAAATTAATAAATTAATAACAATGAACTGTATGGACAATGTGCAGTGTTTTCCCATAACATTCAGTCAATGAAGAAACCTCTCTCTGCAATTTGTCCATCTTGACCGAATCCACATTCACTGAGGCATTTGTGCGTAACGTGTGTTGTCGCCCGTAGCAGCCAATGCGATTCACCGCCCGCTCACACGAGTCTGAGCCAGTCTGCGGTCCGCTGAGCTCACCACAGGTCAGCGGCCACAAGCTGCAGAGACCTGGCACAGTTTGTTGGACTGGCCACTAATGTTACTGTCCTCACCACAACACAGCAACCGCAGAGAAACTGACACACTCTGGCACAGATCAGACTGACAGATATGAGCACCAGGCCCGGACACTGCACACTTTCTCACAGGATTCACTCTAAGAATACAGGAAATACCCAGTCCCATTTAAAGGTGCACTGTGTAACTTTCCGGGTGGAGGATCTATCACCATGGACATGTTGTTGCTTTAAGATTGTCCAAAAAAGCACTATATAAATTTTATCCATTATTATTATTATTATTATTAACTGTCACATTTTTATAGCACTTATATATAGCACTTTTCCACCCTCAAGGTACTCAAAGCTCTTAACAACATGGAACAACACACCCATTCACACTCACATTCATACACCGGCGTACACAGACACTGGGGGCAAGGTAGGTTGGTAGGTGTCTTGCCCAAGGACACAACGACAGCATTCAACTTTGGGAGCTGGAATCCCACCACCAACCTGTGGGTTATCGGATTTGACCGCTCAATCAATGATGTTTATTTCAGGAGCGGGATTTAAAGCGCCAACCTTCAGATCAGTTGACAAACACTCTACCATGTGTTATTAGGTTCTTTTTTCAGGCCAAGTGTTTGTTTTCATACCTGACAGTTTCGACTGCTCTGTCTTCCTCAGAGTGGTCACGTGATGTTACTGTGACGTGTCTGGTCAGCTGATTTAAACAGGTTTTGTCGCTGTCTTCCTATCGCTAGCGAACAATCGAAACTGTCAGGTATGAAAACAAACTCTTGGTCTGAAAAAAGAACCTAATAACATAGAATATCGGAAGACCAAATGAACCTCATTGGACTAAACACTCTACCAACTGAGCTACTGTCACCCATGAAATATTGTTGTTGTTGTTATTATTATTTGCCTGGAAATTTTCATAGTAAAATATTAAACTATCTATTTCCATGGAGACAAGCACCATGCCAATTTACAGGTCTGATTTGTTGAGAGGTGGGCCTGCAAACAATACCTTGAAAAAGTACATATTTTTCAAGGTATTGCTTTATTGTAAATATGCCTATAATTAAATAATAGCCAAGTTTAATGCCATAGTGTGGTATAGTTCAGGGAACGCCATCTCCCTAGTATATCTCCATGGACACACCCAGGTGCTGGACAGGGTATCAGAAAAGTTACGTAGTGTGTAACTGTGTAACTTTTATGATGGAGGGTCCGTGGAGATAAATAAGTGTAATGTGGTACTGTAGAACATTCCAGGCAACATCTCCATAGAGAGAAGCTGATGATGGACCTTCCTCACTTTAAGTTGCATGCAGTTATAATATATATAGTATGGCTTTGGTGTTTAAATTTTAAAAAGCCAATCAGAGCTGAGGGACAATAGTCTAAAAATCTGGTTTTAAACTGAAATCATTGTGCAGATGAAACAAGAGAATGCGAGGGCCCAGACGAGCATCAGTGTAATTAGTGGTGTCATGCAGCCGGCCAGCACATCCGGAGCATGGGTTGGCAGGTGCAGGGTTTAGAGCAGATGGAAATACACCACTGTTTTGTCTGTGGCAGGAGCTCAGATGATCTCCACATCACAGCGAGTTACATAAGGCTCAGGCCAAAGGACAAATACTCAAATACTTTAATATTTAAGAAGGCCTATTAGGCAAAATCAACTTTTCAGAGCTTTTAACCATATTATAATTGTTTCTCCTCATTCAGCTGTGTCATATAGTCATTTTACAGTACAAATGGAAAAAAATAAAAATATTCTTTGATAGCGTGATCCTCAACTATACTACTGGAGATGCCAACTCTTCGTTGTGATAACATTATCACTATTCTTTCATTAAGTCCAAATAAATGTAATTCTTCATATACACTGAATTATGTTGTCCTGTTGGCTTCATCAGGCCAGGACCTGTAGTGTGCACTGGGGCAGTTTGCAGCTGAGTGTGAAGCGGCTGGGATGAAGACCACCTCCTCCAAATCCGAAGCCATGGTTTTCAGCCAGGCACTCCCTTAGAGATAGGGTGAGGAGCTGTCACACAGGAGGAGCTTGGAGTAGAGCTGCTGCTCCTGCACGTCAAGAGAAGCCAACTGAGGTGGCTCGAGCATCTGTTCCTGGTCGCCTCCCTTGGGAGGTGTTTTTTGGCATGTCCCACCGAAAGTAGTACCTGGGGAAGACCCAGGACATGCTGGAGGAACTATGTCTCTCGGTTGGCCTGGGAACACCTTGGGGTCCCGCTAGAGGAGCTGAAGGAAGTGTCCGAGGTGAAAGAAATCTGAGAGTCCCTGCTTAGACCGCTGTCCCCGTGACCTGGCCCCAGATAAGCAGAAGGAAATGGATGGATGGACACTGAATGAATATTGCAATTTAAAATTAGCAAATTATAACATAATGATCCATGATGTCAGATTATAGCTATAGGCTTAAATTTCTTAAAATCCAAAACAAACCAAATCTAAGGGCTATAGTGATGATAGTTGTCACCAGTAGACAGACAGTGGTTTTGTGCAGAGTGTGGTAAAAGCAAGCCTTCACGACCACACCGAGTTTATAGGTCTGTGTGTATTTGTGTCAGATTTGTCCATGTATCCGGTTAAAACCCAGCTGCTCAGTTTTACATGCTCAGACTTTCCCTGTTTGCCACTTGTATTCTACTCTTGTACAGACTGTGTTAATTGCTACTCAGGAAATAGTCAGAAATAAGCTTTGGCACTTGTTGTGAAGTCTTATTTCTTCATGTTCTTGCACTAAAAACAAGAGACACATCTGTTTACCCCAAACACAGTAAATCCCTGAGAGCCATCATAGCCTGTGGGATTAAACTGAGCAGTGGCTTTGGACTTCTGCTTATAAATCTTTGAAAACATTTCTCTGAATAAAGTTCGTCTAGACTGCCAACCTGGTTTGGTCTAGTCTGTAAAAAAGTTTATGCCCTGAGTAAATTACAATAGAGGAACTGGGCAGCAAAAAGTGGGCAAAAATGGTTTGCCTCACAACCAGATGGAGATGCTGTATCCCATTTTGCCCACTGCTGCTCTAGACACTCCAGTATCTCATTTGGGCCAAAACATTGGTGAGAGATATTAATTAGGACATTTCTTTAAAGTTACCAGCTGTAATTAAATTTACTGTCCCACCTCTGTTGTATTCTCTTGTCACTAGATGTTATCTATGGCTCTGCATTCTGACAGTGTGCCAGCTTTGGCCAGAAGACCAAAGAGCAAAGGTGACCAGGAAGAATGGCCAGGTAGGAGGGGAGGAACAGGTTGCACATCCGCCATTTACTGGTTAAAAAAATAAAATAAATAAACAGAAGATCTTAACTTAAAGTTCTCATATGAGGTCATAGGTTTTATTTTGTTGTGACTGTCTAATAAACACCTGTCATTTCAAATGACATGATTTTTTTCTAATGAGCCATTTATTATGATGTGGTGAGCTGAGTTAGAAGTAACTGGAAATCAAGGGCCATCAGTCTATAATATCACTAACAGGTGAATCCTGTAAAAAAAAAAAAAAAAAAATCTGAAAACATCCACTCCACATGGGGACGTATATTCAGGTTTTTAGGTCAAATATGTCAGAGCCATATTTACCCCATGTGTTAAGACTCATTATGATTTATAATGAAGCAATAGTTTCAGTTTTACATGTTGGTCACTTTAATAACACTTCAAAACCTAATTATACATGTTTTACACTTGGGGAAAAATAAATATCTTTACAACATGGCGGTGACTGTTAAATAACTATAAATACATTAGTTTTTTCTTTGTAGTCCACATAATGTGGCTCAGTTCTTTTAAGTGCAACATGCCACAACACAAAATAAGAACCTCTATGCAGCTGTATTTCCTGTCTGTTTGGATGTGATTGAACCCTCTCCCCAGTGAAACATATCCTCAAAAATGGACACTAGACCAGACATCGAAATTACATGCCCCTCATCCAAAGCAAATCTGTGAGACTAGGAATAACACTGGCCGGAGCAGGGACAACAAGGTCACAGGGCAGAAGCCCTCCCTTCTCTCTGCACAAGGTATTTATATGCTTCAAGTAATGTGTGTTCATAAATGTTTGGTTATCTAAACACTGTTTAGGATTTAGACATGGTTCAAGTCCAAGTCATCAACTGCACATGCCACTGTGAGTGCAGCCCACAGCTAGTGCTATGCACAAACACACTGCAGCATCTTAAAGCCGCATGAATGTACTACGTCCAATACATGAGGCCCTCTTATTTTAGCAGCCCATTTACTAAAAACTCTGCTGTGCACCGGGCCATGCCGCTGGTTAGTCGTGGCCGTGCTGGGCAGGAGCTGGACTCCGATCTGCGCTCTGTAAATAGTGACTGTGGTTCTAGTGGGACACTGCAGGACTCTAATTAAGCCCTGTCGCATAATGAGGCTCACTGCTGCTCCGTGTCACTCGATTAGTAGCTTGTGGCGCACACAGACTGTAGTTTGGGGTTTGTGGGGGTGGGAGATCACATCTGGGGCAACACAACAGCAGGGACGCTGTTGGGTGTCCACCGTGTAAAATAAGAAACCAATCTCCCTGATTGAAAAACAATCACACTCTGGGTTTAAAAACTCAGCAGTGCACAGTCTGGACAGTCTAGTTTTCCATTTTTGTTTTAAGATGAAATGGTGGATTGAAATGGACTAAAGTGGAGAAAAAGCATACCTTCTGAAAATGACAGATCTGTATGAGAAAGAGAAAAGACAGAAAATTCCAGACAATAGGAAAACAAAAAACAGTAATTTCTCCCTCACTGACCCATGAGTATGATGAGCTCCTGTATTATTACGGTCCTATATGTTCATGCATCAGTGCATACTTGTGTGTCTGCCTTTGCAGTGACTCCAGCCCTGGCCCTACCCCAGCCCTGGATGTCCTTGAGTGTCTTTACCATTTTCTGGTTTACATAAAGTCTACACATACAGTATGCACACACGCACACACTCATACACTCACACACACACACACACGCATACAGCCGGTAGCTGAATTCGAGGAATGCCTTCCGCCACATTCTTTGTGGGTGAATGAGTTTCTGGACTCAATGCCAAGGCTCGTGTGGGTGTTTATAGACAACTTCATGACAAGTGAAAGTGGAAATGTTGTTATCCGATTCCCTGTCCAATCAGAGGCAGAGCTCCCTGAGTGGGTTTGACCTTGCTTCGGACATGGGCTCATGTATATATTGACCTTCAGTCCATCCACTGACACAGAAGCAGCTCTAGAGCGAAAGAAACCAAAGAGCCTTGACTCCACATAGAAGCATCTCCAGAGACATCATGAGGACTGTGACTCTACTGCTCACCTGCGCTCTCCTCTCTGTCTGCTGGTCCATGGGGGGTGAGTCCACTCTTCTGCACAAGTATGTACTATTTTCCTGACTGCATTTATGCAAATGTTATGTGTTGTATTCTGCAGCTATTGAACCTGAGGTTATAGTGGACCCAGCAGAGGACCCTGCAGCTGATGTAGCTCCTGCTGACTCTGCCTCCTCCTCTGCCTCATCCTCTGCCTCCTCCTCTGAGTCTGCCTCTGCATCAGACTCTGCATCAGACTCAGCATCAGACTCAGCATCGGACTCAGGTTCTGACTCTTCTGCATCTTCAGCTTCCTCTTCCTCTGAATCCACAGAGTCTGCACAGTCCTCAGAGTCCTCAGAGTCCCAGTCCTCAGAGTCTCAGTCCTCTGAGTCCCAGTCCTCAGAATCATCTGAATCTTCAGAATCTTCAGAATCTGCTTCATCTGCCTCTGACTCTTCCTCAGCATCCTCATCAACCAGCACTGAAGGTACAATCAATTATTGGGTCTCATATGATGTCAGTTTTCCATGGGGTCCTATAGTATTTAATAGTGCATTTGGGTCCTATTTTGTCCTAATGCAGACTTGCTTTGGTCCTTTTGTAGTGCTTGTTTAGTCCTGGTCTAGCACAGGCTTAGTCCAGTTTGAAGTTCTAATTGGTATAATTACAAGTGTGAGTGAGCACACTTTAATAAAGATTGGGGAATGCAAAGTTGTGCAACAGTAATGTGTCAAATTAAAAAGCTGATTTCAAATTATTGGTTTTGTTAGTGTTAAATTATTGAAAAAAATACAGGAATACTGGCTTATCAGATTCTGAATTTAACTTTTTGTTTATATTTTTTTGTAGCCCCTCATGTGGTAATGAAGAGGGACCTGGCGGCTGTATTGCTCAGGAGAAGGAGAGCAACCGGACCGCTCGGTCCACTACAGCTGGAGAGGTACATATAAGTTTATATATGTTGTATATTTGTGTGGGAATGGTTGTAGTCAAAGATTAATACTCCTGACTGTGTTTTGTGTGAGGCAGCCTGCGAGAGGTGTGTGAACTGAACGAAGCCTGTGACGACATGGCTGACACTGCTGGAATAGTGGCTGCTTACACGGCTTATTATGGACCTGTCCCCTTCTAAAAAGACCACCTCTTCAATCATTACATCATTTTAAACTAGTGCCGTGGCCTCCCTGGATGCAGAAAACAAACCTATTGTACATTTAAATTCTTGCTCAGATCACCAGAAGTGTTATATCCAAAGGCCTTGTATGTAAAATGTAAAAGGCACATGGACTCACAAGCCTGTGAATAACTTTTAAAGCCCACTTGAGTTTAGATTATTACTAAGCTTCAGCAAAACAAATGGTGCTACAAGTGCAATTATAATGTAAGAGAATGTATTACTAATGTATTTTTATATGGTGCTTATTATGATGCTTTTATCTTTACAAATGGAAGATTTAGATATTTTTAGGGGCAGATTTTCTAACCAAAGAAATAGCGTTATGTGTATTTTGACAGGTTTGATATGTTTGGAAAATAATAAATTATTTCTTTATTAAAAATGTCTTCTCATAATTATTTTCCACTGTGAACATGTCCTCACATGCACCAGGGGCTGTTACTATATAAGGTCAATAGATGGCAGTACAAAACAACTCTAGCTCAAATTCCAGTTTGCATAGTCAAGTATGTAATGTTCAGATTTAAACAAACGTATCATGGGTTTATTCAGTAATTGCATATTAATTGACTGTGCTACATTACAGACACTGTCATATAGGCCAGATCAGAGAATTGATGTCAGATGAGTTAAACCTGCATGCTCTTATCTGTTTTATATATTTACATAAACAATGGAGTTGTACGGGTTTAATGTTGGCACATGTTTTGGGTCCTTGATTTTATCGGACACAACTTCTCCACTTCTTTGTTGAATCTACTACAGATAAAGAACAAGGTCGCACAGCACTTAGACAAGGATGTAGCACCAGATTCTGGGTTATAGGTACAAATCATCTTGGTGGGCCTGCACTACATGTTGTCTAATAAAAATGCACATTAGAGGCTTTGTGAGGGGTCCCTCCCTGCACTGGGCCCTGGAAAACAGTACCCTTTACCCCCCCCAGGCCGACGCCCCTGACTCCACAGATCTTTCCGGTCACGTGTAGAGTGGCGGTGCCTTGTGTTAGATGTGGCTTCATCATTAACAGGACTATCTGTACATCAGCTTCACCCCCTCTCTCTACTGACCCACAGTGTGGCTGGGTGTCCTGGACTGTCACAGTTGTTGCGGTTACTATTGACACAAAGATAATCCATACACAAGCTGGCTGCCATGTGACACTAGGCAGCTCATGACTTCTTTCAATGAACACTCCACAACTGCCCCTTCTCTGATTATTATTAATAGGAACTGCAGTGATGGTCATGACATGAAGAATTTTACTACTTTGACAGTGAACTGTGACCCCAATGTTTCTACTTTTTCTGAGTATTATTATGTACTTGAGATAACGCAGATAACTGGTCAATAAATTAACTTGTTTTTGCTTTAGTCATCACATTAGAAATGATGAAGCGCCAGAGACTTAAAAGCCACTAGATAAAAAAGGTGTTTATTAATACATGAGTTTATTAACATAAATAATTAGCGTAATTTTAATTATTAATGTATTCTGTGTGTAATTTTTTATAAAACAATATATTCTCTGAATACAATAATTTATCTTAATTAAAGAATAATTATTACACCCTAAAACGATGTTAAAGATTTCCATGTGTCATATACACATATAAACAAAACATTTGCTTAAAAAAGTCACATGACCCTAAGACCTCTATGTCTCCTTCAACCAGGAAAATATCACCTATTATACAACATGTTGACAGGATGACAGATCTGATCTTAGATTGTGTTTTTGAGATTGAGACACATGGCAAATTGATTAAAACAAAGTACTATAGCCAAAGGTACACAGTCTGAGTATGAGATGGGTGGCAGAAACGTCAAAGCTTGGTCATATTGAGAATCTTCAGCTCTATTTTATCTCTTTGACTGTCGATTTCCTTTTCCACCTCTCTCTCAGTCTCCATGGCAGGGTTGTCATATGCCTCTTTGAGACTCTTTTCCTTTCCTTCTTGTGTCTCCTCATCTGCAGGCAGCTGACAGCATTTACAGCAGCAGCAGCACTTGGTGACAAACACATCCACCACTTTGTCCCAGGGTGCGAGAGAGTGGGCCCACAGGGGCAGGAAGTCCCAGTTCCTCAGGGCTGCTGGAAGACAGCTGGGTTTGTGCTTTTGCAGCACATTAATTATAACAATGATGATCAGTAGACCGAGCAGTGGTGCACCCACTCCTACGAGGACCTTCCAACCTGCCACAGAAAGCCCAAAGACGAGCAAGGGCAGAAGGAAGAAGCAGCAGATGATGTAGACTGCAGCAAACCAGCGGTACTTGGCTGTGACGCTGCCCAGGCTCTTGGCAAGGCGGATCGGAATTCTGGTGAAGGGTATTGGGTACCACAGGACAATGCCAGTGATGTTGAACAAGAAATGCACAAGTGCAATCTAGAAAAAAGAAAAGTTTTATTTTTTATTTTCAGCTACACAAGATGTGCAGTAGTTTGGCTTACTTGTAATGCATTGGCCAGTGTCTCTCCTGGACTAGCCATTGCAGCCAGGATAGCTGTTGTGGTGGTGCCTATATTTGATCCAAGTGACAGTGGATAGGCCCTTTCTATGCTGATCACACCAATACCTGTTTATACAAAGTTAGTCAGGACTATGTTCTCATTTGCCCAAAACAAAGACTTGTATATCATTTTAACTTTGAATGCACTGATCCATGTTTTTAAATTACAATACTGATATCGATACTTGGACTGTAAATATCGACTGATACCAGATATCAACCGATTTTAGTGTAGGGACAGCACATTACACTTATTTCCACAGTTAACTTTTTACACAAGAGATCATATTTTTCCTATCCAAGTTTTATATAACTGTTATTTGTCCTTCAAAGAACCATTTTGTATGACTAAATGGTCAAACATTATGAGACATTCTAGGCCAAAATCAGCTTATAAAAAGTTTTAATACATCTAATTAAAGGCCCAGCCAGGATCCAATCCTGCTATTTTTTTTTTTTAAATATTGGCACTGACATTTGATATCAGCATTGGTATTGTGCTTCCCTAATTTTACTAAGCATATAATAATGAATGATGAACAGTTAGTTGATTGACCTCACCAACAAGTGGAGTAATTGCAGATGTAAACACTGAACTGCTCTGCACCACAAAGGTCATTCCAGCTCCGACCAAAATGGCAATGTACCCCACAACCCAGCCAAAGGGAAATGGAAAATCTGAATACACAGTCAGAAACATTATTAGAAAAAAGGTATGATGACTGGTCCAAAACAACAGAAAGGCATCTCTCACCAGTGTTTAGGATCTTCTTTATGACAGATGCCACCTGCCCTTTGAGCATTGAGTTGAGCAGTTTGACAATGAGAATCAGGCATGAGCAGAGCACCAGGAGAGACAGAGCTAGCAGGATCAGACCCACAGCCAGGTCAGACAGGGCCACATCCACAAATAGGTGCTTACCTTAAAATCCAAGAGCACAAGTTAAAATGTATGTACAATGTAAAATGTACATAGTTGTTTTAGTTATTATAGCACACTACTTGTTAAATACTCTACATACAATTTTATTGTTACTTGTGACAATGACAATAAGTTCTTAAATCTTGAATCTTATTTTTTTTAACAGGTACAATGATAAACACATTATTGTTCTTCATGGCATCTCTTAGTGTGCAAGTATGGGCTATATTAGGTGGCAAGTGAATATTAGTTTCAATGTAATTTTTAATGTAAATATTATTGTATTCCACTTCAGTGGTGTATCTGGGGCACTCAGTGTCAGATCAGTCCTTGTTATCTTGGCCTGCATCATCAGAGGTATAATACTCCCTACAACAGATGTATAGCCAGACTGAATTGCACTAGACTGGAATGAACAACACTATCACAATTGAGGGCTCATGTCTCTAGAATCTGAACACCAACGTCATGCCTCTTCTCTTCAATTCTCGGCCTACTACAATTTATTCAGATTCTAATTCTAATTCAGATAGATTAAAAGTAGGAAAAATATGGATTTTTTCTTTGTGATTTTATACTTATTGAAAGGAATACACGTAATGTATGTAATTCATGCAACATTTTGCCCAATATGTGCTTACATACTCACATTTTTCCAAGTTGTAAGTGACAGATACGTTCATCAGTGTTATTGTCTGATTTCCGTCAAACCAACAGAGAGTTGGAGAAGTGCAATTTTCAGGACCAGGAACTGTCACATTCATTAGAGTCTAAAAGACAAACAACAAAAACATGCATAAACAACCTCAAAACATAATATTTGAGTTACCTTGAATAGTGGTTGATCTTACTGTGTTGGTAAATGTTTTGCACCATTTCAAAATGAGACTCTTGTTTCTGGCTTCTGGGTCTCCAGTGGCAATTTGACTGATCACTGTCTTGTCTAGCTAATGTTTTGAACAGAGCACAAAGTCAAAAATATATGAATTAATGAATTCATATACTATAAATTACATAGTAACTACTATTTAAAATATGGTACCTGAATAATGGATTTTGTGAGCACATCTGTGATGACATTTAGCAGATCCGGTGCCTCTCCACTCTGAATATTAAAGGAGTCTATGATGAGTTTTGTGACTATGTATAGGTACCCAGAGGCCACTTCTATTGGCAGCAGCACCAGCACAGACAGCCAGTTGAAGAAGTCATGGACTGTGGCCCCAGCAAAAGCTCTGTGGATTTGATAGAATTACATGCATGTTACAGCAATTTATACAGTAAATAAAGATAATGAAGTCTATGGGCATTTAATTACCTACGAAATGTACTGCGCTCCCCTGCTTGCGTCATAGCCACAAGTGTGTTGGTGACGGAAGTGCCAATGTTGGTCCCCATAATAATAGGAACAGCCAGCTGGACTGTGAGCACTGCAAAATTCCAAGCGTTAATATCACAGAAATTTAGTTTGAATATTTTACACAAAAGAGCTCTGTGATTTTTGGTTGCTATGGCGTTCTCTTACTATCAACAGTACTGAGACTTAAATGGTCATGATCACATTTTTATACAGCACTTTTCCACCTTCAAGGCACTCAAAGCATTTTACATCGAGGAATCATTCACCCCATTCACACACACTCATACACCAGTGTATGCAGACACTCCAGTTTTCAAATCAGAGGACAAACACTCTAACAACTAAACTAATGTTGCCCTTTTACACGACTAACATGGGATCATCACTTTTGCTATGAGTCCCTATTTTTGCAACCTTATATTAGTAAACTGAATATGTTTAAATGTGCTGATGTGCACTCAGACTCACATCCAGAGGAAACCATACTGACGACTATGGAGGAGGAGGTGGATGAACTTTGGACAAGAAGAGTCACCAAAACACCAATCACCAGTCCTGCCAATGGGTTTGACAGCACACTGTTGTCTTGCAAAATGTCTCCTGCTGCTTTTCCTGCACATAACACTCATTTTAGTATTATAATTGAAGTTCTTGTTTATAGGCTCACTATCTATTTAAATCTTACTGACCTCCAACCAACTGGAAGGCAGAGCTGAGGATGTCCAGTGAGCAGATGAACATGTAGAGAAATCCCAGCAACAGGCACATTTTCCCAACAGACAGCACCACCCTCAGCACTTTACCTTTCGTGTCCAGTGCTGGAAGATTATAGACAAAGATGTCAGTATGGGCCTATATACTAAATTGTGCCCAGTCTCAGAAACTGGCATACTTGTTTTGTCAGCTCAGTCTCTGAACATGAATACATTTATGATATAGCTGTGGGCGACTCATAGGCACAGTCAGAAGGTCTTGAGTTTATTTCCTGGACAAGGAAGGGCCTTTCTGTGGGCAGTTTGCATGCTCTCCCTGTGCCTGTACAGGTTTTCTCTTGGTGCACAGGTTTCCTCTAAAAATACTAAAAACATGTACAATGTATCCTCGCGAAAACAGGACCCCCCCCCCCTTAACAAGAAATTATTTCAACAGGGACTTTCCTGATCAAGCTGTGCTAGTGTCCAAAAGAGTGAATGTGAATGATGTATGTCAAAGGGTTTTTGAGAACTAGAAAGTTACATGTAAATTATGTAAATACCTATTTCCTCTTTTCACAGTTTGAAAGGATTTAAGATGTAATTTAAAGAAATGGGTACCTTTTGTATCGTAATTAATGAGAGAGATTAGTAATACATTTTTCACTAATATCAGTAGTCAGGTCAGCATTATTGTTCACCTTTTTGCATCCTGTAATCAGTGCCAGTGACATGATAATCTACCTTTCAGAAGCAGTGATAGTGTACAAGTAGCTGAGCTGACCTGAAGTATCAGCACTCATGTAATTTAGTGAACTGTAAATAGCTCGACTTTATCGCTCTAGGACAAAAAACTGTGGTGTTGGCAGCTTCTGTGTAGCCCACAGTAACTTTGTCTGCTCCATGTTAAATTCAGTGAATTTATAGGGCCCATATTATGGTATTTTATGATCTGTTATAATGCAGTTTTTTCATTAAAGACAGACCAGGAGTTGTGATTTGTTTCATTTACACTGAAAACACTCCACCTTGTGATGTCATGTGGTAATTCTGTAAGTGCTCCACTGTGTTTTAAACTCTATACACCTGCACTAGAATCATTTGGATGATTTCAGACCTGGAATTGCCCATCTCTACTGAACTAAAGGTAAAAAGGTAGTAATTAACTTGAAATCTACCACTCCATGACATCACAAGGTGGAACTGAGTATTTTGAGCACTGGAGATGTATAAAGACTAATAATATACATGACTCCAGGTATGTTTTTTGAGGAAGTAACAACATTCTAACATGGCTATAAGCTAAAAGAGGCAATGTTGAGTAATACAGGACCATATAGGGCAATCCAAATACCTGACCAGGGGACTCCAGTGTCTTTCAGCTCTGGCATATCCCAAGGGTCAGTCTCCATCTTCTCCTCATTGATAAGGTCTACAGTTGAATGTGCTGGGCTGGCTAAAAGCAAAAGCAAAAGCATTTAAATTGTTTGCATAAAATATAGAATACACTTAATATTGTTAATTCATATAAAATACCTTGTCTCTCTCCCAGTTTCCCATTGTTCTGAGTTTCCATGGTCTGAAAAAAGATATAATGATTTAACAGTTGTAAGATGTATTAAAATGTATTTACAGCAATATCCATATCCTGAGAATATACACAAATGTGTAGTCTGTTACTTGAACAATGGCACGTATGTTTTCTTTCACATGCTGCACAACTGATCAGAACAATCACAGGGTTTGTAGAAAGGTCCCAGTACAGTTCTATTCAATGTTACCAATTAAAGTCAAGTTTCCCTGTTTGTAAAAAGGAAATAGTCTGACTGTCTATTTACAACATCTATTTACAACACCCTTTTTATCTAACTAATTAACTAATTAAAAGTGACTAATGCTGGTTCTTTGAACTCAGCTTTGGATCCGGTTTTGAGATTCTTATCTCTCTGTTATCTTGTGAACAAATTTTTGCACACTTAGATAATATGTTGTAAAGATAATCAATACGTTTAACACCACACACAGCACTTAAATGTCACAAATGTGTTAGGATATTTGATTTATGTTGCCTTAAAAGATAAATTATAATAGCATTTGGTTTAATTAGACCCAGTATGACACATGCTGACATTTAAATAAATCCAAGTATTCCTCACCTGTGGTGGGCTCAAAGAGTCCATGTTCCATAAGCAGGTATAAGCGCTCAGGTGAGAGTATGAGGTCTACTGATGTCGCTGTCACATCACCATGAAAATGTATATATCAGAGATAAGGAGGACACGCCTTCCTTGTCTCACAATGCTGTAAATGTTTGGAAAGTTGTGTTGCAATCCAATCCATGCTGAAGACGGTAACCCTAACAGAAGTAATCTCAAATGTGATTCTAAATTAATAAAAAAATAAAATAAAAATACAGATAGATGTTTAGTCCTTCAGTGATCTTTTCAGTGAATCCGGGGACCTTCCACTCGCAGAGACTTAATGGTAGTTTCCAGGCTGATGTTTTCATTCACTGAGCTTGTACTACTGGCACAGTGAGATCTGTGATTTTGAAGCAATTTATTGATTCTCTTGTGGCCTCCCATTGGCCAGTGTCTCTCAGTATCAATGAATTAACTACACTTGGCTTTGATATATTACTTTACTTGAATTAACTTTAAAATATTTAGACTTTTTTTTGTGTTAGGACTATCATGTGCTTTGTTGCCTGTTTTATTGTTCTAATTATTATTATATAGGCTACAAATATTTTGTCTATTTCTTTTTATTTATTTATTATTATTGTTTAATTTTATTTTTTTTATTTAATTAGTCAAAGTGAGTTACTTTTTTAGAAGCTTTTTGGCAGTACTCTAGCTGCTTCTCTGAGGTCTAAAAATACATTTTACATAGGCCTATTGATTTTTGGTCAGGGGTTTTCATGTGACATATTTCCACAATGGAACAAAAGCAGAGGTGTAATCCACTAAATAGTACTGGATGTGTCTCCTTGACACAAGCTCTGGCAAACTGGTTTTGTAAATAGGTAGTAGAAATCCTATGTTTCCTGGCACGCCAACTTTAAGGCTACTTTATAAGTATTTATTATATCCATAGATTCTCTCCACATTTTTCTTCAGCCTATATTTTGCTCTTATTGTAATCTACTTTTTCATCTGAGAATAGTATTTGGTCAGATAATAATGAGAGACTATTTTAGACTAGACTATTTTACTGCCAGCTAAGGCAGGAAGATGACATACACACCACGTGAAGGCGCTCTTTAACAACATATTACGTGAAAATTTTCAAAATAAAATAAACCAATACTTGTAGCACGTAATTAATGCACCCCTCACTGTTTTGAGTCAAAACGGAATGTAGTATTATGTAAAAGATGTATTTAAGTTAAATCAACACAGTTTGTGGGGAAGTTATTTTATTTTATTTTACTCGTGATTTTACTGCGCTGAACACAACATTAGTTTCCGGGTTATATCATCTTTTGCTGGTGCTTCATGGCGCTATGACATTGTGCAAAGAGCCGTCTGCTGCCCCTATCTTATGTGTATTAGTTGAAACAGTGTGAAAGCAGAGGTAAATCTAACATCACAGACATGGCGAACCCGGGCCCAGGCTACACAGATGAGCGGCAGCGAAGAGCAGCCCCGGTAAGCAGCTGTTTTACCTGCAGGATGCTAATGTGTTAGCTAACTTCAGGAGAACTGTTGTTGACCCCATGTGTGTCATGCAGCATGACTGTCTTTGCAGTGACAGGCAGTACACGCTTCTAAATAAGCACTGATGCAGAGTTGTGTGTGTTTTTAGGGTGCTGTTGGGATGGATTACATCCCCACAGAGGAAGAGAGGAAGGTGTTTAGAGAGTGCAACCAGGAGAGCTTCTGGTACAGGTGTAAGTTTTTCGCATGCAGTTACTGCCAATATGACTGGGACATGGATATTTATTTAAATGTGCTCTCTTCACAGCCGTGCCTTTCTCTGTGGTCAGCATGGCCATCACTCAAGCCCTTGTTGCAAGAGGTAAGTGTTAATAACAGAACATTATAGTAAGTGTACATTTGTCTAAATTGTCTCTTCACATGTTTAGGATCTTTGTCTGCGTCACCAAGGTTTGGGTCTCTTCCAAAAGTTGTCTGTGAGTATTGTGTTTGTATTCGTACTGTATTTAAATAGTTTTATGTGTTTATAAAATACTTATGTAAATGTAGTTGTAACATTTGTACTCATTGTTTTGGCTAAGGGTGTGCAGATATTCACAAACAAAAGTTTATCTTAATTCTTCAAAACTATTTAAAGCTTACCCTCAACAAAAAGCAACTAATATTTGTTTCTCTAGTTGCTGGTTTCTGTGGCTACTTGGCTGGAAAAATGTCTTACATGAAAACTTGCCAAGAAAAATTTAAAAGACTGGAAAATTCACCCTTGGGTGAGGCACTACGACAGCGAGCAGGACAAACTGTGCAATAGTAAGTACAGAAATGTGTTGTGGAATGTATATGACGTTTGTTGTGATTTTATTTTATTTTATTTATCCACAGTTCAAAAGGCCCTCAGTCCGAGATGGGTGACACTTCAATGATTCCATCAGAAAATATGTTCCAGTCAGACTCCCAAAGTCAGATCCCTGCTCCGAACAGAGACTATGGATATGGGTACAGCCCAGAGCCACCCATGCTCGAGAAGCAAGAAGACGACCTGAGTGTGTCAGGTAAACTCATGAAATTGACTAATGTATTAAATTGATTAATGGTAATGTTTACTTTGAATTATTACAATTTAGATCAGTCATATTTGGACGAAGAAGAGCCCAGACAGAAACCCATCTTGTATGAGGATTTAAGACTTAAAAATCGAGAGAACTATGAAGTCACACTAACTCAGAAAGCAGAGACCCTCTTGAAACCAACGCCACAAAGGGAGTCAGAAAGGCCTAAAACAGAAGGTAAGCTACCATTTAAAAATTGAACAAGCTGTTTGATTGTAATTGTAATTTCTCTGTTCAATGTGTTACAGCCAAGAAGAACATTTATGGAGATACATGGGAAGAATGAATATGTTTTGGTGTGAATATTGGCATCACTGTTTCAAATGAGAAAGTTGAGGTTGTGATCTCTTATTATTATGTATCAACCAATGTTTTGTTTTTGTTTGTTGTATTTGTCTTAACAAACAATCCAATTAAACTGCTATGATAAACCTGTAATTATGTTTGGAATTTTCTTGGTATTTAAAAACTATATAATTGTACATTTTAAAACAAAGATGCAAAGTCAGCAGCTGAGGTTTAGAAAACACTCTTGCAAATTAAAACACAACCCTGGGCACATGTTGAAAGCTCAAATTATAACATTTTAAGAAGAATGTAATGCCAATAGGTTATAACAACAAACTGTAAATCAACCCCCGATACGATTCATTTCAGTAGCAATATTGAGGTACAATGTTAAAGCAATCTATTTCTGATCATTGTTTGACAAATTACTCAAGTTATGACTATGGTTGCAACTGTGGCTGTGGTTATATCCACTGTAGTGTCCATGGTGTGCGTGAGAGTGTCCGTGGGATTGTCCAAGAGGATGAAGAGTCACTGAGGCATTGGCCATAGCACTATTGTAGTTTGCCCAGCCCTCATAAGGCATAGCTCCATAGTTCTGAGGGCCAAGACTGGAGGCTGGGGCATAGGCTTGCACTGGGTAGGATCCTGGTGGTGCAGAACTTATTTGTGGAAGAAGAACTTTCCTCCTCTCCTCTGTAGAAGCAGGGACAAATAGGGCAGGACTGGCCATCCTCAAAAACCTAAAAGGCGCATTTTTTTCCAGTACAGAAGCTTTGGATTCAGACATTTGCACCAATGAAAACCAACCTCTGCCATACATCCACCCTGTAAACACAGCTATAATATTACAAGGAAGAACTGCATTTGGAATGACAATGGTGGTGATGATTAAAAACAACCAAGGAAGAGCTATCGTGGGGAAACTGACGCCGAATAAAAATCCTTTGGTCATCTTTGTGTGCATTGTGGTTAAAGCCATGCAGGAAAGAGCTGTTGGCAGCAATCCTTCAGTCTGATTGGTGTTACCTTGCAGAAGATCCACAATCGCATAGGCTAATCCCGAGGTGGTAGATAACAGAAAGAACATGCTGAGAAAGCGAACGGTGCCGAAGCCCCTTTCCAAACTCCCACTGAGAAACACAAACGCTATGATGCTGAGAAGAAGCTGGCCTCCAGTCTTGTGATGATAGGGGTAAAGAAAAAGTCTGTGGACATGTCCATTTTCAAAAACACTGGCACCGACGCTAAACATTCCTTGGGTAATGCCTATGTTGCAATATTCTTGCACACCAAATAACAAAGAAGATGCTAAAATCACTGTAAGAATCCCACTCGTGAGTTTAGGGGACACTTCCTTCAGTACTTGTAAAATCATTTTATATACTATGAATATACTACACTATTACTCATTGAAAATACATCAAAAATAGAATATGTATAATTAAACTTCTGTCCCTAAGCAGACGCAGGTTTGAGGAAGAACTTCAGGAAATGAATTCATTTCCGGTAAGCTCTTTCAATTAAAAAAATAAAAATTTCTTATGGATGTTAAATATTTTGAGCTCTTGCAAACGGGAACGTGAGCACACATAATTATGATTAAAGTTAAATCAGCAAAAAGGCGGAGAGTGGAGACCTAAAGTTGCCTGGTGACAATAAATAATTGTGTCTATATAGTTTTATTTTGAAGTTTTGATGGCCGTCTGGTCTGTCCACCTCCGCTGTCGTACAGCTGCACTGGCGGATGTTGATGTTTTGTTTTTGCTCGGTGTCGCTGAACGATGTGAGCTGTAACATTCCTTTGGGTTTAGTCGTTTTTTATTGCCCCCACTGGTTTCTTTGTGCTTATACGCGGCGAGGGTTTGCTGCTTGTCGACCCCGAGTCCCTCCGGTGGTTTCCCCGGACCGTGAGATGATGGAGGACTTTGATGAGATCTATGAAGAGGAGGAGGAGGAAGAGGACGAGGACAGGGCCGCGGAGGAGCAGCTCTTGAAGTACTCTCCGGACCCGGTTGTGGTTCGCGGTTCCGGGCATGTCACTGTGTAAGCATCCACCCAAACGACTACAAAACACACCCTTACAACTGTCAGAAATGCTCAGTCTTCATTGTTGCCAAGTGTTTCTCATAACATCCTCTGCTAGCAGAGTTAGCCAGTGTGGTAACCTAGCGTAGTCAGCTAAAGTTAGCATCGAGCTAAGTAACTCTTCAAAAAGACAAGGAGCGGCTTTAGCAAGATGTAGCTTTGGTTTGGGAAACATATGGTTCTAATCTTTCTTTATCTTGGGCATCTGTTATAATACTGAAACACAATACAAGGCCAAGAGAAAAGTATCTCTCACTTTGGTGTGTGTTTATTGCCTATTGCTACCTAATGCCTTAAAGGTCCTTTTATTACGCAAAATTGACTCTTGTGAGCTTTAAGCCATTTTATGATGTTGTTATTTTAAGGTGACCAGATTGGGGTTATCAAAAAGAGGACACCGGGTTCTGGACGAATAAATTGGCGATGTTTGTACCTTGTGTCCGGCGATCTCTATTGGTGTTTAAATTTAATTCTGCTAAAGTATGTATGGCATTATGTGTGTGGGAATTTTGGACAGTTTACTGTATTTCATTGTATTTTAGAGGTCTACTAAACCATAGCTCAATAATATCATGGGTTATTTTCCTGACAGTGTCTGTGTCCCCTGTCCCTGCTCTGACAGGGCCCTGCTCCTGTCACTCTCACACACAGGAGACTTCAGTCTGTGATTCAGAGCAGGACAAACGCTACAGACTTTAGCCTTTATCAGGACGTCTGAACACATGTTTTATCCTGTATTTATCCTGTATTTATCCTGCATTTATCCTGAAATACTGTTGCTGAGGGTGAGACTATTCCGGTTACGTGCGTCTGATTTCGCGACGCTACAAACTTTTCTTGCTGGGATTTATGAACCTATTTCCACTGATATGGGGTCGATTTTCATTTTTTTAAAAAGGAGAAAAGTAGAGTTTGAGACGTGAAGAACAGCGTTACTGTAGCCAACATCTCCACAGAAGCCCACAGAAGCTAAAAAAATGTAGGCGCATTTTCTGATCAAAGAAGCGGTCTCAGGGAGAGCGCACGGAGCGCAGGCGTAGTTTAGACGCACAGTACAGGAGCAGCGCCGGTGATTGTGTCCATGGAAGTTTAATAAAATCTTAATTTATCATTTGATCATCTGTGATCAGATGAGCAAAGATTGTTGCCAAAACTAAGGTAAGTGTCCCACTCAAAGCTGTCAATTGATAATGAAAATCCCAGACATTTTGGGATAATGTAGAAATTCCTTCCTGACTTTTTTGTTTGGGTCCCAGCAGGAGTACATGTCTGGGAAAAATAAGACGTCTGGTCAGCCTATGTTATCCCCTCAAAACAGACCTGGAGTTGTGTTTTGTTTCATTCACACATGTTTGAGTAACTCTTTTAATATTAGCCTGTCTTCATCTTTAAAGCTCGAAATCCTCTGTTCCACCATGTCATGTTGCGGTAGTTTTCAAGTTAGTCTTTTTACCTTTTGTTCAGTCGAAGTGGGTAATTTCAGGGCTGAAATCATCCAAATGATTCTTCTGTAAGTGGAACAGAGTGTTATTAATTTGAGAGAAGAACTCAGCCTAAATATGCAGGGTTTGTGTGTCACATATGTGTGAATGAAACAAAACACAACTCCAGGTATGTTTTTTGATTTGTTTATTGATTATACCATTAATATCTCAGTAATTTTTTATTGTTTTTATTTTAGATTTGGGCTTAGTAACAAATTTGAGGCAGAATTTCCCTCAGCACTCACAGGAAAGGTAAGCTTTTTTAATTGTGCTATAATTTCATTTGGGAAAGTGCAAGAAAGTGAGATATGAAGCACTTCATTCATTCTGTATGTTTAGGTGGCACCAGAAGAATTCAAAGCCAGTATCAACCGCGTGAACAGCTGCCTGAAGAAAACATTGCCTGTAAATGTGCGGTGGCTGCTGTGTGGCTGCCTGTGCTGTTGTTGCACATTAGGCTTCAGCTTGTGGCCAGTCATCTGCCTGAGTAAAAGGGTTGGTGTTTTGACATTATTTTCTCATTATAAATTTCAAAGTATTTTGGAACCTTTCAGCTAATGTCATCAACATTCCTTGGGGGTGTGATGCTAACTGTAAGCATTACTCTGTCTGAAGTTCTGGATGCTGATATTGATCACAGGCTCCTGAAAATGTGTTGTTTCCATTGATTTAGTATTTTTTCTTAAAACATCTTAAAACTTTGTGGGCTGTTTGCTAATGTTTGCACTGTGTCACTGTAACACCTAAATATTCTGCCACACACATAGAAGTAGAACACCCCCAGTGTAATGTCACTGCAATGTATTCAGTGTATGCAATGTATGTATGCAATGTATACAGTTTCATGTTTATATTGATTATGGATGTGATTTTTGTCCTTTAGACCAGAAGGTCTTTAGAAAAGCTCTTGGAGTGGGAGAACAACAGACTTTATCATAAGGTAAACTATTCATGATAGCCTTGAATGAATATTTGTGATCCATTTGTAATCAGTTTGTTGTTCTTTGTTTGCAGTTGTGTTTGCACTGGAGACTAAGCAAAAGGAAGTGTGAAACAAACAATATGATGGAATATGTAAGTTGAGTATCTGTTGTCCCATCACTTCTGTACATTTACTTAATAACTGAACTTCAACCATGACATTATTTATAAGCAAGATCTAAAGTATTACTTTTTGGTAATGAGGCAGGCTTAGAGATTTCTTCCTAATATTTCAGAATTAGTGATGTAAGCTGTTGTGATTTTATTTGAATCCATTAGAACTATTAGAGAAGTGTTGATGATGTTAGGGAATAAGAAATTGGTGGCTAAAAGAACAGAGACCATTTGTGTAAGTGTTAGCTGCATTTGTATGCTCTTTAGTGGCATTTTATCTTCAGTTTTCAGACATCCATGCATGTAGTTCACCTACTGTGGTTGGTATTAATGTCATAGTAATTGTGTAACAAAATTGTAATAATTGACACAAGATTATATTTTATCTCTTTTTCAGGTAATACTCATAGAGTTCTTGCCGAAAATTCCCATCTTCAGACCGGACTAATCTGACTCCAGATGAGCGCACACCTGCTCTGCTGCCCAGTTTATGAAGGCTGTCCTGTTCTGAAAACAGCTCTACCTTAACACTCCAACAGTTTGTTTACAGCGTTTTGATGAAACATTTTTGTTTTTCCCCCAAACCCCGTACATACCCCCATTGTTTTGGAGTGAACTTTAAAAGGAGCTCTGTGAACTTGCACAATGACAAGACACGTGAACAGCACCAGCCTGTGAAAGAACATCTAACAACCAGCTATGGGCAGCACTATTGATTTTTTTTACAGCCTTATTTGAACTGCAAACGCATAAGCTATGACTTCTGCAAACAACTGGATTTATTTTTAATTTGACAAAATTACACATTATGGAAATTACTGTAAGAATGTTACTCTTTTGTCCTAACATCTACAGTTCTTTGAAATGTACGCCACACAATGGTTTTGGTAAAGAAACTTGAAGAAAAAAAGAGCTGAGAAAAAATTTTACTGTAACTAGCTCTGCAGCAGAAGGACAGAGATTGCATTCTTCCTTTTTCACAACAGTGGAGTGACATCTTTTTTTTAAACCAGAAATGTTTTTATCCCCCTTCCTTATCTGTGCATATCTGCATCACCCCAAATGAATGACAATCAGTCCTGAGTGTGAGCTCAGGCCCTGGATCAACATGTAAACTGGACAGAAACCAACAGTGACAGATTCAAGTGATTTTTAAAGTTTTGTTGACTGTCTGAGGTGCAGTTATTAGTGATGGATTGATCACTGTGGAGTGTCTGACAAAGAGAAAAAAGAAGCAAAAAGCCAATCAGACATTAATCACACATTCATACTCTACTGCAGGGTTCTTTTCATTTCTATTGCATGTTTATTCATATGTCATATGCTGTGTGAACGGACATTCATTCCTCAAATAATTATTATTGGTTCCTATTGTGTGGTTATGTTCCACACTTAAGCACACTTTAGCTTTTTTCCACAATTTTTTATATGGCCTGCTTGAGTTTTCCACTATTGCTCTGTTTAAGCTAAAGTCCATAAAGCGAAGGTTGTTTTAGATTTCTTAAGATATATGAATCTGACTTGTAAATGATGCAGATAGTATGGCAAATAACAAATTAATATCTTAAACTTGAAAGATTAGAAACTAGATACTAAGTCACAACAAAACGATTATCAGAGGCTAAATATAATTAATCCCTTGGTTTAACTTTCCAAATAATTCTCAGGATGTAGAAACCTTTAAAAATGTAGCATTAAAATGTCACTGTCAGGTATGTTCAGAGGTCTGCATGGTAAACACCATTGGGAACATCACTTCATTATTAACATGTTATTTCTTAATTTGAGAGAGGTCAGTCAAAAGTACGCACATTGTCGCATTGACACTTCACTCATGCATGTTGTTTATTCATGTCAGAATGCAGAATGGTTTGATACCAGCATGGTTTTAGTCTAACCATGACTAAGACCAAATATAAGTGTTTGCATATATTTCTGTTGTTGAAATTCACAACTGAAATTAGTTCTTTTTTATATTTCTCCTAAATGTTTTGTTGTGTCAGATGAGTGAAAGATACTGTATGTCCATATATTCAAAATATCTCTTACACAGTACAGTAAACTACCAATAAATAAGGCAATGGGCATCCTGCTCTAAATACATGTTTCTTTTGTGACTCCAAGGCTGAAAATATGTAATTATTTATGGAGTAGACTGAGAAAAATTACGTATTGTTAGCAGAAGTAATGAAAGTGGTTATCTAGGTAAACAGATGTTTTACTGACAGTAACTCTTGACTCTAAATAAGTGGTCACGTTTTATTTCATTTCAAACAAATACTGTAACTAATCAGCTAAGAGCGGCAGAATGCATTTCTGTTGTGCTCTGTTGAACAGTAACTTAATAGTTTGATTGTAAACTGTATGGGTGTATGTTTTATATATATATATATATATATATATATATATATATATATATATATATATATATATATATATATATATATATTACAAGGGGATCCCGTGGAAACAAATACTTGTGGATCAGCTAAGGCAAACTACAAAGCCTTTATGCTTTTATGCCTTACTGTCTTATCAGAAGCATCAAATTATTGATCATCATTCAGTATTTTTTGTAGACCAAAAATATTCCATTACCAGGTGGCTGCAACATGCCAGATTACTCAAACAGGCATGAATGAAATAGGTAAATTTTTAATCAGTAACGTAAGGATGGTTATTGTCAGCCTTGCATATAAGTGTATTAATTATCTTAATTAATCTGGAATTGACAATTGCATTATGAAAAAATAACATATGACCAGAACCATAAGTCATATTATGTATTATTATTTTACATTTGGCACCCATCCTCTCAATCCCCATTTGGCATTGGCAGGTTCTCAAAGATGTTGTTCATGAAGCCTGTAAGACCACCCTGGCTGTTGATGATGGAGTCGAGGACCCCCAAGAGCTGAGAGCCCACCTCTGAGTTCATCATAGCAGTGAGGTCAGTGCTGTCTGTCAGCGTTTTCTCTGCGCAGAGCTCTAAGGGGAAAATATTTGCATCACATTAATGGTCCCATATATAGAATACACTACATATCATATTTATATCATGTGCATATACCGTTAATGTGCTTGTGTATTAATATAATACATAACACCTCCTAACTTGTTTTGTTTTGTTCTGTTCTGTTGAACGCAAACATAATTTCAATGGGCTTTCAGTCTGGCCCACACATGACTCACACAGTACACTGTGAACTGTTGAGGGTCTAGGGCCTAGTATATGAATGTGCATGTTTTTTCCCACTGCTGATACCTTTCTGTGGGTCCATGATAGCTGGTTCTTTCAGTGAGAGACATTCTGCCTGTCTCTTAAACTCATCCAGTTCAGCAGTACTCAGCGTTCGTCTTCTGCCTCAAAACACATTTCTAAATAAAGCGTTAAGATAAATATTTTTGCACCATGTAAAAGTAGCTCTTACTCAGTAATTGAAGGGTATCATAGTAAGATGTTCCTAATGAGAAATTGCCCTTTACAACCAGGCAGTCAGGACAGCTAGTTGTCAGCAAAACGTCAGTAGCTTTGGTAGGCTTAGCTGTAGCCAGACAAAGACACCATTAACAATATTATAGTTTTTAAAAAGTTTTGAGTCATTAACTGTTAAATACATACTTATTGTCATAGTGTTGTTCTCAAGACGTATTGTGGATGAAATAGTCAGGCAGGAACCCAAGCTGTCAACAGTAGATTTATAATTTAATAATTTAGAAAAACTGTGAATAAGTCACCATTTTGCTACGTACGTTCTTTGAGTTTGTTTAAACTCCAGACTTCTGTCATCAGGCAAAGGAATGACATTTACATATACACTCTCCACAAATGTCTTGGTCAGTTCAGTTATTCCTGGCATGGTAGTGGTCTCTGCTATATACATCCATTTCCCCAACAGCTGCAAGCACAATTTAGATAATGTAAACAGCTCAGAAAACACAGGACATAGTCTGACTTACCAGGTCTCTTTCTATATTGATCTGCTGTGTTAGACTTTCACAGTTGGTGGTAGGGGCTGTATGTCCAACATACAGAAGGCTGAGGATGGACACAGCAGTCAGTAGTAGCCTCATGGTGGATCACATCTGTTGAAAACAAGTAAGGACCACTGAGAACAAGTGAGGGCTCTTGTTTAGTTAGTGATGGTGCAATTGATTGGGCTAAAGTGCAGGTTTCAGTGAATATGCAAAAGCTCTGCTGTTTGCACATGTAGGCTACTTTGTGAATAGCAGACACACTTATATTATTTTGGGATTAATTAGCCACACTGTGGTATATTATGTATCACTTCTCCATGCAAGCAGATCCCCACCCCTTGATAGCACATACAGGTGGTCATAATGTCAATGTCATTATGTCTTGGGCAGTTTCAGTTGTTATTTTCAGTCGTTTAGTTTAGGTGGTATTTAATACAATGATACTTGCCCCACAGGTAGAGAGTGACTGTAATATAGAGGTTTGAGGACCACAGCAGTACACCTCCTCTTTACCTTAACCTCCTCCTCAACAAAAAGTTTTAACAGCACGCACAGGGCAGTGTGTACATGTATAATGGTTACTAAACAGCTGATAATATTGGATTTCTGTTGCCACTGACCATGAGGTTGTACAAACAGCTCAGAGAGCCAAAAGGGGAGCATTACAAGGACATAAACAACTCAACCCATTATATAATTCATCCATATATCATCTGGGTGATGCTTGCTTTTCCTACGTTTTTGCCACATAATCGTATTGATAGGACATTCGAATGCAATGGTGAAGCAGAATGAGTTTTTGAGCAAAACTTAGAAGATTTGACTTGAATTCAAGTTGTATGGTATATGCTACTCTTCCACTGAGCTGTGCATGCTGTTGATTTAAAGGTGCACTATGTAACAATTATTGTGGGGGGCTCTCCACCTGCTTGTCTCCATGGAAATGTTTTTGCTTTACCTGTAATGTTTTACAGTATGGTGTAAAACTTATATCTCCATGGAGACAAGGTGACGAAATTAAGGTCAGGTTACAAGTTGGAATGTACTCTGCTCACAATTTTTCAAGGTATTTTTGAGCAATGAAACACACTTATAATGGAATAAATGCTAATAGATAAGTATTAGTTATTTTAGAGGGTATGTAACACTTTAATATTTCATAAACATTACTCATTTGTGTCCCTAGATATTAAGTAAAAATGTTCAAATCAAATCTAGATTTTAATGGCAGCTATTGTAATGCTGATTTATTCTTAATTACAAAAATATTGAGCATAACAGCTAAAAGAGAAGAAAACACAATATTTAGTTTCCATACACATTAAAGGTACCATCTGTAAATGTACTTATTTTTTTTTTATTTATTTTTTTTAACCAGTGAGAAGGTAAATGTGAAACCTGTTCTTCCTCACCTGGACCCACCTGTGCTCGCTGGTCTTCTCTCAGGCTGAAGCTGGAACACTGTCAGACAGGAGTAACATGGATAACATCAGGTTTTACATGAGAATACCACAGGCAGAATTGGCCAAATGGTAACTTTAAAAACATTATTTGATGAAGATTGAATGATTTGACTCGGAACCAAAACACCAAGTAAATACTATATATATATATATATATATATATATATATATATATATATATATATATAGTAGAAAATATACCAGAATTTATTTGTGGGTTTATGACATTTATTAAATGACTACACAGTGTATTGTGGAAACCTGAGTACAAGCTGAACAGTTAGTTGATAAAAAGGTCAAAAATAGAATCCAGGACTTTTGCCACATAGTGTCCAGTTTTGGCCTCCAGATATTTATTGAGAGCTAGTAATCCTTCTATAGGAGATGGGTCCTCATGACACATTTCTGAAAACATACAAGGATTAGAAATGCAAAACATATTTTTTTCTCTTTGTAGACCAAGAGATCTTACCCTCATTTGGGTTGACCATTAAAAGTGAAGGCATCTTCAGACAATCAGCTTGTTTCTTTACCATCTCCACAGCAGCAGGGGACACTGTTGTACTTTTGCCTGACAAAATACAGTATTATTACTTACAATAATAACATTTTATCAACATTCTTTTAGAGATGTTTGCACATACTGAAAAGGAGCAGACTTTTAAAAGTGTCATCCCCAGATGTAACTGTTTCGTAGATGGCCAGACAATCAGAGCATTCATCAGTTGGAAGATACACCTCTTTTAAATAAAATGGATTTTCTGCAAGAAATACCCATCACTCAACAGACTCACATGTCCGTAGTAAGTGTGAAATAGTTCGATAGATTGGCACTTATTGTAAAAATCTGTTATACTCTTACCAATAGTAAGTATGTTTTCAAAAGTGACATTATACTTTAAGGTGGAGCAATGTCCATATCTGCAGAAAAAAGGTATTTCATCTTTTAAAATATGCTGTGATAGTGACCTGTCTCTATGCCACTTACGTTATGCACTTACGTTTTCTGAGTTTGGATGAGCTCAAGTATGTTGCTCTGAGATGTTGGTCGGGCCTCGATCCAGACGCTTGTCAACAGGTGGGCCAAGGACCTGCTTCCAGGGAGATCAGACGTCCCACCAATGTACAGCCACTTCGCAAGCATCTGGAACACACAACCGTGGAATATGACTTGATTGACATCTCTTTGCTCAAACAAATCAAACATGTTCAGGATTTAGAGGTTTACTTACTTCATCATGGCTGACAGGTATTGGTTTCAACAGAGTCTCACAGTTGTCCAATGGAACACAATGTCCCAGAGACAGAAGACTCAGAATAACAACTGCAATCCTCATTTTCAACACTGTCAACACGTTTTCACTCGTGTTTATCCTTTTATGCGGATCATTTTCTGTCATGTGATACCCACTGTCAACAATCAAGAAGACTTTGACATCCAGTATCAGTGAAGATTATGGAGAAGGTTGAGTAACAAAAAACATTGAGCCTAACTAGCCAGCACATGCTTAAATCTGCCCTCCATTGTGTAAAAACATGAATATCCACTGTGTATGACTCTCCACAGACCTGTCTCCATATATTATTGCTTTATCTCCATATCTACAGTGGAGTTATACAGGTTGCACAATGCAGCTTAAAAGATAATTAAGACAAAAATGCTCATTACAATAGAATACACATGAGCCTACAAACAGAGCTTGCATATGACAAAACTTAAAATGTTTAATATTTAAATCATTATCAGAGGTTGGACCAAGTCATTGTGTTGTTTTCTCAAGTAAGTCTCAAATCTTTGACCTCAAGTCCAAGTCAAGTCCAAGTCGTCTGCTTTGAGCTTCAAGTCATTTCAAGTCTTTAAACCAAAAAGGTATCGAAATAACTATTTTTTTTTTTTTTGCAATTTATAAGCCTTTTAAACAAAATTGTACTTAAATAGTCATGGTATAATTATATATATGTGTATTTATATGAGTTGTAGAAATGCAATTTTTTCCTTTTTAAATGTCTTGACAAGAGGGTGAATTATTACAGTCAGAATTGAAAAAAATTAAGATTTAGAAAAAATTTGAGATGGGAGGGACATGTTCCAGTTTGTTTCTGTAAAATTCAGCGCGGCATTTATCATCTGTATCAAGTCTTCTCTAGTCACAGGCCTCAAGTCAGAGTCAAGTCTCAAGTCTATGACCTTCAAATTCAAGTCAAGTCCCAAGTCTTTATTTTATCAAGTCAAGTCTCAAGTCCAAAAAATAGTAACTCAAATTGATTCGAGTCCAAATCATGACTTACAACTCCCTGCCTCTGGTATGGTTAATAGTAATGTGTCGTGTTTGAGAATATGCACATTTTAACTGTGAGTAGATGTCAGTTCTCCATTTTTAGCTGCGAGAAATTGCTACTCCCAAAGACAAAAAGTATTTTAATCTTATAGGTCTGACACAATGATTTTGAACAATACATTGCTACAGCGAAATATTGCATAAATACTGCGTTTAAAATATTTAAACTACTTTATGCTACTTACACAAAGCAGGAATCCTATTTTTAAATAGACAGTATCATTAAAACGGGTTGCAACAAATCACAGAATGAACCATTAGCCATAGAAATTATTCTACTCTTTACAACTCAAATCTCATCATCCTACAGAAGAATGGCTAAAATCTCTTCACTGTTACTGTTAAGAAATTGTACACGACAAACACTGAGACTCATTCATATATTGAACAGCATGTCAATATAGCAATTATCGTGACAGGCCTGCATTCATAACACACTTATATTATGTGTGTGTGATAGCTGGTTGTAAAAAACACCCCCCAAAAACGTTCTTATCAAAAGTGTTTTTATTGACTTGACAGCGGTCTAGCATAGTATTTTACAGGACAAGAACAGAAAGACAAAAAAACAGAAAGGGCGCCATTTGTACAATATTGTAAATTTCTGAGCCCTAGATCTTTGAGAGGGGCAGACTGTGACTGATCAATAAACATGAAGGGAGCATTTACTGCCTCCTATAATAAAGACAAATGACAACAAAATGGAGTCAAATTGAGATTAATGTTAGGGGCTGAAAATATGCATTAATAATTTCTGACTTCTTGGTTTTGTTGGCCAGTGCTTCAAATTACCATTTTCCTCATTTAGGTCTGGGAATAACACAAGGAAAATAAAACAAAACAAAAAAACTGATGATTGAGTGATTTATTCCATTGCCTCCTGGTTTTCTTGATCTGCACCCATGTCCTCGCTGGCCTCCTTGCCCTCTTTGTTCCTCTTACTCTTTTTGTGCTTGTGTCTTCTGTGGCCTTCGCCTTCTTCACTGTCATGCCTCCGTCTACTACTGCTGCTAAAAATGTGTGAAAAAAACAGACAGAAAAGGAGGACAAAAAGAAAAAAAGAGAACCAGAGAAACATGTTAACACAAATCAATAAATAAGATGAACAAATTGAAAAAGAGAAGGAGAATAGATGGGCAAAGCAGCAAAATAAAAGCATAATGTCAGAAGTCAAGTCATGAAAAAAATACATAGAATCAATTTATGTCAGTATATCATTAAGTATATGAAGTACTCCATATACTTAAGTAAACATACAGGGGCAAAATGTTACTCCAGTAAAAGAAAAAAAAAAATAAAATATATATATATATATATATATATATATATATATATATATATATATATATATATATATATATGAGTAAAAATGGACAGGAAGAGTAAAAAGTATTTTTCAGAGTTTTGTTTGCACAGTTTTAGGATGAAATGTAGTGATTTTGATAAAGAATTTAGCTGATTTCAACTGATTTCTTAATTTTTAAAGTAATTTCTGTGTTTTTGTGTATTTGGTTTGCTCAAAGTTGGTCTCAAACCTTTTTACTTTTTAATCCTGATCTAAAATGTAGCGGAGCAGAAAGTACAGATGCACGTTGTCAAATGTAGTGAAGTGAAAGTAAAAAGTATCCACTTAATTTACTTAAAGTACAAATACATAAAATTTGTACTAGAATTGTATTTTTACTTTTGTACTTTGTTACCTTCCATATAATAAGTTTGTGAGGTACCTGCGTGAGGACTTGTGGCGCCCCTCTTCTTTCTCTCGGTGTCGTCTCTCTCTGTGCCTTTCCTCCTTCTCTCGACTCGCCCGCTCACGGTGACGCTCATAACCACGCTCTTGGTACTCACGGTAACGATATCGCTCTTCATCGCTATATTGGGTTGAATAACATGTATTAATGTGGCATTCGGGGGAATCTTCCAACAATAATATTCAGACAGCATAATGACCTTAGACCTGTGTTAAAAATGCCTGTCATGATTGAGGTTCATGTTCTGTACAAAAAGTGAATTGACTAAGCACTCCAGATACATTCCTTTGGAAGGTTACACTGAAAGGTTTGTTTATTTTCAATCTTCTCTTTTTTTGAAGGCATCTGACAGATTTTAAATTTTCATTTAATTTGGTGGGATTATAACTATTGTAAATATAAATGACAGTTTTACACCAATCAAGAAGCAATTTGTGAAGGAAAGTTGAAAAAAAAATGACAGGAAATAGAGCGTTCTAAAACATATTGATGACATTACACTGAAGACAATTCCATAAATTTTTTATAGGCTTTAAGAAAAATTACAGCCAATAAACGATAATCTGACTTTGCATATCTCCAAAACAACATTGGTGTCATTTTCCATTTTCGATACATTTCCCACCTGTAAATGGCCTATTGCATTTTCAGTTGCTGACACAGCAGAATCTAACCTGGTGTAGCTCATCCCTGAGGGGCTGTGTTCCCTCTCTCTCTCTCGCTCATGGGCTCTCTCCCTGGGTCTGTCTCTGTCTTTGTCTCTTTTTTCATCACGACGAGGATAGTAGTCCCAAGGTTTAGAATTGTCCATCATTGGCGGCCATGGAGGGGGCACACCTCCAGCCATAGGAGGAGGGTAAGCACCTAGCAATAAGACAGTGCAAATATATTAAGTTTAGCTTTATCAAGAGAGCAACAGAAATAAAATACCAACCTTGTGGGAAAGGATAGGGAGGGACAGAGCGGCCATCGTAACCTCCGGCATGCGCACTGTAGACAGAGAACAGAACTACTTATTTCAAAGAGATTGGGTTTGTGTCCAACATTTAGTTTCTAAAATTAGCTAAATGCTCAACAAAGTGCTTTTAGGAATTCCAGGTCTGAATTCAGCAACACAATTTGCTATGGCCTACAATGTTATATGCCATGTTGAAAGGATTATTATCACATTTAAGTTATAAGTCAAAATACCTGTCTAAAGTAGGTATAATTGAAGGGGGTGGCCCAGTCGGTGGGGGAGGAAAGCCAGGCGGAGGAACTGTGATAGGCATTCCTAAAAAAACAAACAAAAAAACAAACAGAATTCACCCAATTATAAACTGATCCTGTAAAATATTACCAAATGAGCCAGACGTTGGGGTGAAAGACTTACTGGGAGGGGGAATGAGAGGTGGCGCTGTGCTGACGTTCGGGGGCGGGGGGAGAAATGGAGGTGGGGGAATGTTTGGAGGAAGAGGTCCCGGAGGGAAGAATGTTGGCAGTTTCGCTGGTGTGGGCTCCGCTTCTGATGTCGAATGCTCAGAGAGCACCTACAGATGTGAGGAGAGAAAATTAAGTTTTCAGATGATTTGTGTATCTGTATGAATCACCTTATTTATGATCTTATTCTTACCTGTATATTGTTGCCATCTAGATTGTGTCTGCGCCTTCCCTCTACTCTGCTTATCGTAGCTGTCTGACCACCGATCACATCAATTGTCCCACTTGATTTTCTAGTAATAAGTAGATACAATAACATTAACATTACTGGAGCATGTATGGAGCTTACAGTGTATTCAGCTCATTGAAAAAAACATTAATAAATCTTCCCCACACATATGTCCCCCAAAAACAATGCAACTGTGGTAAGAACCCCATGACATTCTGCAGTTGTATTTCAAATTTTCAGTTTAGTTTTGTTTGGTTTATTTTTAACTTTATCCACTTTCCCTTACTGGTGTGCCTCAGTGACATTAAAAACAAAAACACCATTCATCTAGAGCCAGACCTCTGATATTATCACATCCCACTTTAAATGTACAAGGCCATGCTCACTTACGTAAAATAGGAAATGTCTTGAGCCGGCTTGCAAGTCCACTGAGTGGGAGAGATCCTACTATTTTGAAGCAAAGGGACAACGACATAACACTGAACCTAATGCAAATCCACAATCTGCTCACAACACAACAATATCTGCAGTTTCATTAATTTACTACTGAAACAGAGGGTAGACCTTAGAAAATGACCACTTATATATGCAGAACTTAATGCAGGGGTTTAACACATTTTACTACTATGGCATTTAAAACATGTAAAATACTACATACTAGTGTATGTGGGGTGTTTGAGGAAACACAAACAGGATTTATATTTTATTCAAGCTATTTCTGAGTAATTCTGAGATTTACTGAAAATGGAGGCAGTGACTTTGTAAGGTTTGTAATCAGAAAAGAATATGTATTTACCTGGTGATCTGGCTGCCAGAGGACTTGTACATACTAACTGGTGCAGTGAAGTCTGCCTTGGACGTGTGAACTGGCAAACTGGACACATCTTTATCATTACCAGTTCGGCCTTGCTGTACCTATAAAGTAGATACAATCATCCAAATTAATTTTTTCACAAAAAGAAATACAACTTTAAAAATATATTTAGTAAAAGTGAGAAAGCGATTACTTACAGTAATTTTACTTGTCACTGAGCTGACTGTGGATACCTCAAGCCCCATGCGAAGTCTCTTCTGTTTCTCACAATAAGCCTTCCATGTGTCTTCATTGAAGCCGTAGTTAAAGTAGTCTGATAGATCCGCCCCTACAGACAAATATCTGTTAGATTATAATTTATTATTAATGTAAATCAATAATAATCTAGATATGCACCTGGCTTTCTCCAAGGTTTCTCTTCAAATGACTCCACGTCCACCTCCAAAACTGGAACACCGTTAACATTCCCGGGGGCATCCAAGTCAACTCCTTTTAGCTTTGCTGAAACTGCATAGATCCATTATAAAATATTTGATATATGATACGTCAAAAACATGACCATGAAAGTGACTTTCATTTACCTTGTCCATATGGCCTGGAGCTAGTGGATTTTATGTTGAGATTGACAGGTGGAGCTCCATATGATCTACAGTACATTAACGTATATTACAGAAACATCTTAACATTAAATTAAAAACATGCATGCAAAATACATACGTGTATGGTGCTCCAGTTTTAATGTCTCCAATGGTGACACGGACATCGTCATCATCATCATCACTGTCGCTGTCACTATCCTCATCCTCACCTGCAGCTTCTCCACTGGGCTAAAAATACAAAACAATATAAAGTTACATCAACAATGGTATCATCGTTCCTAAGAGAAACATTTCTTGGGCAACAAGAGACACTTTTGTGAAGAGCTTTTACCTCAGAAACCACCCCGTTGCCTGTTGCATGTTCTGCAACGTCATCTGTTGAAGCATCAGCAGGAGCAGCACTATGGAAAAATGTAACATTAGACTACGAATTTCACTATTTTGCAACAACAACAACAAATTTTCCTACTGTTAACATTTTGATTATGCTTCTAGTTTTATTTCCAGGCGGAACAGCAATAAGAAATGATAATTCCAAAACTCATACTTGGCATCCCGACTGTACATAAGGGCTTGCGTATACATAGTAATTATATATACCACCTTTATTTTGTTAGATATTTTTTAAACTGCCAAAAAATGTGTTGTTTGGGCATACATTACACCTGACTTGAATGGTATGAATGGAAACCGCATAGTCATTACAAAGTCCATGGGAATCCCTCTGACTATGCCACCAATATATTTTACAACTCGGCACTATCCTATCTGGATTTCTCAACTTTTCATCTCGAACTGCCACTCAATAGGTGCAAAACTATGAATTCTCACCAAAGTAAGTATTAGGAAAACCTAAAACGCATACATTTTAAAGATCAGCAGATTGTTTGTTTGTTTAGGGCCAAACAAATAAACAGGACAGGTTGAAGAATGTACCTGACGGCAGCGTTTAGTTTGGCCTCTTCATCCTCATCTTTGCTCTCGGACTCATCTGGAAGACAACAAACAAACTCGTATAGAAAACATGACAGAGAAAAGCCACCAGGGGCTTTTGCTACAGGCCGTGAACAGCGCAGCAAACAGGCGGCAGTTAGCACCACACACAATCTCCGCTTAGCACGTTAGCTACGAAGACAGCTATATACAGGCAGAGAGCCATGGGCCAAAGCAACCGCAGATTATAATTTACAAATTTTTTTCCACTAATATTGCACGCGTAAAAATGTGTATCGTTTATCAATTAAGCAGCGTTTGGACGCATTATTGATCTTGTTACCTCCATACAGCCATTCCTCCTCCTCATCTCCAGCGCTGGCGTCCGTGGTGCCTGTTTTGTCCGCTTCCTCCGCAGACATTTCGGCTAACTAAGACTTCGCGTTTAAATAAGATCGTTAGTCAAAACATCCACAAAAGCTCTGCTGTAGTTTAGGGCACGGATTTATAAATTATTATTCAATTTCATGTGCAAACGGCAAACCGTTGCTAGTTAGCGCTGAACCCGGATGAGATCGACTCTTTGAGTGGTATTGTTGATGTGGGCGACACCGCCATCTAGTGAATATACTAGGTACAACATTTCTATGCAAATAGAGAGTAGAGCTGTAGAGCCATGGAAGTGTAATAAGAGCCATGTGCAGGGCCCTATGCATCAGTGCATGGCATAATTATATTTGACAGTCATATAAATAATAATTAAATTTTATATTTTTGCGATGGGTTTGCTTACACTTTTTAGATTAAAAACAAAAACATCTTATAGGCATAGGCTTACATGTCATATTAATATTATGTATAATGTAACACACACTAACTGGAGAAATCAATTAGGTTAGGAGGTTAGGTCTTATTTACATTTAGCACCTTTAAAAGGCATTTCTAAAAATGGAAAGGCATAAAAATAAAATGGTCCTAAGATCATGTTTACTATATTTGTGCAGATAAGGAGATTCATCAATTGCTAATAAAACATTGCAGCAGTAGCCACACCACCACCACTCAACTGACTCTCAATAAAGATTGCTGCTGTGGCTTTTGTTGCATGTAAAGTTTGCCGTCAACTCAGAAGAGACCAGTTAATGCATTATGGTTTCTGACCAGTTAAGTGGTCCACTTTGGGCTTGTCAGTAAACAACATGGAAATCTGTGGATTCTCTCGCTCTCTCTTCCTGCAGCGACTGACACTTCCTCTGAGCTGTTATTATCTTGCAAAAGATGAAAAGCAATCACAAACTAAAGCTTGAAAATAATCAACATGTAGGCTACAAGCACACATGATACAGATGCCCACTTAACCACATCCATGCCATACTATACTGTATTATGAAAGATAACTGAATTGATTTTTTCCTAACACAAGATAACTGCCGGCCTAATTTCACAAGTATGTCTTCTATCACATCACATGTGCCTGTTCAGTGTGTTCACAGAGCACTCACACTGAGCAGGCTGCAGCGCTCTTCTAACTGATAATTGAAATTACATTTTTGCCTCTCCCAGTCCATCTATCTTTCACTCTCAATCTTTCACCTCATCTGTCCTTCTTAACACATTTGCTGCTCATTTGGTACATGTGATGTTTTTTTTCCTAGTGTAAAATGTAATGGCTGATAATTATCGCTTCATCTGAAAACAATTTGTCTGGATAACTAATTTGTGGTAAACCATTTTAAATGTTTTTCCCTGAATCTTTTTTTTAAAAATTTATTTACAGATAGAGTGGCTGTAGCAAACATCGTTACATTTTCCAAACGTGTCATTGCACAAGACACTTGACCCATGTTGACTGTTGTGTTTAGCTCTGCTACTAAAGGGTTAGTCTCTTACTGGGTCATCACAAACATCATTGTTTTTTGCACAGATTTGCATGTAGATTTATGAAGCTAGTGGCAGCACCTGCAAATCTCCACCGAGATAGATTCATTTAATGCCATACTGTGGAACATTTCGTGCAATACCATAACATGAAGACCAGGAGGTTTTAGACCCTCAATCAGTAAAGTTACATGGTACACCTTTAAGGCTTGATTAACTTTATTGTTCCTATTGAAAATGTGCCAGTGTCATTCAAGGCTGTAAAACACATCCACTTGCATTCTTCCTAAATTAACCAGATTCCTTCATTTCCAAAAGACGTTATTACAAAATCTCCAAATTAAAACACCAATCAATGCTTTCCCTGAACTGAAGGTGAATGAGTGTTTGCAGGTCAGATGCTTGTACACTGTTCTGGATTCCTTCCCTCTGGCTCTGTTGCTCTTTTTATTGCATCCCCACATGGCTTCCTTTATCTCATCTCACTACATTTCTTCAGTATCCTATTTTCTCTCACCCTCTGCCTTTCTTCTTATGGTGGATTAAGGCGGCTCAGGGCCTAGTCGATGCTAATCAGCTTTATCTTGACAGAGGGCGATCATTGAGCTATCAGTAATTACACACGCTCATGTTAGCTTACACACATCTGCGTCCTGGCACATTCTCAATACTACATCATCTCTCTGAATCTAACATGTGCCTCTTTCAATGCGCCTCACTGTAGATAACAGATTGACAATTTCATCTGCTTTGTTTGGTATGACAATAATGCATCTGTTGTGGAAATAGACATACAGTTTCCCTTGTGTTCATTTCTATTATTAGCATATATATGTCTAATCTGATTTGCACACACCAGTTATTTTAATGAGAAACACCACAACTGAACCATTGAGAGACACTTAATGGCCTTAGAACACATTGTTAAAGCCGTCAGACAAATGGAAGGCAGATTACAGGTTCATTTTGCCCCGTCAGCAGCAACTGAAGTGTAGGATTGCACTAGAGAAAAATATTATATTGAAGTTTTTGCCTATTGTTCCTCGCTAATATGTTTTTGTATGTGTTTTTCTGTCTCATATATCTTCATGGCCGGTTGCCAAGTACAAAGGTGTGCGTAACTGCCCCAATGCCCCGATGGGTGTGAAGAAGATCCATTTGGACATGATTCAGTTAAAGGCTGTGAGCTTCACTGTAAAACCTGATGTGGTCTTACTGTGAGAGAGGTATGTTACTGAAACGTATGCTGTTCTGATAAAAAAAAAAAAATAGCACGATTTATAGATGCATTGTGCAACTTTTCTGGTGCAGGGTCTGCTACCTGCTTGTCCCCATGAAGATGTTATTGCATTACCTGGAATGTCCCATGGTATGACATTAAACATATCCATCTAGAATTTATTCATTACAGGTATTTCTATTGCTTAAAAATACAATAATTCCTTCTGTGAATAGGGGCGACTCTCCACAGATCTGAACTGTAACGTAGTGCTGTAGATTGTCTCCCTTGTGATAAATAGGTTTAATCTTAAAACCCATTTTTTATTCTCTAGTTTTAAACACCGCATGAGTTGTGTGGTCCTCTGTGTCTTTTATTTATTTTATTTATTTTTAATGTATTTTATTGGTTTTATTTATTTATTGCTACTCTGTGATTTTGCTCTTATTTTATTTGACTGGTTTCATTAATTTAAGACTAGTATGATTAAATCTGAGCGTTTATTTTATCATTATATTATTAGTGCAGCACTTTGGAAACTGTTTGTGAAATGTGCTATATAAATAAAATGGATTGGATTGGATATATTGTGGACCAAACAATAACATTTCCATGGAGACATCAGGTGGCGAACCGTTCACTAGAAATGTTGCATGGTGCACCATTAGTATTGTTTTAATTCAATGTGAAGTAGTGTTAACCTAAATATAAACAACAAAAATAAGTAAACAATAACTATAAACTATAACTAACAATTGACAAACTAACTAACTAACTAAATAAATAAATAAAATAAGGGGCAAATGCCAGACTAAATAAAACAAAAATATGAGTTCACGATTAGAGACAATTTCTTTCACTTTACTTTTGTGGTTTTACAGTGTGGAAGCAGAAAAGAGAAGAAGGTGAAAAGGGGAAGGTGATGGAGAGAGAGAAAGAGGCCCAGCCAATGCTGAGGGAGGAAGACATGTCTTTGTATTACTGAATCGAATCTTAGTGGCTATTTTTCTTGTGTAAAACGTGCCTTGCCCTCCACCAGACCTCCGCTGTCCTCATTTATCTAAAAGCTCGGAGTGAGTCACGCTGCGGCGGGTCCATACACACACAGCGTCACAGTGACTCAGCCCAGTTATCTGCCATAGGCTCACCTCAGCACCATGAATAATGGAGCAGGGATGGCATATGAAGGGATCGAATATCATGCAAAGAGGCGGGACACATTTGAAGTTCAGTAAAAACACAGACTTGAACACAGCTGGTGGGCAGACAGGTGCATTGTTCTGTTACACACTGAGACACACTTGCTTTTGTATAGGGACACTTATTTTGAAGGCTGGACTGCAGGTGGTTAGTGAGAAGTTTTGTTTTTCCTGATAGATTCAATCAGGGAATCAGTGAATACAGTTACAGGACAGTTCAGGATCATAGAGCAAATAAGGCCTCAGAATCAATCAAAAAGGTGTGGCAACTTCTGCTGAGACACCTGTCGGGCCAGTATAATTAAAGTATATTAAAGTATACGTATATTTAAAGTAAAACTGACTCTTGTGAGCTTTAAGACATGTATGTATAATGTTGTTACATCTCAAAACATACCTGGAGTTGTGTTTTGTTTCATTCACACGTGTTTGAGTAATCCTGCATATTAGTCTGTCTACATCTCCAAAGCTCAAAATGCTCTGTTCCAATTCTCATGTTTGTGATGAGGAAACAACATTATAACATGGCCCCTTCAAGGTCTATTGTCTTTTTTCTGATTTGATGATTTTTCTGATTTTATTTTCATATGATTCTTTTATTATCAAATAGAAGTAGACCCAAAGAGACCCATGTAAAAGATTAGACAGAAATTCATAATCCACAAGGAACATTTGATTTGAATATCACTGTGCTTACTCAACAGATCAGGCTCTTTCGTAACACTTTTCCAGTCCATTATGTTAGAAAAACATTAGCAAAAGAGCAAGAAAATCAATTCATCCTTTGGTGTTGTGCTTGTGCAGCCTCACTCCATCATCATGTGCTAGAGGAGGCACAAACAGCCACAGGGCCAGAGCTGATACAGATCATGTGTGTAAAACAGCACAACACTGTTACTGTGCTTCCACATACCTCTTTGGAACAACAGGAAATAAAGATAACTCCAAACACTGATATGTTGAGGAATTATATTTTTTATCCATGTTATTATTATTATTCATGACATAGTTAGGCTACCAGCAATGCATAACTTTAAGTACTAGATTAGGAAATATCGTCTTCCACTTAATATCTTCGTTACTATTTTAAAAACAGATGCAGGCCTATGCATTTCTTGCATTTTATAAGAACATTTCTTGCCCTTTTTAAGCCTATATGTTATTTATTAAAATTTGCCTAGGCTGTACAAATAGAAACATGTACATGATTTTATAGCTACAACGCATAGTTTTTGATTAACTGTGTTCATAATCTGCAAAGTCTGCATTTGGGATAGGCCTTCATGATAGGCCTTTCTGATGAGGGTTCATGAATCAAAGGAACAAGCACGTTCGACCAGTAGGGAAAAGTAACAGCTACGGTGAAAAGGTGCACCACAAACTGAATGAGTCAATGTAAGAAAATACAGAGCCCTCCATCACAGTAGGCTGCTCTGACAGTGTGAGGTAATACTGCTGTATCACTGGAGCATCCTCCTCTACGCGCTATATGAGCATAATTTAGGTCAGTCCTTCAGAGCGCATGCTTTTACTTTTACGCATCTGCGAAAGTGTCAGTTTTTCAGTATATTTTGGGTTTCTCCTTTTGGCGAGAAAATAAAGTTAATAGACGTTTTTTTTTTTACTGTAATAGCAACCGACTCATCATCCCCTTTGGCTTGAGTCCAACCAATGCGGGACAGAGAAGGAAGCGAAGGAAAGGCAACAAGCCAAGAAGAGCGAGAGAGGCGCTGTGGCTTTAAGTAACAGTGCAGTCGGCCGGAGGGGGGGTGAAGCATCCAGGATCGTTTTGTTTGCGCGCTGGTACCCTCTCACAGAGAGACCTGCTCCTGCTGACAGTGGACAGGGAGCACTATGGTCTTTTGCTTTTTTGATGGAGCAGACTAAAACGCCTAATCATGAGGTGCTTTTTACTGGGCCTACTTTTTGTCCTTGTTTTTCTCCAACAGACAGGTGAGTTAAATTTCTTGGAACTTGCTTGTAGTAACTTTTGAAATATATTGAGACTGTCACGTATTTTGAGTCTCTAATTTGTGGGTTTCGCAATAATATCCTAAAAGGCGGGTGAACCTTTTAATTAGACTATTTCGCGCTCGTGATCCAACGTAAAAAAACAGCATTGCAAAAAAACAAAACAATGGCGCTGTCTTGGCGCACGTTTTATTGTAATATAAGGATATGTGGAAATGTGACTTAAAAATGACAAGTTCCGGCACGTTCAACGTATTCTGCATTCTGCAAGAGTCCGTGCACAAATATTATAAGAACCGTATTTGCATAATTGCTTCAGGTACCTGGGAGCGGGACTGCCCCATCCCGGAAAGCAACAGGTGTGTGTGCGTGTGTCTATGGGAAAGAGAGTTAATTATTTATTTGACCGAAATTAGAGTCTTCTGTTTCTTTACACACTAACACAAGCAGCAAGAACAAAGCAGGAGGGAAAAGTGGGCACACAACACCACTATCTTCAAAACACACCCAAGTAGAGGCTACTCCCAGTGCTGTCAGGACACCTTTGTATTTATCATCTTTGTTTTTTTTTAACTATTTATTTTACAAACCCGGCTGCCCACGCTCTGGGGCCACATTCTTACAGATGGTTGCAGAAACACAGATAATAATATTTTAAAAAGGGGGTGTCTGTTTGTACTCACAGCCTTAAGGCATAACAGTCACATGAAAACCCTTCTCTTCAAATGCTGCTTATCATGTGGACATCAGCATTAGGCTATAGAAAGTGAAGAAGGGGGCTGAGGTTAAATAAACAAAAAATAAAAAAATAACGGTGTTCCTTTACACATTGGAGTGGATTTGGAAACTTAATGCATGATTACTCAGCGGGTAGACTGCTCATAATTATTGATTGTTCAATTGAGCCATGGTGGTTTTTATAGTGCTGCGTCTTAAGGACTCATAGCATACTTAACGTAACTACAACATTAGACACTAAGGCAGCATGCTCTATCAGCTTGTGGCTTCTGTTTTGAGGAATTGAACTTGGCTCTCATATGCTTCCCAAACCTGGTCATTAATGTTAATATCTTGTCTATTTTTTAGTTTGGTGTGAGCCAGTCATCACCCCCGGCGGACCTCATGTGGTTGTTCCCAAGGGGGGCAAACTGGAGCTTCGTTGCCATGAAAACGCCACAGTGTCTGGCGCCCCACCAACTAGGCTGCGCTGGCAGAGGGAGAGGGCGCGTCGGTTTGAGGGAGACATGGAGGAAGGTGCAGTGGTCTATGTGAAGGTGTCCTCTGCCCAAGCCGTTCACATGGGCCGCTATGTCTGTCTGAACAACAACACCCTGGAACACAGCTCTATCTATGTCTATGTCAAAGGTGCGCAGATAAGCAATCAATCCATCAATCAAAGTTTATTTTTAGAAGTCTTAACAACACTTAATGTGAGCAAAGTGCTTCACATTAAAATCACAAGATAAGATATGCTTACTTTGTAGAATATGGTTATTTTATTTATTTTAGAGTTTTAGACTAGACTAACACTAGATCTTTTCTGTAATAATTGTTTTTTTCATCAGACGTATTACCAAACAATAGCATGACATTACATTACAATTTAATACATACATACATTTTGTTCTGACTGTGGTGGCACAAATACTTTCTACATTAATAATCTTTTTTCATTGGATTTGTGGAGTTTGAATGCCACTTTTTGCTCTTTTTGAACAGTGTAGGTACTTGTGAACGACAATATAAGGAGCCACAAAGTGAGATTTTGTTTTGCCAGTGTTTTGTCCATGTTCTTTTAAGACTATGGGGGAGAATTTTAGACTATAGGGGGCCACCATAGTCTGTTCTATTAATGGGGAAACTCTGCATACATAATACAGAGTCACATGTTTCTAGGCCAGATAATTGTACAGCTATTAACCACAAATCACGAAAGTTATATATTTTGACACTAATGCAGCAATATAAGCCGGATCCTGTCTATATGACATAAATGTGATAATACATCAGTTTTATGTAGCTCTTTTCTTGGTAACTCAATGCTTTCACAATAATGTAAGACAAAGTCAAGGACAGGACAGACAAAACAAGCACAGAGGGAGCATTGAGCTGTTTTTTAAGAGTTAGTGGATTTGAGTTTTTGATGTGGAGGGGTAGACAAAAAAATTCTACATGTGGTTTTAGTTGACCTTTTTTGTTCACTCCACACAGATCCTAAAAATATCTTCCAGCGCACCATGGTAAATGTCATACTGGTGCGAGCCGGTGAAAACTGCACCATCCCATGTCTTGTGACTGACCCCAATGTTACCCACTTGGCCTTGGAGACTTGTGATGGTCGACCTTTGCCCTCGGGTCTGAGTTACCGGAGCACCCTTCTGCGAGGCATTATCATCAACAATACACAAAAGGAGTTTGAAGGCTGTTACATCTGTGTGGGGAGGTTGGCTGGACAAAGAGTGGTTTCCATGTCATATAAAGTGGAGGTGCGCTCTGGTAAGTTTGTTACAGTAAAGCTACACTGGAAGCTGAGGCATGATAGACTCAACATACATCACAGTCCTTTAAAATGTACCGTTTATATGATAATGAAGTAGTAAACTAAGGTGTGGCACTAAGGGGGAAAAAAAAATCCTCTCTGTGACCACTGTTTTTGCAAACAGATAAGAGACTGCTGATGGCTATATTGTTTTTGACTTGAGCAAATAATTCACAAGAAATATAAATTGTTTGAGAAGGAAAACAGAGTTTACAGAGTCATACCCTGAACAAAGCTCTCAAGCGGAGCATCAACCACTGTGTGTGGAGTAAATAGAATTAGTGTGGTCATTGCCAAACAGACACACTGAAGTGACGTCTGTAGGCATTATAGTGAAGTAATCATTTAGCACAACAGTCAGAAGGCAATTGTTACTGCTAAGAGGATAGAGATGTTTGCAGTAGTTGTATTTTAGTTATTGTTTCAACTCCATCAAGTATATTACACTTTAGACCAGGAAATTTATGCTAGTGCAGCAGCTGTTTCTTTCACCCACAGTTTGTGCACTACAGTTAAGTTGAATATTTTTGTTTTTTTTTGGTCCAGTGCCAGAAATGCCTCCAGTGATCTTACTCTCCCATAAGGACAATGTTATTTTGAAAAAAGGGGAGCAGTTTCAAGTTACCTGCAGCTCCAACAATGTCGACCCAGACTTTAGTGTCAAATGGCACTTTCCCCCAACTGCGGTAATTACAGTTTGGAATATTATTTGTTTTGTCATGTCACTCAATAACAGTTAACAATACAGTTTCTCACTTTTGTCCACAATGTCACGCAGGATCCAGTTGAATCCCATGGGTCCAACATCCTTTTAGGCTCCCATGGTTACCAGAGGTCCACCTCACTTGTGATCACATCTGTGGACCAGTCAGACTCTGGCATCTATCGCTGCAATGCTCATAATAAGAGAGGCAACAGTTCTAGGACCATGCACTTGGATATTCGCGGTAAGACCAAAGGAAATAAAGTTAAAGGGCACATATGTTTAGTAGGTACAGTTCTGATGCAGCTGTTTCTTGCTGTACAGATAAAGGATTCATCAGCATGTTGGGAAATGCTAGTCCAGTTCAGGCTGTGATTAAAGAAGGGGAGAGCTTGAGTCTTAAAGTGCAGTTTGAGGCTTATCCTGCCCCCAGATCCCTTTTCTGGTCTTTCAATGGCAAACACCTTCTCAATACAACAGAGCACTTCATCACTGTGCACAAGAAGAAGTACAGGTGTGGTCACTGAGAAGTCAAACACAGTCTGCAGTGAGAGAATTAACAACAGTTAACAGATGTGCTGTGTTTCAGATATGAGAGCGAGCTCAGGCTGGTGAGGGTTCTGGGCTCAGAGGGAGGCATTTATCTGTTTTCTGTCAGCAATGAAGAAGCAAATGTCACTCATGCATTTCATGTCTACGTCAACAGTAAGTTAGCACATTTTACTACCAAGTAAACATGATATTTATCTCATGTTTTAATCTTTGTTTTAGGCAAGCCCATGATTATTGCTCAGGAAGGACCTGTGGATGGACAAGTGCGATGCATTGCTGCTGGATTTCCAGTCCCAAAGATTAGCTGGTACTTCTGTGAGGTGCCTCACACCAGGTTTGTACAAGCACAAGTGTGCTTTGATAGTTGTTTCATGTTGCAGAGCAGAGTGAAAAAGACACAAGTTGGTGATACAGTGCTGAGAGGAAAAATAGTTCTTACTAATAACAGACTCGCCCTGGTGTTTTGTCTCACAGCTCTTGAAGCATGGTGCAGGAGTCATTTTAAAAATGTAATAGCATTTGTCAAGCTGAAATGTGAGTTCAACAAAGGATTCATACAGTTTCTTATCTACTTTAGTAATTATTTTATTTATTCTAAAAGCATTTTATTGATTTTAATGTATTGCTATTTTATGGGTTTGCTTTTATTTGACTTTACTGGTTTTAATGTTTTAGGACTGGCGAGGTTGAATTGAGCATTTTTACCCTCTGCTGTTTTTTAATACCTTTTGCTGTTTTTAATGTTCTCTTTATACGTACACCTCTTGTCGCAATCTCTGCATTTTTGTCCCCCAAATCACTGTTCAGGACATTCATAGAAATGTTGTCTATGCTTGACTGCCCAGTCTTCAAAATCACCCACAACCTCAGCATTATCTTCATATCTTTCTCTTCACCCCTCTTCACCTCTACACCGCAAGAGAAATAATTCATTTTGATGTAATGAATGGATCTTATTATGTTCTTTCTAATGCAATTTAAAAGCTCATCTTTCCCCCTCACAGGTGCTCACACCTGCCCAACGCCTCTCAGTGGGAGGTCTCTGAGGTTTCCATGGTGACCGAGTCTGCCTTTGGTCGCAGTGAGGTGGAGAGTCGTCTGAACATCAGCAAGGAGCATGCTCAGTACCACACCCTCGAGTGTGTGGCCTACACTGAGGGAGATGAGGCCTACACCCTGTTCTCCATCAGTGGTATGAGAAAACTAACTTAATATGAGAAAACTAAGAAATTATACTTTCCAGCTAATAACATGGGGGTGAAGCTAAATGAAAGCACTACTCTGTTAGACTTGTGAGTTTATTTTAACACAATCTGAGCTGAAAGAACTGACTTAGTTTGAACTACAACACGTGTGATTATTTGTGAAATTTCAAATAATTTCCCTTATGGATCAATAAAGTTTGCCTAAGTCTAAGTCTAAGTCTAAGTGTGCTTAAGGAAGTCTCTTGCAAGTAAAATCACAGTCACAAGGTAGTCTGCATTTTTCCAGATAGTCCCTCTCAGCTTTTTTATTGGACCATGAATGCTCACATTGATCACAGACTTCTGTCAAGTATTTTTTTGTCCTTGAGTTTTCAGACTGTATTTTAACATTTTTGGCAGTTTTTGCTAATGTGTGCATTGAATCACCATGGTAGCTGTTGAACATTTCGCCAGTAAAGTACATGTAGAACACCCCTAGCATAATGCCACTGCAAAGTATCAATATGAGAAAACTAATATGACCCATTGACCCTGTGTGCGAACTGCAGCTGGCCACAGATTGAATAAGATTATTACCATATGCTGAGTGTGCACAGCGGGATTATGTTGGGAGACGGTCTAATCCTCGGAGTACAAACAAACACCAAGGACTGCAGCTGTCTATTGAAATAACGGAGAAGGGTCTTGTGTTTCCTAACCGTCGCTGTGTATATGTTTTCAGAGCGAGTTGTTCCGCATGAACTCTTCACCCCTCTGCTCACTGGGATGGTGGCTACTGGTGCCGTCCTCACCTGCTTCCTGGTGGTGCTGCTTTACAAGTATATGCAAGTGAGAAAACATTTAAACTGATGGAACATTTCTCTGCTCATTCAGCTGTTTTTTGTTACAACTTGTTACAAGTCTTTTCAAAATTCATCTTAATCAAATTTTACATGGGATTGAGATGATTTCAAATTGTCAATGATATGCTTGATACTAAAGAAAAGGCTTGAAACTCGATACAGATTCATCAGATTTATATTTGCCACGATGATGGCAATAAAAATATAATGTATATTTCAACACAGAATTGGACCAGTCGTAGTTTCTTTAATATTATCATATATATGAATGAGTTGCCTGAATTTCCTCTTTTTGGGGATTAAATAAAGCCCTATTTTGTCCCATTAAAATGATTTTTCCAGTATTGGTACAGGGTTAATAGTTTGTTACTAATTAGAAATGATCAAAGACAATGCATGAGACTTTGTACAGGTAAACGTGTAAAAAAAACAGTTGTTGGCTACAGGTTTATAAACACCATTTTTATTTTATTTTTTACAGAAACCTAAATTCCAAATTCAGTGGAAGGTTATTGATAGTATCCATGGCAACAACTACATTTATATTGACCCCACCCAGCTCCCGTATGACTCCAAATGGGAGTTTCCACGGCAGAAACTGCGCTTTGGTATGGTAGATGTATCCATACCTGAACTGTACATTATTTGTTTCTGAATGTGAGTAATTTGATGAGTGTTTTGCGTCTTTAACAGGTAAAACTCTGGGCTCTGGTGCTTTTGGTAAAGTAGTGAAAGCCACTGCCTATGGGCTGTGCTCAGCTGATACTGTCACAGCAGTTGCAGTAAAAATGCTCAAACGTAAGTGTGCTGTCCTCTGCTGTTTTAATAATTGTGACTGCAATTACCTCATATATGGAACATTTAGTATTTACATTATTTTTATTTTCATTTCATAATCATTATTACCAACTTGAATTACTTCTAACATTCTTGTGTGTTATGTTTCAGTGCACAGTATCACAGGCTATTATTATATCCCCTCTACAAATCACATGTCACACATATGTCTGTTGTCCCTCCAGCCAATGCCCATGCGACGGAGAAGGAGGCTCTAATGTCGGAGCTGAAAGTTCTGGGTTACCTTGGAAACCACATGAACATCGTTAACCTGCTGGGCGCCTGCACTGTCGGAGGTACAGCAGAGTTTCCCCAAGTCTCATTAACACCAAAGTTTGAAGTTTCCCCATGTAATCTCCTGTTTACACACATCTCGGTGCAGTGTGAGCATGAGCACTGAGATGCGCTGATTTACTGCCATGACCATCAATTATTGTTCTTGTAGTGGAAATCAGATATGGAGCTTTAAGTACCACTCCACTGCAGCGAGCGTGATGCTGCTGGACTGGCCACAAATTTACTGACTTTCCTTTAGTCAATATTATCTACCTGTCTGCTCCTTTGTATTGACTACTTACCATGGATGTTCAGAAACGTTACTATGCAAGAAACACTTTATTTAGATGTTTGTGGTAAAAACAAGCATTGATTATTGGCAGAACTATTGATTCCAGTTAAAGATTGGAAAAAAAACACTGCTTTGTTCCTTGGCTGTGGTGACAAAAATATTAAAAATAACTAAAATATCCTCTTTGTCTGATGAACAAGACATGCCTGTTTTTTTTCTCCCCTCAGGGCCGATTTTGGTGATTACCGAGTACTGTTGCTATGGCGACCTTCTCAACTTTCTTCGAAGGAAACGAGAATCTTTCCTAAACGCACAAATTAGTGATGGTTACTATCGCAACATCTTCAACCAAAGCGAGCCGATGAGGTTTGAATATTTTAGGTCATAGTTGCTGGTTTAATAATGACATTGAGTTATTGATAAGGGTGTGTATGTGTAATGTGTTTGATGCTTTAGGGAGGTGACAGGCTCTGGATACATGCCCATGCGTCCTTCTGAAAAAGAGAGAGCTTCAGAGTCAGGTATAATACAAAGAAGTTTTGGTGTCTTTATCACTGTTTCTAGTCTGATCCAATATAAAGTAATAAGGCTGTGTTATGGAATCAGTTTGTTTTATTTATACTTTGATTGATTGCAGCTGATGTCATCAACATGGGGGGGGTGACGCTAACTGAAAGCACTACTCTGTTAGAAGCTCTGTCACTCAAGTTAGACATTAATCAGAGCTTAATTTTAACACAATTTGACCAGAAAGAGCTGGCTCCTAAACAGGACCATGAATGCTCGTATTCACAGTATCACAGGCTGAAAATGTGTTGTTTAAATTTCTTTTCTGTTTTTTCTTGAGTTTTCTGACAAACTTTCAGAACTTTAAAACTTTTTTGTCAGTGTTTGCTTTGTGAGCATTGTGTCACCATGGTGACCGCTACATGTATCTCTAATGGTGAACTGTTTATAACACCCCCAGTCACTGCAAAGTATCAAAACTGGGGAACAACACTGGGCTGGTCAGCACAGGGATCAGACTGTCAAGTCTAATATCTCACCTGAGTCTTTGAGTGTCGAAAAAAGCACCATAGAAATCTGATGTATTATTTAATATTCACATCTAATTTACTGACTTGTCTGAATTTGTCTTTAGATGACATAGAGGAGCTGTCTCTGGATGCTGAAGATCTACTGAGCTTTTCTTATCAGGTTGCCAAAGGAATGGAGTATATCACTTCAAAAAATGTAATCCCTTACCTTGAGTTTATAATACAAACATTATGTTTGCTCTGTTCAATTAATGTGTTGAATAATATGATTGATAATAGCTTTAAGAACTACTAATGATATTAATACTATACTAATATGGGCGGCAGTAGCTCAGTTGGTAGAGCATTTGTCCACTGATCTGAAGGTTGGCGGTTTGAATCCAGCTCTCGACATAAACATCACAGGTTGAGCGGTCAGATCCACTGACCCACAGGTTGGCTGGTGTGATTCCAGCTCCCACAGATGAATGCTGCCGTTGTGTCCTTGGGCAAGACACTTAACCCACCTTGCCCACAGTGTGAGTGAATGGGTGAGTGGTTACTTGTTGTAAAGGGCTTTGAGTGCCTTGAAGGTGGAAAAGCGCTATAGAAAAATGTGACCATTTAATATGTGCAGCTCTCTGAACACTTACTTGTGGTTCATTTGAGCATGCACCAGACTGTGTTTAAAAACTACTATAAAATGCAGATTTATGGGCTTAAGTGCACAGCAGCTTGTTTGTAAATCACTTTGTACACTTCCAGCATGTTATAATTTTAAGACCCTGTATTATTATATATTATATTATATATTATTATATACCATTATTATTATTATAAATTGACTCTTGTGAGATTTAAGCCATATTATAATGTTGTTACCTCCTCAAAAACATATCTGGAGTTGTGTTTTGTGTTTTCTCACATCTGAGAATTCCTTTATTATTAGTCTGTCTACATCTCCATCACATCATGATGTCATGTAGTAGTAGTTTGCAAGCTAACAGCTACCGTTTATCTTTTGTTTAGTAGAAATAAGCAATTTCTGAAACTGTCCAAATGATTCTAGTGAAGGTGTATGGAGTTTAAAAGCACAGTGGAGCAGTTCTTGTATTTTGATTTGAGTGTTAAACGTGTGAATGAAACAAAACACAACTCCAGGTCTGATTTGATGAGGAAACAACATTATAACGTACATCAGAGAATAGCATAATATGGGCCCTTTAAGATGAATATTGCTTGCTCTACAACAAGGTCCCATTTGATAACAGACACATTAATCCACACAATGTTTACCGTACTGCGTATTTGTTATCAAATTAAAAACCTGTTACAATGTCAATGCACCATTAGCTTACGTGTATTTGTTTGTAGTGTATTCACAGAGACCTGGCAGCTAGAAATGTTCTGCTGACTCACGGTCGCGTCGCAAAGATCTGTGACTTTGGTTTAGCACGTGACATCACCACAGACTCCAGCTACGTGCTCAGAGGAAACGTGAGTCAGCTAATGGCATCAATGACAACAAGACTGTGACCGATCACTTTCAGTTACTGAGCTCTAAAAGTTTGTTTTTTTAGTAGAGAGCAATGATGACAAGAAAATTATAGATTTTTTTCAGATTTGTCAAAAAATTTTATTAAATTGTAGAGGGAATGTGAGTCAGCTAATGGCATCAATGACAACTCCCTATGTACACAAGGATAGAGCTCAGCAGTGACCGCCCATTCCCTGATCCCAAAGTAAATTTTTGATACATTTTTCATATAGATTCATTCTGAAAAGTGTGTATTAAACGTTTGAAAGTTGCTCAGTGTTACTCAGCTATGTGGTAACTAATTCTTTTAAATTAAAGCAACTGCATTTGGATATTAATTACCACATAGCCTCTGCGAGGCCTTTGAACTTTAAATTTAAAGGGTTGTATTTAAGTCTGTGAGAAAAAATTTACTGAAATTTGCATTTGCTTTGTGTCCAAAAGTATTACTATCAGTTAGACTGATTCTTTGTATTCTGATTCCTACAGCTCACTTTAACTGTTAATTGCTGCTTTTGCAGGCTCGTCTGCCTGTCAAGTGGATGTCCCCTGAGAGTCTGTTTGACTGTGTATATACCTTTGAGAGTGACGTCTGGTCTTACGGCATCCTGCTCTGGGAAATCTTCTCTCTTGGTAACAGCCTGTTCCAGATGTTAAATGTTTTTTCTAGACGTATAATATAATTTAGCCGAAGGAAGCCATAGTTGCGTCCCCCAATGAAATCACTTAGCTGAGAGCAATGAACAATTAATGGTTATTGTCCATAATCTGCTTTACAAGGGCACAGCAGCATTAGAAGAATCCAATTTATTTTCTCTAAATTACACTAAGATAACCACTAAACTTATGTTTAAATGTATGTGTGTTGTAGGCAACAGTCCGTATCCTGGAATGCAAGTGGGTTCTGCTTTTTATCGAATGATTCAACAAGGACACAGGATGAGCAGACCTGAGTTTGCGCCCGTAGAAATGTATGTATTTGAATTGGCTTAGAGAATATCAAACAACAATGTACTACTCCTGCTCTGTCCGTAGCTACGACATGATGCTGAGCTGTTGGAATCATGACCCTTTGAAACGGCCCTCATTCAGAAAACTGGTGGAGAGCACTGAATTGCTGCTGTCCGAAAACACTAGAAATGTAAGTATTATGGATTTTAAAATGCCTTATATTACTCACAGAGTGTGATCACTATCAGGACTGTATAACAGATTGTATTGTTTGTGTTTTTGTAGGTGTACTTGACATTGAGTACTGTACCTGGTCACCCTGACCAGCAGAGGGAGTCAACACGCAGGCTGAGCTCAGTGTGCAGCACCACAGCCCCCACTCAGCCTTTACTGCTCAGCTCTGGAGATGTGTTTGTGGATTATGAATCAGTCTAAGTGTATTCAGCCCCCCTAACCCCACAATGTCCCAAAGAACAAGAGCCAAACTACCCTGTGTAAAGTAGACTACTAACAACAACATATACAAAACTCATGCACTGCTGGCCACTGTCTAACACAACACAGTATTCTGCACAGCAATGGCATGTATCAAACCTCTGCTTATCACTCTGGGGGCAGGCTCAGTGAGAACCCTTAGAAGAGGGATGTGACTTGCAATTTTAAAATATCTGTTGTATTATAAGAAAACAAAGTGTACATTTTGGTGGTTAATATTAAGAGTTTGGTCTACAGCTGTGGTGAATTTTAAAACTGCATTGGCTAAATTTCACCGACTTTTTGTTAAGGAGTTTTAAAGGTGTTTTTTTAGAGAGTGGCGATAAGGAAATCTTTTTTTTTCTGATTTGTCCAATTTGTATAAAATTGTAAATACACTAGAAATGTGCCTTTTTATGTTTTCTGGATGCATTTGACTTTGTGTTTATTGTTGGGAGCCGTTTGTACAGTATTTTGGAGGTAATGTTCCTGCAATTTTGATACAGTGGGTTGACTTGTTATAATAAAAAAGTACTTGTGATGGTAAAACATAGCAGAGCCTTAATTGTTTTGTAAAAATATACACCTGAACCACACAAAAGCATAGACATTTGTCAGATTGAATATTTGCAAGTGTTTTATTTTCAAATTGACCAATTAGGGAGAAGGGTTATAATAGTGCCAAACATTTTGCTTCAAAATATTGAATATTACATTTGACTTTGGATAGATAAGGAGCACAGTTCAAGAGCAGAGGGGATATACATACAAGTTAGCATAGCACCATTTTACACTGAATACTGGTGTTCTTAACTTTAAGTGTGTGTACAGAATTCTACAAATCTCGAGAACCAATTGTGTCATGGAGAGGTGATCTGTGGAACTGTGAGGAGGGAGGAGCCACGCCTTTTCAAATATCCTACACCTTCACTCTCGATGTCATTCAATCTTTTTCATTAAAGGCTGATTTCAGTTTGTAAAAATGGTACAGCAAGCTTTGAAGGGTCACACATTCAAATATGCAAAGTCTGAATATTGTTTTGGGGATTCAAATCATGAATGTCAGCAGTGATTTTCTTTCCATCAGCAAAAGCCTGTCAGAGGTTCTCCATACTCACAATTACAACATCCATTAGTCTATTACACCATTACATTCTTGGGCTGGGAATCAGTGACACACCTAAACATTAGTGACGCTTTATATAGAACTACTCTATAGAGAATCTACACTTGCTATGCGTTAGGTGGAAGACCTGGTTCAAATAGTCAACCTATTACGTAATAACCATGAAATTTCCTCATTCTCTCTCCAATAGAGAGATACTGTTTGAGGCTGGTCTGTTGTGTAGTTACTGTATATGAAAACCGTCTGTCATTATAAAACAATAACATGACAGGTTACCAATGCTCTGCTTTGCATAACACCCATACCATGCCAGTAACAAATCTGTTTCCATATGAAAATAGACTGGGTTACAGTGACAGTAAACATGCATACAAATGCATTCACTCACACAGTATATTCAAGTTGAGCCATCCCACATGGGCCTGCAGAAAACTGAGCCCAACCATAAAGGAAGTTTCTTGAATATTACATTTTGTTCCTGTATACTGCAACGCAAGAACTGATTGGCCATCGCCAGGGGAAAATAAAACTGACCCCCAAGTGATACAAGAAGTAGAATAAGGAGACAGTATTTCCACACGGCACACACACGCCCACACACAGCCGCTATGACACTGGGAGACAAAACACATCCGAAAGACTCCTTTGTCAACCATTACACACCCTTCAGTCCAAGGTTTTCTGTTTGATATGGCTTTAACTGTAGTAACTGTAGTACAGGGTTCAACTGCTATTGGGAACTGAGTGATAGTCATTTGAACTGCATGAGGGTTTGAGAGGCAGAGGAAGATGATAGAAGGATAAAACAATGATTTGGAGAAGACCGCCACTACATATTACTGTAGTTTTACTGTTGGAGTCACAGCTGCTGACAGTATTTCCTGTTGAACCACATATGGGCTAAAAGTGGTTATTCTATTTGTGTAATATATATAGTCGCCTATATAAAAGTCCAAATGGGTCAAATCACTAAAGACAATTCCTTTGGTCTCTGCAGCATCACTGTCTAATCCTTCATTGTCTGGATCCAGACTGAGGCAGAAGCTGAACTTTCCACATTCCTGAGTACAAGTACCATCCAGCAACTTCAAATTCTTACTAAGTCAATTATCGTAAGACACAAGGGACGACATACAAACTCACTCATGCACACAGATTGTTTTCTTAAACACACATTCTCAAAGGTCACACCACAGATACAAACAACTAGGTCAGGACAGTGATTTACAGTTCACAACCACATCAAGTGCTAAAGTTTCAGAGGGTTTGAGGATATACTGTTTTGTCACCTATAGGGCTCTCTGAATGTTACAAAATAATCCCTACTATTTTTATATAGATATATACACACACACTTACTTTATAAGGGGTATAATCTTGTTGGAAAATATATGATTTTCAATATTCTGCTTAAAATAAAAAGGGACTATGTCATTGGCACTTGGAATCACTAAACCCGTGAAGTGAAGTGATCTTTTTGCAAAGTACTCAGTTAAACTGTAATCTAGTTTTTTGCCAAACATAATTTGTACTTAAAAAAATTAAGAGCTATTTATGTCTCAGAGACAGAGTTTAAAAACACGTTTTCCTCAAAATCCCAAACATTTCAAACAATCTGACAGTACTTAAAGCCTTTTTTCCACTCTTTCAGAGACAAAGATTAGGGAAGAAGTCTGGGAGAGCTTACTTGCTCCATCTTTAACCAGGAAACACTTGAACAAAGTGAAAATTCAAATTTTTCAAAAGCTAATAAAAGCTTACACGGTTATTCTTTCCATGCAATCATATAAAATACTACATTTCCGTTTCCTTTTTGTCTATACGGAATATTTACATGGTTTTATTATACACTGAGTCTGTACAGGGTCAGTTCATTTTGATACGCATTCACAAAGGCCCATCATTACCATTTTCTCAGGATTACTGTCAACCCTCCATAGCGATTGCATCTCCTTTACAACGCCACCACCGCCGAGGAAAACAAGGAATTTAATCCAATCCATCCTGTTGCCATGGAGACAAATCTTGAAGAGTTCTTTCCAGACTCTCTGGCTTTCCACTTTCCTATGATGCCATCCTTTGAGACAGAGAATGGGAGGGCAGCAGATCGGGAAGAATGGGGAGGCTGCAGGAAAACCAAATCCCCAATGGTTCAGAAGTATTGTAGCTGGATCACTGTGGCTGGCTGCTTACACTGTCAGCTCTGTGTGTGGACTGGGCCTTCTGCTGTTTCTGAGGCTGAGGTTTGAGCTGCTGCTGGTGCCGCTGGTGGTGAGCCTGCTGCGGGGGCTGCTGCTGTGTCTGCTGTGGGTGTGTGGTCTGGGTGAAGGTGCCCTGCTGTTGGAGTGGGAAAGCTGCCTGCAGAATGAGCTGAGTGGACTGGTTACTATGGAGGAGGCGGGTGCCCTGAGGAAATACACACAGAGAGTCACTTCCTCTTTCAGGATGTTATTTATAATTGTGTCAATAGCAAAAGAAAATTCAATTTGGTCAATTATAATGAAGACGTTTCACCACTCTTCCAATCGGCTGCCTCAGTTCTGGTCATTACTGGTGGACATTATATTTGTTATATTTGTTTGAAGGGAGAAACTAACCACACTGAAACTACCACCCCTGTTTTGTTTACCATATCTACAGTATCTATCTAGTTAATAGAATTTAATTTTCTTTTACTACCTGGACAACTGATGAATTACACAGATATTTTTGTCAATATATTTTTAAGAGAAGAATAATCCAGTTATGTTTATAGCTCATGTAGTATAGAAATCTTCTTTGAAATCAAGATAAATGCTGCCCTCTAGTGATACCTGTAAAAACTGCTGTTGCTGCTGCTGGCCTTGCTGGCTGCTCTGAGCCACTACTGCTGTTTGGTTTTGGCCATCAGCTTGACCTTGGGCTGGTTGGGCAGGTTGCAGGGTAAGGGTCTGAGTTTGTCCAGTCTGCTGCAGTGAACAGAAAAAAACAGAAAGTAATAAAAACTCTTGTGTTTTATGAAGAAAAACTCTTCTGGTTATGTCTTTACCTGCTGCCCACCAAAAGGGTTGTATGCCGTTACCACCTGCCCCATGAACATGGAGGTGGGCACCATAACAGCACCACAAGCCATTGGCGCTGTCACCAGCTTGGTCACAAGTTGCTGCCCTGCTGGAAACCTGAGTAAAACAGTTTTAAAGAATTACATCTACTGTAGAAAATATTTGAACTATTTGTATTTATTTAGTCTGTGTGGCAAAGCATTGTAATATTTTTATAATTTCATTGTCCTCACCGGATTTGCCTGTCCTGTGTGAAGGTGGCAACAGTCGTGCCTTGCTGGGTGTTATTCTGTGGCAAACTAGTGCTGATCTGAAGAACATTGGGCTGGCCCGTTTGAGAAATCATCATGGTGTTATAAAGTGGAGCCGAGACAGATCCCTGTGCCTGGGTCTGCGCTTGAGGAGGTTGCTGTGGCTGGCGCTGTGGCTGTAAAAAATTCAAAAATATTTGGAAACAGTATGTAATATGAATATATATACTCAAATATGCCATGTCAGCTTTTGGTAAAAATGTATGATGACTTTTAAAATCTATACTGTTTTGTACAGATCTTTCTGAAGTTATTTTAATAAAGAACATATCAGCTTGAAGACAAATCATATGATACCTGTGCCAGAGCATTGGTTTGAGGCTGAAGGTTCTGCTGAGGGGGAGGAGCTTGTGGTTGGATGGTTAGAGCTTGTGTTCCTGAATGGACAGGGTTAAGTGCTGTTTGTTGGACCTGAGTGGTCAGAGCAGCCGTCTGCTGGACCGAGCCCACCTGAGGCAGCTGGACGTTCATGGCTCCACCCTGCTGCTGCAGCAACATCTTCGGGAAAAAAGACATTTGTCAGTTCGCAGTTAACTGTAACAGTGAATGTGCTATTCTTTACATTAGTATGGTTTAACATGTTCAAATCAAAAATAAATGTGTTAATACTTTTTTGATAGCCATATGAGACCTGTGCTTTGGGTTGCTATTTTCAAAGTCTAAACAATAAACCTAAAATGGCTCTCTCAGACTCCCACAGTTCACTAACTACGTTTACTAATGCCAGATGTGTGGCTTACCTGTATGCCCTGTCCTTGTACTCTCTGGAGCTGTTCCTGGATGTGCCTCAGCTCTTCCTGCTGCCGCTGGATGTTGGCCTGGATCATTCTGGTCCTTTGCTCCAGCTGCTCCTTTAAATGCTGCATAGCGTTCACCTGCGCTGAGAACTCCATTACAGGCTGCAGACAAGGAAACACATGCTTCTTCAGAATCTGATACATAAATACAGATTTTCAGTTCAGTCAACACAACTCACTTGTACATTTGTTTGTAGTTGCTGTGACTGCTGCTGTTGAGGTTGTTGCTGCTGCTGAGCCTTCATGCCGGGAGTAACACTTTGGCTTGTTGTCTGAGAGCTCATTGACTGAAGAAAGTTTACAATGTTAAAAATAACACACAATGTCTCCAAGATTGTTTACAGAAATGTGACTTACTTGGCTGCTTATAGAGGAGCGCCGCTGAGAGGTCATCTCCATAGTTGATGCCAATGATTGCCGCGGAGGTGTGGCTGTGTCCATGTGTAGTTTGGAAGCCGTTGCTACAGATACAAATCACATTTTATTAGGGCACCACAGATAATACAACATGTCAATAAAACTATGTAATTAAGTTGATGTACAATATTTTCAGTACATATGTTCTTTATTGTGGTTACTTACAAGTGCAAGTGTTGTCAGAAACATGGGAGGAGGACTTGCGAGAACTACGAGAAGAAGTGGAGGGCGTTCGACTATGATCAAATCTCTCCAAAGCCTCTTTGAGGCTGGACGTGTTTAGCTCTGACTCAGAGTCCTGACTCTGGAAGAACATTTAGTTTGAGTAGGCATAATTGTAGAATGGCATCAAAAAAAGAAAGAATTGTACCCAGCCCTATAGAGAAATTAAGTATTACCTTGTCTGCAGCCGCTTCTGGGTTAGACTCCTCGATTCCTAGCTCTCTACGTTGCTCTGCCCTCACCTCTGCATAGCTGCAAAAATGAATTCATAAAAAACTAAATAAAACTAAATAAAATGATTAAATTAGATAAATACAAAGTTTAGTGTCTTGAGAGCCATTGCTAATTGATAAGATTTACCTGACTACTGTATGTGTGCAAACTATAAACTCTGGCCTAGAGTTCCACTGGTGGTAGGTTATGTAGTAGTGCGTCTGTAGCCAGATCCACTGTTGCCCTTTTGTTAGGAAACGATAGTAGCAGGACTTCCCTTTGCCATACTGCATCACTAAGAGGGAAAACAGCAAGACATTTAGAAATTCCTCTAGAAATTCAGAGGATCCGCTTGGATCATTATGGAGTCTACAAATGAGTCTCACAGTGTTCATGACACTTGGCTAGTGTCTCCAGGTCATCCACATGATAATAGTCGTACCCTGATGTTCCCAGAACCTCAAATGGTAAATATCCTATAATTGGCGGAGCCCTATAAGCATAAACACAAAATTTTACATAATAACAATCGATGACATAAATACAAGGTGACCATTTCATATCAGAAGTTATGAGTTTACCTGTGGTCTAAGAAGAGGAACTTCCACTCTAAACTGTGCCTGGAGGTAAACTCCTCATTGGGCTCCTCTACTGTACACATTTCCTAATGACATAAAAAAACCAAACAAACAAACAACAACAAAAAAAACATTTTTACACACAATTTTACATTGAGGTAGGATTTATTAAGTGATACGTTTCATAAATTGTAAAATTATTAAATGTAATTTCACTGCCACACTACCTTAATGAATTGTGGTTTAGCCAGTCGAACAGTGGCTACAAAGCAAACCTGGTCATCAAAGGCAGGTTGTAGAGACCGTTGCAAGACTCCTGCAAGGCCATTTCTTGTGACATTGGGAACTATATTAGGAAACAAAAACATAAAAACCATTGGTTAGACATAAAAATCAGGTTTCATATTATATTTCAACAGATTTCAGCTTTAAAGTGTACGACATACCATTGTTGAGTGATTTAAAGTTGCCAATAAACTTAACATATTCATACACAGGGGGTTCTTTTGGATCAATGGCCCCTCGCAGCATATGACAGCAGAACTCCATGTGATTCTTAGCTGATGGAGAAAAGACAGGACTTACAATTATTTCTTTCATATGCATGCGTTCCATTTCTTCCCTACTGACTCTTAGAGGGTGGTGCTGAAAGCACTCAACAATTCCCTTCATGCAGGTTCTTAGTAACCTGCCCTCTAAAAATTTGATTAATAAAATATGTTACTTTAATATACTCACATTTCAGATAATCTGAATTGAGGCTCTCCACATCAGAAGGATGTGTGGACAGAGCCTTGTACACCTCGGAGTGTTCACCAACTGGAAGGAAATTTAACAAATTCTGGTCCACCAAGTCTGCCTTTAAAGCCAAAAAAGAGTGCACAGTATGTGAATCATCATTGAATGAGTCCATTCATAAAAACATTATGTCAATTAGAGATGCTGTTACTTACAGGCAAATGTTCAAGTAGTGAAGTGATACTTTCAGAAACGTAAAGGATATTTCCATCAGTCATTATTGCTATAAAGAACCCGTCCAGGGCCTAAAAATGAATGAAAAAAATGAGTAAAACAAGTAAAACATCTGGATATCAGATTGATACTTTGCAGCTGTCATCAATACTCCCTGGTAGTGTGAGGATAAGTGAAGGTTCTGATCTGTCTCAAGCTCCGTTTTTTTTGTTTTTTTAATTGCATGTATACATACATACACACACACACACACACACACACACACACATTATTTTAAAACATACAAACAATATGAACAGTATACACAATTATTATAAAACATAGGGGTAAATAAACAGATTCAGACTGAAGTTCTTTATAAACTGATAACATGTAATCAATTAATGAAGCTCTGTTCCTCAAGTTAGAATTTAGCCTGAACTACATCAGGAGAGCTCATTAGTTTTTCAGTTATTGACTCTCACCTTTTCACTTCTATTAACACTTATTCATCCTAAAAATATTCTGTTTAAATCCATTTTGTATTTTTTTCAGACAATCTAAAAATATGTTTGCTAAAAAGTGCATTGTGTCACCATAGTAACTGCAGAACATTCGAGCATAGAAATAAAAGTGAACCCCCATGATGTCACTGCAAAGTAGCAATTCAATGTTTAAAAGTGGGAAAGCAGCAACAAATCATAGCTTTCTCACCTCCAACATGAGCTGGGTGAATTCCTCATTGCTAAGAAATGGAGGTTTCCAGTCCTGTCTGATTTCACTGGATTCAGACTGGGCTGCAATCTCTGTATGGGAGAGACACATTTGTATACTCAGCAAATTAAACAGACCAATTACAATTAAAAAACATGGAAAATATTATATACTGCATATTAAATAAAAAGAAAAAAAGAAAGGTAGCAACACCCAAACATAATTTACAATAAAAACATTAAAATGATAATGGCAAATCAACAATATAAGGATCTTAACCTCCAAATTCATACAACAAAATTATATACGGAAATATAACCAAAGTAGGTCAAACAAGATTGGTCAGCTCTGACAAATTCATACCATTTGGGGAAGTCTGAATGTATATTGCAATATGTGGCAGCTTGAGCATTAACATGTGTCATAAAAACACTGAAGAGCTCAGGTGCTTTAAATAGACAAGCAGTAACCACTGGCTTTATAGCTGTGAATGATAAACTTCAGGGGTGTGTACAACACCAATAACAGGAAGTTAACCAAGAGCCTGACCTTTGTGTTTACAGAGGAAGTCAATGCTTTTCTGAAGGATTGTGGACTTGTCCATCTTCCTGGTGTTGCCAGGCAACATGGTGCCAAGTTCTTTGATGAGGACATTGAACTGGTCCCTCCGTTTCTTCTCAGACTTATTACGGGACACACTGAATTAGAAAAAAAAAAAAAAAAAAGGTAGTTAAAAAAACAAACAAACAGTGTTACAAAAGTAAAGAATATTATTGAACTTACCGTTTTGCTTTGTCCTTTTCATCTTCTTCCATCAACCCATCAAAGAGGCTACAATCATCCCTATGAGAGAGAGAAAATCGTTACAGACCATTTTCCCAGGGTTTCTTGTGCTTCCTGTGTAAGGACATTAGCAGATATTTTTGTTAATAATAGCTAATGACAGATGTTGGCTAATGAGCGGATAACAGGGATTCCTACATGCCAGCAGGAGGTTTATTTTTGGGTCACACATACACACACAAAACATGAGTGAGACACAGAGGGTAGGAATGCATTGTGCTTGGTAACAAGGTTCCAAGCACATTGTATAGCAAGGTGTGTACTTTTAGTTTCAAGATTAATTTACGGACATTTCATTAAAATTTCAATTCCACAACTAAATAGTTGATTATCTACTACACACATGTTAATATGGAGTTAGTCATTAGTGAAGTTATGTCCCGAGTTATTTTAGTTCCTCTTAAGGGATGTAAAACTCACATTAACAAGATAATTATGAGACACATCTGCTATCTTTACCCTATGCTTGATGTCATGTTGGCTGCTGATCAGGGCTGTGGCTGTAGTGACTTGGTCTTAAACCGTGAGGTAGACATTTGGAAGACCACCTAAGAAGAAAAAGAACATTTAATTTAATCTCACTAGCACAAGTGTTTATTTACTACATTTTGCAAAGATGCACACAGATTTAAAGGTCCTATAATACACAAAATTGACTATTGAGAGCTTTAGGCCATGTGAGAATGTTACCTAATCAAAAACATGCCGAGTTTTTGTTTCATTCCCAAATGTTTGAGTAATCCTTTGTGGTGTTTTTAAGTTAACGGCTACCTTTTACCTTTAGTTCAAGTCCATTCCAGGGCTGAAATCATCCAAATGATTTTAGAGAAGGTGTATAGAGTTTAAAAACATAATGGAGCACTTCCTGTTCCTGACATCATAAGAGGGGAACTGAATGTTTTTGGTGCCGGATTTTTGTGTTACCTGACATCACAATGGGGGAACTGAGTGTTTTTGGTGCCGGATTTTTGTGTTAATCGTGTGTAAACGAAACAAAACAGAACTATATATTTTTATGGTAAAACAACATTATAAACAGAAAAAAAGTCTAATGTGGGCCCTTTAAGAAAAATTATGTGCTTGGAGACATAGTTTGCAACTCACCCCACAACAGCTTATGCACACACTCGTCTTCTCTAAGGAGTCTTGAGGTCAAAGGGGACACTGTGGTCAAAACAGGCAGATCACTGAGGTCATGAAAAAGAAGAATGTGGATGGGTCATGGTGGTCAATCAAGCCTGCAGGAAGAAATCACAGAACATAATAAAGGTCAACAGTCATTGCCATAGTTTAAGGAGTTCTAACATTTGCGTTGTGTATATTCTTAAAGGTGCACTGCGTAACATTTCTAGTGGAGGGTCTGCCAACTCATGTCTCCATGTACCGTAAATGTTATTGCTTGGTCTAGAATGTTCCACAATATAGATTAAACCCATCTATCACAAAGGAAACAAGCAGGTTACAGCACAGCGCTAAAATACAATTCAGCTCTGTGGAGAGTCGCCCCTATTCACAGCAGGAATTACAAAATTTTTGAGCATTGGAAAACCCATAATGAATAATGTTAGATGGATATGTTTAATTTCATATCATGGAGCATTCCAGGCAAAGCATGGAGAGAAGCCGGTGGCGGACCCTCCACAAAAGTAGTTGCACAGGGCACATTAAACAAACAATAGCTAGAGTTCCACTTCCATTTTAGATAAAAAATTAAGAGTAATAACAACTGAGTTAACTATATATAAAAATAATTTAAATTGTAGTCCAGTTTCTGCTAGGTTGTTAAATCATAATTAAAAATGTGTGACTTGTTTGTATAATATTGCTCTTACTTGCACTTACTTAGTGGAATGTAAAGGTGTATGGAGAGCTGGCTGTTCTTGATTTAAACCGTTCACGATCTCACGTGTTGGCCACACCTCACCTGAAACACAAAAGCAAAGACTTAGTCATTTGCAGCAGGAAAAAAAAAGAAATGAGTACATCAGTGGGTCAAGAGAATAATCGATAAGTGCTCTGCTAGACTGAGGCCAAAAGATATTTTGAAACAGACTGCAAATGCCAATGTTGCCAAAAAGATGTGGACAAGATCAATCAGGTATGCAATACACTTTGTATTGTGAAAAATTAAGTTATTTTCAGTATGGACAGAGTCATTTATTTGAATAGGTCACATAGTCATTTTGAATACATTATACATTTAATGGCTAAAGTATTAGGCGATCTACCAAGAGTGTCTGGGCAAGTTTTCATCAGTGTTCATATGATAAAAATTTAATTTAACAAAAATGTTAGAACCCTTCCAATATTAGGCTATTTTCAAAATTATTGACATTAGGTTAGTAAGTGTGTATAACTTGATAAAAAACAGGGTAATCCATAAATTTATAATCTATGAAGGCAGGGTTAGGAAGAATTAGAGGGAAACTTTTCATTCAAATGTGTGTGTGTGGCATTTAAGGTACTTTTTCTTTTATAGAAATCTAGTAAAGGGACTGGGTACCTGGGCCCGTCTTAAAACCACGTACAGTGATGAAATGAGCCCCATTATATCAGTCAAACAAGCCAATAAGCTCCAAAAAAAGCACTTTAGAAACGTGGCCCTGAAAAGCAATAAAATGTAATCGTGCCAAATGCGTCTACGTATTATTTTATAAAATAAGTGCAGCAAATTACAAATGTGCTTCTTTGTGCCACAGGTGTTCGTTATACAACGAAAAGAGAGCAACCTATATAGCAAGCTAGCAGGTTTACGCAGCTTGCTACTAAACTCCACGTAAATAAACAGATTTTAAAAGCTTAAATGTGTCAATTGTGATTACGTTTAACTCAAAAACGCTTTAAGGTACAATCAAGATAGGTAAATCATTAGTGTTGATGGAATAAACAAGAGGAATAGTTGTCTCCAACATAGCAAGCTGGCGCCGAGCCTCAAGCTGTCACGCCAACAACTGACATTGAAGACAAAATATTCACGAAAATATCGCAAACACCACAAGAAACGGTACCTAAACGTCAGTGCAGATGCCGATCCTTGCAAAAGCCGGGCGAATGAAAGCCTTGAGCCATTAAATAATGTCTAAAATCGGCAATGGTGGAAACATTTTCGCGGCAGATGTATGTACACACAGAGATAGAGCCACGAGCGCGCATACACGCACACAAGCACAGCCTTTACGCACACGCACGCCCACTCACACACATACACACTCATACATACACACTGGCTGCTCTGAATGTGGGTCACTGGGCCTTGCTCTCCCTCAAGCGTGCGGAAACAGTCCCAAAGCCTCCTCTGCAGTCCGACCGCTTCCGCACGCTCTAAACACCATTTACGCACGACAAGCGCCGTGCTACCTCACAATAAACACGCTCGCTGCTTCAAAATGTACACAAAAAAGCCGTACCTTCATGAATGATCGTCAGCTGCCTCCGTGTTTTGCTTACTTAACGTTGAATCGAGGCGGTGGGGGCCAGGAGGACTCCGGGATGGGAGAAAAACAGGAGGCCTACTTCATATTACGACGTACAGTCATGCGCAATGGAGACAGTAGGGCGCACTATTTTGCTAGTACAGTGGTAACAAAACGGGGTAAGGCAGCGCATGAAGAAATTGTGGCTCTACAATAAGAACTATTCTTCTATGTTATGAGCGTGATGTTTGGACTAACTTACATTAGAAAATATTTCTTAGGTTGAAAACAAAAGAAACACAGCTGTGCGTTTAGGTGAAGAAAAAGCATTTGATTGACATTCAGAGGAAAATGTAAAGCGGTGAATTTTGGTTGCTCCTGAAACTGAATATGACGTTGGGCGATTGCCAAGAGGGTGGAGAGGGATGGCCCATCCTCATCACAAGGGGTTTCCCGGTTATTGACAACCAATCATGGGTCTGTAGTCCATGATGGTGAACCTGCACAATATTGATGTTCTCGTTTAAAGCCCAAAATTTACATCATTTGTCTAAAGTAAATTACAGCATTAACAGCTATCTGCCACCTCTTCAGCTTTGCAATGCAACAAAAAAGCTAACCTAAATCTATATTAAACATTTTAAATGAATACATAAATGCCAAATGCAGATGATAAATATTAAATAAAAATGTTTATAACATATTATAACTACAACAAATAAAAAAATATGTTTATGGGAATAGTGTATATTGCAACTTTTCATAGAATAATACTGCTGAGTTTCAAAAGCATAATTTTCATCCAAAACCAAATCACAAAACCATGCAGGCACGGACGATGTGTGGGTATATGTACTGGGACAAGTATAATGTGATGGAAAGGAGGTCAAGACCAAGATGCAATTTTTAAGATATAACCCTTCCCCCAGCAAACTGACACTCAAGATCCAGATATACCTTCTCATTAAATAACTGAGTCACTCTTGACAATATAAAAAAGTAAAAAACTTAATATTTTTCCCTTTTCACTAATAACATGTAGCTGCACAGTAGTAAGAAGATATTTGATTCATTCAGTGTTGTTGAGATTGTTGTAAAATACCTAATGAGGTACACTGTATTAAGGGTAGTGTAAAATAAAGTTTTACCCATAATTTGACATTTTTCGCTACACAGTGCACTCGATACGAGCTGTTTACTGTTTATACAATATACAGTCTGCTGCTTTCATGTGATACCAGGAAAATCATAACATTATGAGCGGAAGGTGCACATGAACGTTGCACCAAGCCTTTCAGAGAAATAGGAATTCTGGGAAAGCCTGAGATGTGAAGCCAGGCACATTTGATTGATGGAAACCAAAAGAGAGTTTACAACAAACGAGGCAGGCAAGATATTTTGTGTCAAGCGACCAGTAAACAAGCTCCACCCTCAGAGAAATCCAGACATGCCCTTGAAAACCCATATTTTATCTTCTTCAAAACTCTTGATTATCTATTGCAAAGGTTTCCATGCCAGCAACTGACTGACTACAAGTAAAGTTTCTGATAAGTACACAGCTCATATGTTATTCATGAGATTCAACACTTGTATATTTGCTTTCCTCAATAGACTTCCTGCCCATCTGCTCATCTTTCCATCTCAGAGGTAAAAAGCCTTTCAAAGCGAGCACCCACCAAAACAACAATAAAGCACTTAACTGTACAAAGACTGGTCTTTGTTTTCACAAAAGTGACAAATCAAATGAAACCACTGCATTTCCTGCCAACAAATCAAATCATGTGTCTTTTTGTCTGGGGAAATGTGTGCAGGTGCATACTTGTATTTGGGCTAAAATAACAGATGTTAGTTTAGACATTTGAATTTGGCCTGAATCTGTTAAGATTGTAATATGTAAAATATATATCTATATACACATGTATATGATCTAATGCAGTTAAATGCCTACCTATAGGCTTACATAGATTAAATTATTAGATGGTAATGGAAGCCATTCAAAGTGCTGTGGGACATCCTTTTCCCACACAAACCATTTAATCACAGATGAACACTGGGCTCTGTGCCATCATATATAACCTCAGTATGGAAGTGGAGACAGCAAGACTAACATGAAAAAGGAAAAAAGATAGTGTCCTTAAAAACACATACAACAATCAACAGATGTAAATAAAGCAAATAATCCATAATAACAGGAAAATAGGGTTAGTATGGGAGTCACAAAGTTTGTGCTCATAATGGATGCTAATTGAAGTGATAAAAGGATGAACCAAACATAACGCTCTATAATTGCTTTTGCAAGTCCCTCTTGGTTGGTGCTTAAATGAAAGATTAGCAAAGCTGGTCGACACTGAGTGTATGTGTGAGAACATCAGATCATACTCACACGCCCCTCACTCCCATTGCCAGAAGTATCTGCCTTGTATTGTCTTACCTTTCCAGTTGTGGTTGAATTTTTTTCTCATTTTTTTGCAAACATCACCACTACTATGTCGTCTCTTCTCCGAGAGGAAATGCAACGGGTTTTGTTCAGACCTGCAAAACAAAGACTGGCTGAGTTTATTGAAATTGAGGAGCCGTCACCAGGCAGGCATTTTCTCTGTGTGTCAGGTAAAAACGTCTAATTATTTTGGTCATTGTAATGTCTGGCATGGAACCATAAAGTATTATTTTAAGTTCAACTAATTTTTTTTAATTACAGTTGCAAAAAGACAGGTACAGTTATCGATTGTGCGATGCCAGATATCACAGACCACTTTAAAAACTGGATCCAAAAGGTCCCAAACCAAACGCTCCAGCATACAGGACAGCTACAAAAGGACAGAGATTTGGTTCCTGGAGGACTTGAATCTAGTCGATGGTCGGGATCCTGATGTGGTAAGGCTCACATTCTTCTTAGAGCACTAAATTTTCCATCATTATAGCACATGTATTTTAACAGAAGTAATTTGTAAGATAATACCACTTAATGCCAGCAAGAATGAGATCCTTTTGTATTGTTTCCTTTTGTATTCAAACTTATCCAAACCCTTTGGCAATCCACAACAGGAATTAATATAACAAATGTGAATATATTAGTAATCATTGTTTAAAGATGATTAAGTGAGTTTAAAGGCCCACACAAATAAACAGTTTTAATTAATGGTATTCCTATAACAGTGGTCAGTGGGTTATGTAGAATGCTGTAGTCCGACCAAGTACATGTTGTTCTTCTGACCAGGACAGCTGTGTGACTACAGAAAGAGATTACATCAGAGTTTTGTATTGTTATTTGTATGGCACAATACAAATGTAAGCCAATAATACCATTGTCTAATTGAAAATCGGGTCAGCAATTTGATTAATATGCTGATTATGTGGTATTGTTTGGTAAGAAGAGGGAGTTACTAAACATTTCCTTTTTTTTTAAATTTTTTTTTTTTTTAATTCTTCAGTATACATACAATGATTATTATTTTTCTTGGAAAATCTGTTTCAAATTAGTGTGATAGTTTTTGATCATTTGTGCAGTTTTGATTCTTATCCTTCACAATTTAAATGTATTTAGGTCCATCTGTGAGGTGGCACAAATTATTTTTATTTGAATAATTTAATCTCATTTAATTTTTGGAGTATAAATGTCACTACATTTCATCTTTAAGCAGTCATTTTGTTATGCCAATGTGCAGTCCATCTTATTTTATGGGGGACTATTTTAGACTATGGCAGACCACCAATCTCTTGTATTAATGGGAAACACTGTACCATATAACAATTCAGACATGACTCATTGAGAGTGCGACATTATCACATTTAGAATCTGAAAATAATGAATGGTGTGAGACTGTACCAATCTAAAATCACTCCTTTTCTGTAGGATGACCCTTGTTTCCTGCTGCACTTCAGTAAGGTGCGGACAGTGACGGCCATCAGCTGCTCGGCCAAATATGCAATCGTCCGGGCACTGGTTGCTCTGAGTGACCAATATTGTCAGAGGACACTGAACCTTCGGAACTTTGACTGGGTCTATATCAAACCCACTTCCTTTTACTCAAACAGAGGAGACTGTGTGGTGCTTTCACAGATATGCTTCTATGCATTTAATTTGGTTTGCCTGTCTATGTGTCCCGTGCCACTGGATGCGTAGGTGGATTAATTCATATAAAGAAATCCATATTTAATGTAGTAATACTGTGGATTATTTTACATCACTGTATAAGCCCATTTTTGACTGTTGTGGTGTCAGTGTATCATTATTAGTAAAATTGTGTGGTGTGTGGCCATCATATAAAATGTATTTTTGCTGTTGTAATGATCCTTTTAGTAATGAAAGGCCTATTTAAAACCCTGTGTATAACTGGGCCAACTGTCACGTGCATATTTTGTGAGTCTACTGTTATAATTTATTAAAATGTGAATTTGTCAATATGTGAAGAGTTCTGAAATCTGTCCTATTAAGTGTGTTTTTACAACATCTGAAAACCCACAAGATGATGTAATCTGGTGGTAATCCACCTTCATCAGCACAATTTAGCTAAACTTGAGTCTCTCCTCACTGCACATACACCAGCAGAGGGTCCTACTGTCCTGTTTTGTGTATCATAGGCACAATATGTATTTCTTGTTATTTTTCATACTACATTTGTTCTAGTTATAACATGAGAAATGGTCAAGATGAAGTGTATTAGGTTTTAGAAGGTGTTCAGACTATAGTGCATATTATTGGATTTAATTCTTTAAGTGGGGTGCAGTATGTACCTTTTGAGGTGAAGGGTTTGCCACCAGCTTGAAGTGCCCCATAATATGCATTAAACTATTTAGCATAGACTTTACTGATACACTCGGGAAATTACTTGGACACAGTAGCTCACGCATCACATTACATTACATTAACACAGAGTACAAGCATTTGTTGACATTTATGTCTGTTGTTACTGCTGGAATTTTTTGAGAGCGATTTGGTAGTGCCAGATGTTTATATTCATGGAGACAGATAAATTTAATGCCAAAAATGTGGAACATTTCAGGAAAAGCATTAATAGCAGGGGGTGAACCCTCCACCAGAAGTCACATAATGTACCTTTAAATTTGAGGCTTTGTGGTGAATGTTTGGTTACTTCAGCAGCTTACCTGACGCCTTTGGTCGATGATCGGGATTGTGAAAACCTTAGTTAAGTCTATTACCAGTTCGGATTGCCACGTTTGGACCTCGACAAACTTTAACAACTTAATTTAGGCTATCCAGTGATTCTTTCGTAGTTTGTTTGCCTCACGGTGGCGCCAAAGCATGGATCTGTGCGCAAAAGCCTTATCTGGTTGTCTTGGACGTGCCTGAAAAATATCTGCACGTTTTATTTGTTGCCGACCGACAATGAAACACAGTTGAATACATAGCTAAATGTTATTGTTGAGTAAATATGTATCTGGATATAATAATGTAAAAAAAAAAGACTAAAGAATAATCCTTTCCGGCGCGACGAGGACGCACGCGTAAAGCATTTTAGGACCCCACACATGCCGCCAAAAATTTAAGTTGCCTACGGTTTTCCTGTTGTCGGTTGTAAACACTACGCTCCTCATTTTCTGGAGTGCTGGATTTACAGTTTTTCGTTAGCATATTCCTTGGGGTTTGTGGAGGAAAGCCGGCACAAAGATGCACATCAAGTCTATAATCATCGAGGGATTCAAGTCCTATGCGCAAAGAACGGAGATCAATGGTTTCGACCCGCTGTTTAACGCGATCACTGGACTGAACGGCAGTGGCAAGTCCAATATCCTTGACTCCATATGTTTTCTGCTGGGCATTTCTAATCTTTCTCATGTAAGTTTGGTATTTGTGGTTGATTTAGCAACAGAAAAAAGTGCCCGGCTTGAAGCATGTTTGTTTTCAGGTACGAGCCTCCAACCTTCAGGATCTGGTGTACAAAAATGGTCAGGCTGGCATCACTAAAGCCACTGTCTCCATTACTTTTGACAACTCCAATAAAAGCCAGAGTCCCCTTGGCTTTGAGACTCACGACGAGATCACCATCACTAGACAGGTAGGAATATATTTATTATAGTAATGATATTATGGCATAAATCTGTGTTAACTTTACGGATATATCTAAGGTGGTTATTGGTGGAAGAAATAAATACCTGATTAATGGAGTTAACGCTAACAACACCAGAGTCCAGGACCTGTTCTGCTCTGTTGGGCTCAATGTCAACAATCCCCATTTCCTCATCATGCAGGTTAGTGCTATACCCTACTGTTTTTATGTACTTTATAATTTTACATTTTACTGTAACTGTGATTTTGTATTGAGAATACTGTGCTTCATGATTTAGGGAAGAATCACAAAGGTTTTGAATATGAAGCCACCAGAGGTAAATTAAATTGTCTACAAGTGGTAATATTGCTGAACGTCTTCAATACCTTCTTTCTATATTTTCAAATTCTGGTGTTTTAGATTCTAGCTATGATTGAAGAGGCAGCAGGTACAAGAATGTATGAGTGCAAAAAGATCAGTGCTCAGAAAACAATAGAAAAGAAAGAAGCCAAATTAAAGGAAATTCAGACTGTGAGTAAACCTTTGTCAATTACTATTCTGTCCATTATTATCAGTAGATTTAACTCAGTGTCTTATACTTACAGATTTTAGATGAGGAAATTACTCCAACCATGCAGAAACTGCAGGAGGTGTGTTTACTAATAAAAACAAATTATTTAACCACAGGTAATAAATTAATAATGCATATTAACATCTTCACTTTAAAGGAAAGGTCATCCTACCTGGAATACCAGAAGCTAATGCGCGAGATCCAACACCTGACTCGTCTGTATGTCGCCTGGCTGTTTGTTTGTGCTGAGGAGACCAAAACTAAATCAGCAGAAAATCTCAGGGTGATGCAAGAAAACATTGCCAAGATGCAAGCTACCATGGCTGAGAATGAGGCCAAGGTGAAGGAGCTGATGGCTCAAATTCATGAGCTGCAGAAGAAAAAAGATCAGGTAAGAAAAAATAGTGTTGGAACAATTATCAAAATATTTAAAATCACTTTTTAAATCCTATATTATCATCCTTTTAGGAGGTAAATGGGGTTTTGAAAACTTTGGAGGAATCTCTTGCTGAAGTACAGCGTGTGGATGCCAAAGCTCAAAGTGCCCTTGATATGAAAAAACAGAATCTGAAAGATGAAACTAAGAAAAAGAAGGAGCTGGTCAAAAGTATGGATGAGGTAATATTTTATTTCTGGCATTTGTTATATGCAATGTTAGCATTTTATGATGTTAATGTTTTGCTTAACATTCCCAAAGGACAAAAAAATGCTTGTGGTGAAAGAAAAGGAGGTTGCTAAATTTACTGAACAGCTTCTGACCTTACAAGAAGAAGGGCAAAAGGACAACGCTGCTTTGGAAGCTGCTGAGCAACATTTCAGGGCTGTTTCTGCTGGTCTTTCTACAAATGAAGATGGAGAAGAGGCCACTCTGGCTGGCCAGATGATGGCCTGTAAAAATGACATGAGCAAAGCAGATACTGAAGCAAAGCAGGTATTACATGCAACATAATGTTCTACTGTTCATTGTAAAATGACTATTGCTCAGCTATATTATTAATTTTGATTAGGCCCAGATGACCCTGAAACATGCCCAGGCTGAACTGAAAACAAAGCAAGCAGAGGTAAAAAAGATGGACAGTGGCTATAAGAAGGATCAGGACGCATTCAATGCTGTCAGAAACAACAGGGAAAAACTGCAAGCTGAATTGGAAAAACTCAACTATGAGGGTAGCGCACATGTTTAATTTTTTTTTTAAATTACAATCTGACATAGTTGTCATTATAAATGTTATTTTAATGATCTGTGGTCTATCAATCAGATGGCAAGGAAGAAAGGCTGTTGGGTCAGAAAAGACAGCTGTCTAGAGAGGTTTCTAAACTTAAAGAAACTTATGAAAGTCTGGTTTCCCGCTTTCCTAACCTACGCTTTGACTACAAGTAAGAACATAACTAGATTAGAATATTGCATTTGTTACAGAGTGTAAACAAAAACATAAATGCTGTGCTATGTTTTTGTAATTAGGGACCCAGAGAGAGGCTGGGACCGCAGCAAAGTAAAGGGCTTACTGGCTAACCTGATTTCAGTGCATGATGTGTCTTATGCCACAGCCTTGGAGGTAGTGGCAGGAGGGCGACTCTATAACATTGTTGTGGACACTGAGGTACAAATATAGAAGAAAAGGCTATTACTTCTTTAGCTCCAGTAGGCCTGCTTTGTCTGAATGATCATTTGTGTTTTAGGTGACTGGTAAGAAACTTTTGGAGAAGGGTGAGTTGCAGAGAAGATATACCATCATACCCTTGAACAAAATCTCTGCCAAAACCCTCAATGACAGAGTTGTCAACACTGCAAAGAACCTGGTAAGGCATAACACCACTGTCAATAAATCCCTTGATATCCATAATTCACATTTTTCTAACTGCTGTGTTTCCTGTCAGGTTGGAGAAAACAATGTTCACACAGCTCTGTCACTTGTCGGCTACGAATCTGACCTCCGTAAAGCTATGGAGTACGTGTTTGGTTCAACATTAGTTTGTGATACTTTGGACAATGCCAAAAGGGTGGCTTTTGATAAACAGGTGATGACTAAAACAGTCACACTAGGAGGAGATATCTTTGACCCACAGGGAACACTGAGTGGAGGTAAGTGTGAGAATGGCTGTTCATACTTCACAGTGACATTCTGGTGTGGTCTAAACTTTCTACTATGAGATATACATGTAGGAGGTACCATGGTGACACAATGTACACATTAGCACAAAATGTCACAAAAAGTTTAAGAGAGTCTGGGAAAAAAAGAAAAATACAAAATAGATTTAAACAACACATTTTCAGGTGAAAGTAATTTACTGAAAAACTGTTGGCCAATGCTTTCTAGGTTGTGGCTGAAATGTTATCTGAGAGGGACTTGTATAACATCACATATAATCTCAAATGTTCTGTTGTAGTTCTAGTTAAGGTAGTTCTTTCTGACCAGATTGTGTTGAAACAAAGCTCAGATTAAAGTCCAATTTGAGTATCATCTTTAAACAGAGCAGTGCTACAGTTTGCACCACACCCCCAGGGAACATTTGATGACAAAGGTGCAAAGTATCAATAAACTTACATGATATAAATCTGTGCAAAGTACTGTGTACATGCGACTTTAATTTCTCTACATTAACCTTTTTGACCTCTAATGGCAGGTGCTCGTTCCCAGACTGCATCAGTTTTGACCAGCCTACAGTCTCTAAAGGATGTTCAGGACGAGCTGATTGAAAAGGAAAAGCAGCTTAAAGAAATTGAAAGGCAGCTGGCTAGTGTGAAGACGACTGCAGAGAAGTAGGTTTTGTGGTTGTTTTGTTTGTTTGCTTTTTAAGTGGCTTTTTACATGACTTGATTACTTTTTGTAGATATCGGCAGCTGAAGCAACAGTTTGAGCTGAAGGTTGAAGAGGAGCAAATTCTTCAAGCCAAACTTCAGCAGAGCTCATTTCATCAGCAACAGGAGGAGCTTGAGAGACTTCGCAAGGCAATAGGTTTGTACAAGTTTTAGACAGTGTTCCTTAAATATGACTAGTTATGTGTAAGTTATTGTTTATACAAGAAAGCAATACTGAATCTACTTTTTTTTTTCAAACCAGAGGAGAGTGAGGAGAAATTAAAATCTACTAAAGAGGTACAGAAGCGGGCTGAAGAAAAGTACAAAATGTTGGAGAATAAAATGAAGAATGCTGAAGCCGAGAGGGAGAAGGAATTAAAGGCCGCTCAGCAGAAACTAAACGCAGCAAAGTCGAAAGCTGATGCTTTTCAGAAGAAACTCAAGCAGAAACAGCAGGTAAGAGGCACACAGTCTACCAACTGTTATATTACATTTACAGTGATGATTTACTGTTGCACGTGTATTGTTCTACACATAGGAGTCTGATGCTGTA